GTGGTGCTTCAATGGCAGCTCCGCACGGGCCATGAAGTCGTGCTCCTTCAACCCCCCGAACCACAAAGGTTTTGTGGGTGGGAACTAGGCCCCAAAAAGGCGAAAACCATGAGAGCTGAACGGACATTTTGGGGAAATCCAAATCCAGGGGTTCGTCTTTGTGCCATACCCAGTGTTTTGCAATTTCATTCTCTATATTTTCATCTCAGCCTCTCCCTCCCCCCGCATTTGTGAAACATTGGCAGGTTGCCGCAAACATTGATCCGGGCTCTTTTTGTTTATTTGTCAAAAAATGGGGGTTAACCCGAAGGGGGTGAAATTACTGAAAACTACTACGGCTGGCTCAAGAGCCATGAGCTAAAGTTGAAAATGGTCAAGGTTGAAATACGTTTAACCTTTTGTGGATTTAATGGAAACCCGACTTCCGAAAAGTTAAAGTCTAAAGATCCAACCCCAAAGCAATTAAGTGAACAAGGCCAACAAATTAACCAAAAAAGATCCAAACAAAGTCACGGACTGCCTTCAAGTGGTACCTCGAAATATCCCGCGCAAGTTTCACACGTGGGCACATAGATCCATGTGAAGCCAAAGCAAACGAGGTTCTTGATGAATCGCTATCGGGACTAAATGACACATGATTCGGAATGTGTCAAAGTAGTGATCTGGAGCCGCATTTTGGGTTGGCCCTTCCTTTGGTTTCCCCCTCCAAGGAGTACCGAGCTCAAGAAAAACACTCAAAAATTGCTTCAGCCCCTGCGCTTGCGCCCGCCTCAGTCCCGCCATCGTCCCAGTCCCAGACGGAGAAGATAAGGACCTACCGGTCGGACATCTGATTCAGCTTGGTGCTCCGGGGGTAAACCGCGTGTACGCCTGGAAGGGGCTCAAAGCTCTGGGCTCCAAACCAGAGTCAAGCTGAAACCTGATCGGTCAAATGGTCTACCCGGAACCAGGTAAAGAATGAAAAAGACGGCTGCACCCATTTGTGATTGGGATCATCCCTTACTAACCTTCATCTACCCGGACTTTGATTGTGAGTCGAATTGGAATGGGTTGCCAGTACTACAAAGGTCGTCATTTCAGGGGAAGCCAAAGACGTCACCTCAGGTCGAAATTTGGACAAAGGTTGAGACGGGAGACCCAAAGAATCACAGTTATGCTCCCAAATTCTTCTTACTTGTTCCAGCAAGTCGCAAGATGTGCATTTTGGGGGAAGGAAGTAGAACGATAAGTTCCCCCGAACACAGACAGTTCGAAAAAGAGGGCCCGAATACGTATTTTCTGGGCGGTGAGCCCTTCAAACATGTACCTTGGGGCAGGAGCTGGTCGACCCCTGAGCAATGCAAACAATGCAAACCTTGATGGATGCAAGTGAAGCTTGCTGCTTTTGATCCATCCCGCTGTAAGACAAGCTCTCGAGCGCGCGATGTTTTGTACAACTGGGGAGCCTTCGAAGAAAGAAGAAAACAACAGAAAAAGAAACAAATCCACAAACAACGCATAAGACAGTTTCTCACTTTGATCACACAAATTCCGTCAGAATGGCCCCAGCTAGCTCTCAGTTCGCCGCCTCAGTGCCCTGCACCCAGAACTCGAACTTCTCGTTCCACACGGGGCTAGCGCCCTCGGACAACGCGCTCTGCTGCACCTCCTGGCCGATACGCACCTGGCGCGTCGATTCCCCGATCTATCGCGCAGAAATTCGGGGGTTCTGGTCGGACAAATTCGGATGTCCAGACAAAAAGTTGCAGTTACTAAAGATGCAACCGAGAGAAATCGTAGATTTTCTGATTCTGGCTCAAATCTAGAGCCAAAGACATCGTTTGGGAGACAACGCACATGGATTTGGGCTTGTCTTTCTTGGGCTGGTGCCCCGTTTTGGGTTGGCTTGAAGAAAAAACCAGACAGCAACTTGTTGGGCCGCCTTTTTCAAACTGTGGAAGCTCCCTGGTGGGATGAACACCTGGGAAAGCTCACAGGATTGCAAGCCGTTCCACGATGGGGACACAAGCCAAGATTTCAAGTGGGAACCGGGGCCGGAGGTTGCCACGAAAGACTTTGTCTTTGGGAAGCAAGTGAAATTGGGGCATTGAAGAAGTGGAAGGGCAATATTCGAACCAACCCTGGTGGGAAAGCTTGCTTGTTTGATCTTGTTCTGATTTCGAATGCGGCGGAATATCCAACCACCAAGCACTACCCACCCCGAGCCTTTCATGATTCAAGTGGTTTTCATTGAGCCACATTTGCTGAGACCGCTACGAATGGGCAAGACCACAAAAGAAGAGCTCTTCCCCGTATCACGGTTGCTTGAAATCAAACAGGGGCCTGTCCGACAACCCCTTGGAAAGGAAATGGTTTAGAGATTTAACAGGAAAATCTTCTTTCTCCGGCCGGAGTGTAAAGAACTCCGGCCGAAGGCCACCCCCGCCTTCACAAAGGGGTCGAGATTGAAGTGGAAAATGCTGCTGGCCAGGTGCTCTGCTCTGATCACCTCAGGGCATATCAAGCTCAAGCTACCCTCACACTGCTCAGTTGACCGGCCAGTTTACCCTTGACTAAACTGAAGAAACTTGCCCACTAAAAGTGTCAAGTTTGCCCACTCAAGCAGCAAGAACCTAGACTCCATCACAGAAGCCCGAAAAGCCTCTGAAATATCAGTTTAGTAGGTTCTGCTTCCCAAAAAGTTCGCGTCGTGGTTTGTACAGGCCGTAAATCACTGTCAACTGCACTCGAACCTTTCTAAATTGTCATGCCGGAGATCGGTTCTCGCAAGGGCCATTCCAGCCTCCACAATGAGCTTCCTCTTGCCCTTGTTTCCCTGGCGAGCGACCGGCCGGCTCGGGCTCGCTGGTTTGAAGGACTTACGCTTGCTGCAATTGGAACTCATACGTACTGAGCTGAATGTATGAACCCTCTGAGTGAAGCCCTGATCACTTCCCCAAAACGAGGGCCTGTAAGAATCGCATCCGCCAAGCCAGCTGAAAGGAGCCCACCTGCATTCGCCAAGCCGGGCCTTGAGAGCATTGGCGCGCACCGCGGCGCGCATGCCCAGGGGCCTAGGAAACCGGACAGGCTGAGTCAGTGTGCTTCACGTGAATTTTGACCAGATTGAACAATCAACATGGGTATGTGTCAAAATAAGGGACCACCAAACGGTGGTTTTCTTTTGCTTGCCCTTCTCAACCTCACTTCCTGCGTGAATTGGCGAACAAAAAACAACTTGTATTTACCACTAAGTTTAGAGTTGTCTTCGCAACAAGTTTCAAGTCCAGGATGTCTGGAAGTGAGTATCCTCTGCGTGCTGAAGCCGACACAAAACATACCCCAGGGAACCCTGTCTTTCCAACCCCGAACCATACTTTAGTGGTGGGCCAAAATAACCAGGGTGACCTCCAAAACGAAGGCCACCTCCTACCCCAGGCCCCCTTCAAAGCTGAGTCCGTCTCCTGCCGCCCTCATCCACCTCCGGCGCTGCCTGCAAATCAAGCCCAGCAAGCGACGGAAGCGCCGCTTCTCGCCGCGACGCGAGACTTGAATGCTTGCCACTACGAGAAACATGGCAACCAAACCCAAGTGACGGCCCATGACCTCAGTGAGCCGTCGTGAAAAACAAAAGCCGATTCCTTTACGCCCGCCGACAGGAGACACCAACCGACCTCGAGCCAGTCCGAAGGCTTCTGCCAGGGCTCTGCTTTCACATCGGCCCCTGGGTGCTCGCCTTGGCTGGGTGCGTGTGGCTTCTTTTGGAGCTGAAGCACCCGTCTTTAGACTGGATTAAAGGGAAGCCAAACGAAAAACACGCAAAACCACGAGATGGGGACACAAGTGTGCCCACCCAGGAGCCGTCCACTTCTGGGCCCGCTGCTCGCTGTTGCTGGTTTTGTGACATCGCTAGACATTGGACGTCTAACGGCCTTGTGGAGTCCTGTCACCGGTCTTTCTAGCCATTTGGCCACACCCCTGCACAGGGGCAAACAGGCCAGTGCCCGAAAACCAACGAATCTTGGTTCTACCATGGTTTATGTGGGACTTTGTTATAAGCATCATCAGCCAAGGAGTAACTCAGCTTCTCCTTTCAAGGGGGTGAATTACCCTGTCTGCGGTAGTAAAACAACTTCCTCACAATGCCCTTCACAGCCTGAAAAACAATAGCAAAGAAAAGACGCTATGCCAGGGTTTTCGCTCGTTTTTCCCACAAGTAAGCTTGCCATAAAACAGGCGGTATGTTTTTGGGCACTCAAGCCAGCTGTTCTGGAAGGGCAGAACAAGAAAACGGGGTCCCTTACATACTTCTACGTGCTTGCCCCCCCAGCCAAGGAACAGTGCAGCGCGCACAGGGCATGCCCAGAGCTCATGAGCTCACCCAACTCACCATGTTCAGTGACTAAGCCACCCCAAAAACGGGACTGAGAAAAAACATCCAGTGAACAACCGGATATGAGATATTCCAACATGGCGGTTCTTTTCGCTCTTGGGCTTCCCAAACCCCTCAAAGGGACGCCGCCAAAACGGGACTCGGCGCTTGGGCGCCCGGCGCAGCCACGCCTCCGCCAAGCGCTCCAAATGCTGGGCCAGAGCTTTGGCGCCCACCTCCGTCGTCGCATGGTAGCCCCAAAACCCATGAATGAGACCCGGGGGCTGCCTGGAATATTTTCCATCAGGAGGTGCAATATTTTGTCAGAAATTCCTAGAACCCTCCAAGATACCTTTTGAGTATACCATATCATACCCCGGAGATGAAAGGAACCTTCATGGGAAGCATGGGGTAATTCTGCTCAACAGATATGGTTCTTGGACAATTTGATCGATTTGGCGGTGGTTTCTATTAACACGATCGCCGCAAATGGGAGGCTCCAAAAAGGGAAATGGAGGAACACCTCGTTAGATTCCGAAAGCCCCCGCAACGTCACGCTCAACAATGGCACACCCAGTCGGGGATTTTCTTCCCCGAAGAGTTGGTGTTTGGTGCTTTGCCACGGACGAGACCAAGGGCTGGATGCTGCCCTCTCCTTCTCTTCCCTTTCTTGGTTACTATTGACCCCTGTGCAACAAGTTGAACAATGGAAAATGCGACCTGTTCCATCCAAAAAGTTAAAGTCCAAAGAGCCATTACAAAATAGCAATGAAACACCCAACGCCCATATATATATATATATATGTATATACACACATACATACATGCATGTTTTCAAGCACCCGAAGCTACCCAACTGGCCCCAAATGGTTGTTTTTCGCGCCTCCAAGGCCAGGTCGCAGGGCCTTCGGTTCTTGGCGTCCATAAAAGCAGGGCACGCCTGCCATGGAACGAGGGGTCAAGATCACCCGCTATACATATTTATATGCTAAGAGTCCTTTTATTTGAATTGTGGGCAAATTATAAATGCTTTGCAGGGGTCCTTCCATGTAGTGGTGTCTAGGATGTGCTGCGGTGACCCACTTGGGTTGCCCCTGAACGAGGTTCTATAACCCACTGAACGGAAAACTTAGAAGTGGGTAACCTACGTTACCAAGAACTTACTAGCTGGGCCGAACACCCAATAGCTTGCGGGTCTTGTCTGGAGATTGGGGATTTTTGGGGAACCCAGGCAAAAACATGGAAACCTCTTCCAAAAGACACACCCGATGAGTAGATTATGACCGATATAAATTTTGGCACCAGGGTGTCAGGTGACACTAACTGCCTTCAAACCTGCCAGGAAACATCGGGTCCGAGTCACCACATTTTTGTAGGGGGGACACAACGTATGGTATGATTTGTGGTGTCCTGCATCTTAGTCGATTGATTCGTCTGCAAAGGCGAGGAGGTGCCCATGTACAGTGACCATGTAAACAAACCAGCTCAGTGTCAAACAGATTGCTCGACTTGATCATCGATTTTCCATCCCAATGCAACTCGGCCAACGTTTCCCAAGTGGACCACCCGGTCAAACCTGAACAGCATGTTTGTTTCTCTGCAGGCTTTGCTCTCGGGTTGTGAACATCCAGCGAGTGTGCAGGCAAAGCTGGCCGGAGTGCAAACAGAACGTGTAAGCAACAGAGAGGATCACTCCAATCAGCTGGTCAATGCAAATGTCAATGTGCCCATCTTGAAGCAATCAAGGCACAGTTCTAGAGAGGAGTTTGCCAGCGTCAGTCGGCGCAACGACAGAGCAGGATTTGGTTCCAGAAAAATATCCACAAAGCTAGGCGCTTCATAGGCCTTCCTTGGACTCCTGCATTGTTGAAGGTTTGAAGGGCTCAAGCATACGCCCCCTCTCACACCTTCCCACACACGGAACCTCGCTGGGGGTACTGGAAGACAATTTTCCCATAAAAGGGACCAGGTGGGTTCCAGGCTTTGCTCCCAAGCTACACGCGTTGCTTACAGATGGTCCGATCGCGTACCCTTTTCTCAGTTGCCCAGTTTGGACCAATCTTAACCTTTGGGGGTTAACTTGAAATGATCCATGGGAAGCCCAAAGGTCAATTCAGGTCGATTCGCTTTGGACTGAGTTTTGTAGTGACTAGGGCTTTGGCAACACAGCCGAAAACAAAATGCGCCCAGCATCCGTGTTGTGTTCCAGGAATCGCTTTCCAGGACGCTGGGCCTTTTTGTAAGAGTGTTGTCTTTGTTGGCTGATTTGCTGCCCCCAAACATTCAAAAACTGGACACTGGTAAGGGAAGTGATGAATCTATTAATGCCAAACTCAAAGGGCAACCTGAATTGTATCAATCGGCAAGATCATCCCGAATCCCCAGTGCAGTAGATTCTGGCAGGGGATTTCGTCCATAGCGGGAGGTTGCCTCAGATATCGGAAGACGGACCGGAGCTGTGTGTCATTCAATGGCGGCTTAGCACGTCAAAGCGTTTGCGGTTCTGGGTCACGAATCCTATGCAGAAACGGCAGATGCACTTGTGCGGTTCACAAGCCAGCAAAGGCCGTACTATGGCAAACTTGCCTGGAGCTATTCCGTCAAAGTTGCTTAGACAGCATCTGCAACTCACTAGAAACCCATAACATCAAAGGTCAAATTCCTTCGGAGCCACAACTGCAAGTTCAGACATGGTGCATTTCTAATTGTGGCTGTACCCTCTTGGTGGCTCACTTGAAGTAGACCGCCTCGCTGGGAAACTAAAAACACGGTGCCCCCGCCTGAGCCTCGACAAGGGCCATCGCAACATCCTCAGTTCGTGGGAAAGAGGCGGCTCTTCGCCCGGAGCAATGAAACACACCCCTTTGACTTTTGGCTCTACTCACGGGATGAAGGCACCCCCAATTGAACCAGGTCGTGGAACCACCTACTAAGATTGCGCTAAATGGGGCTGTGGGGCCTGAAAGGAGAACATAGTGCGGAAATATCCTCCAAAGGAACTTTTGAGGACTTGCGTGCAACATGATGTTTAACCCCCCCCCCCCCAAAAAAAGAAAGAAAGCAAAAACAAAACACAGGACCAAGGTGGTGTTTCACCTGCCCAAAGGGACATATAAGGACCCGTCCGACCCTCCGTCGCAACCTCCCTCTGAGCCCAGCGCGGCATGGCCGCCCGCGGCCGCGTACATGAGAGCAGTGCCTGCGCTCAACTTTCGGCCCACGACTTGCTGGTGCGATAGGTACGGAATGACAACGAGTTCGGGTTTAAGGAATGAACCGGAAGCGGATTCCTAGGGTGGGTTTCTTTCTTGGGGTCAAGACAAGTGGAGCGAGACAACCCAGCCCTGCAAATCGACATGAACGGTCATGAACCTCCACTACTCAACTTGGGCTCACGTTCTAAGAGGTGATCACCTTTTCGAGCCGTGACGACCAACGCCCAAGCTAGAGATGCCTTCTTCAATGGTGTTGCAAGTTACGCGAACCAAAGCTATGTAGGTCTCCATTTTGGAGGCAGAACCACGTCAACGCCTCAGCGCCGCGGAACATATATATATAAAACAAAAACATTTGATTAGCCATGACTCACTTCTGGAGTGGACTGGCCGGAGAAAATCGAAACTTTTGTGTGGTGGCAAGATGGCAACCAAACCGCAAAAGTGACTAAAGTCCATGAACTCAGGAAGTGAGATTGAAAATAGACCCAACAAAAGGGAAACCAGCAGGTCATTTCAGGTTGATTGTCTTTGGACAAGTGAGCTTTTGTAGGGTATCAAGACTTTGGACCTGCCGCTGGACCACGACCACACGAGCTATCTGGACTCGTTGGCAAAACGTTGTGCAACTTCCCAACCTTGGCTTCCATTTGCATTTTCGCACCCTTGGAAAAATAAGCACATATTTCAAGTAGTGATAGTAGTGATAGATTCCCGTTAAAACCAAAAAGGCAAACACAATACATATTCTTAAGCAAATGGAAGTTGGTGTGGTAGCCAAAGACTTTGCTCTTTGCAGCACCTCCCACTGACAATGAACAGGACCAACCAAACAAACAACCAACAAACATATCAGGAGTCACTGGAGTTCCATCAAAAACTGCTGCTCCTCCAAAAAGGGACATGGAGGAAGGCCTGTGCAAAGAACAAGCGCCTGCTTGCGCGATTGAAAACATTGGAAAACAAATCATCAGCGCACATAGGTCTCTGACTGCACGGCATCGCTTTTTACACGCCTCGTTCACTGGGAGGAGGATCTCGCCAATCCACATCACCGTGATCAATCCATTGCATAAGGCCTCGCACTAGCCCAAGGGCCCCCTTTTTTCCTGCCTTTGACTCACAGAAAAGAGGAGTGGAAAGGCAGCAACAAAGAAGTCCATTGGGGGTTCGAGAGATTTGGAATTGATTCTGTCTCTCTTTCTCTCTCTTTATCTCTTTCTCTCTCTCTCTCTCTCTCCACCTCTGCCATTGCATCCAAAGGCCACACAGAAATACCCTTGGAAGCCAAGTGGCAAATAGTAGACTTAGTAGATGACTGCAATCATGTCACACGATTCGCCAACTATGGAAGCGCCAAGGGGCCTTCATGGCCAGATTCTTTTCACCGAGCTCGACCTTCCCCGCCTTGGACGTCTCCACGGGCCGCTGCCAAGCACAGCCTGAAGCTTGGCTCAAATGCGCTTGACCAACCAAAGCGGGAAGGACGCCACAGTTTGCACCCATTGCCCTCATGTACAGCACACAAAGTCACCAAAAGGAAACCCCCAATGAGCTGAAACCTTCTTTCAGCTACGTTACTTTTTCACATGCGCCATGGTGAAAACTAAGGATCCTTGCTACCATGTGGATGACCACCCTGTTGACCCCAAGTAAAGGGTCTTTTGATCGTGGCACACACCCAAACGCAGCTCTCAGTCGCCAACGCCCACTGCTCGAAGTGCGGATTTCGCCTGGAAGATGTCTTGTGGAGCCTGTGGACGCCGGACCCGGGTGCCCAAAACCCGCTTTACATTGCGCCCTCCAACCCTTCCGGCGCCTCAAAACAAAAAGATGTTGCCCTCCCTCCAACCATCACGGAAGCTGACTGGAGTGGTTTCGGAAGACTACCCCCTTTTTGGGGAAACCCCTCAAGTTTTGTCAATGCCCACATGCAGAGTCCCCGCGCTTGAGGACGTCGGTGACGGGATGGTGCATCAGCGCCTCGAGAGGCCAGGCAAGCATGAAAAAGATGAGCAAATCATATGCCAAGCAGGAGTTTTGACAGGATATCTGCAAAATATCCAGCAAAAAACCTTGACTTCCTGTAGAACTCGGTGTAGTTTTGCGCTGAATCAACCGAGAATGAGGGATCCCTGAAATATACCTTCATCATCGGTGACGACGCACACCTCCCGAAACGTGGCGTTGCTTGAGCAATGTTCAGAGTGGGCTGTTCAACATGTGGGGCCTCTACTGCTCCGCAACTCGCAATGGGACACTGCCACAAGGGCACCCGCTTTCATCTGGCTAAGGATCTAGCAGATTGAGAATTCGGAACCATCCAAATAGCGTGGCGCAAGAACTCGGCACCCGGCCTCAGACAGTTCCAAGGCGGTCCTGCACAGGCACTTGGATCAGTTGGCAACAGCCACTGAGCCTTTGCACGCAGCTCACGTGATAGGGCTTGAAAGCCTGTGGCTTGTTGGCTTTACTTGCTTCTTCTCTTGCGCTTCGGCTCACAAGCACAGCTCACGTCAGCGCGAGCAACAAAGGCAACAGCGAGGCCGGTCCTGCATGATCTTGGGTCTAACCGATTTAGATCCGCGCGTGCCAAAGCCAAAGCTTCCTCGGACTTGCGCCAGGAGATGTGACGCATTTTTGGGGTCCCCTTGAAACACACCTTACAGGTGATCCAAAGCAAGTTGTGAACGAATCATGGGAATATCACAATATTTCGAGTGACTGCAGATGGAACTACGCATGTCTCGCAACTCCAAATGGAAAAACCACAGGCCTTTTCTACAACACGCGGGCTCTCCTTGTGACGGCTTTCTTACTTAGGGGGAACCCTTGGTATTGGAGAGCCTGAGCTTCTCCAGGTGTAGACTACACCAACGCGCTGCTTTTTTCTCACTCCCGCTCATCGTTGATGCCGCAAAACTCCTCGTATACAGCGCCTCAGGCAGCGCCTGGCACCCAGCGTCTCACGCGCGAAGTTTCGCCTATCCACAGGCCTCCTGCGAATGGTTGCGCCAAGCCACATCTCACCTTACTTCGGCGGTTTTTTCATGGGACAAGGACGCTGTTGCTGACTGCCTTCGTAGGGAAGCCAACCATTCTGTTGTTGTAGTTGGTGATCAACGCTAAGACCACATTCGTTTTGAGGTAGCCCATCTCCACAACCAAACCCACATTTGATTCAAACAAGAATGCATTTCGGAAGTTGATTCCAGAAAGGCACCTCGTCTGGCAAATATTTTTAACAGGGGACCACCTCAGAAGGTTGGCGGACATGAATCCCCGCCGAATTCTGATGCAACCAAAGCTTTGGTCCGGGACCAATGAAAGTTCAACCCACTCAGCTTCCCGCTAGTGGTTTGGATTGGTTGTGTAGAGGTTGGGTTTCCCCCTTTACCCTCTACAAGAGCCCCAAACCAATCCAAGCCACCAGTTCGGGGTTTCCTGACCCTCACACCGGGAGAACAGAAACGCGGGAGGTGGCTGCTCCCGGATGCCCTGCTCAAAGTTCAACTTGTGGCTTAATGGCAAACTTCCAGTAAACCAACAAAAGCCGCCTAAACATCTACGGAGCCGGAAGGCTCTTTGAACCCTCCATGGCACGCCAAGTCACCGTCCGGGCATTCCCGGCATTCCCGGCATCTTCGGCATGCCGGGCATGAGCCCTGGCAGCCCGGTGACCCCCATGCCCGGCAGGGTCGGCATCCCAGGCAGCTTGGGCCTCAGATTGGGTGTGTAGTTTGGCATTTGCAGAAAATATCTCATTCCAGGCATTCTTGGGTGCCGGATTGTGCTTATCCATTGCAATGGTTCGGATCCTTAGGTGGATGACCATCCCAACCTTAACCCCAAGTAAAGGAACCGGTCTTTGGACCGTGGACCGTGGCACATGTGGTTCTACCAAAGAATCAGTGGTGTGGACGGTGGTTTGCAGGTGTGCAGCTTGGGTGGTTTCCAATTTACACTCTACGAGAACGTGGGGTTCTAACCCCCAGACCACCAATCCAAACCACGAATGGGGGGTAACCAGCAAGTAAACACACACACACACACAACAGCATGTGTCGAAATAACAACCCCATTTACGTGGGTGTGACTGTAACCCCATTGAGCTACACCAACTCAAATGGCCAACAGCGAGCCGCGATGGTACACATCCAGTTCAACAGTTGCCCATGTCAATGAGACGCGCCCTCGACTATGGGGTGAAACAAAGCTACCCACTAACACGACCGGAAAGACCCTCCACAAGGCCGTCTGATTCAGGTTCCAACATGCTCCAGTGGAAGTGTTTTTCTTCAAGTTGTTTCCTCGCGTCTGTAAAACGAATGCAACACGGAAACGGGCTCGGCCCACCGCTTTATTTTGCGGAAGCTCACAAATGCTGGACAGCTGAATCCCCGTGCAAAAGGTTGAATTAGCAGTCCAAAGAGTCCAACCAGTTCCAATACTCAGATATGTGTATGGGTCAGGGGACCGCAGGTAGTCTCATGTTTCCATTCACCGATTGGGCAACCCGTTTTGGGGTTATCAACAGCTTTTTCCCCCCCAACCACACCCATATTATCTCATCAGCCCAGGGGGGAAATCCATTTTTTCTTCTTCTCTTTTTTCTTTCTCTCTACACATGGGCTCATCAGCCTATGTGTAGGAAGATCCATTTTTGTTCTTCTCCTTTTCTTGATCCGCGGGGCATGGTGGGCATGCCCGGCAGGCCCGGCATGCCAAGGGTGGGCCCCGGCTTCGGCGCGGCCGCCGGCAGCTTGGGCATGGGCAAGACCATGCCCGGAGGCGGGGGGTAGATGGGGGGCGTCAGACCCTTCTCGCGGATCAGCATCTGGTAATACTCAATCCTGAGATCAAGTCAAGGGGCGCTTTTTTCTTCTTCTTCTTTCTTTTTGTTTCCGAAAGCTCCCTTTTCTTGTTCTCTTTTTCTGAGGGCTCCCAGATTTCCTGGGGTATTTGGGCGTCTTTTGATTCGCAAATGAGGGTCGGGCGATCGAACTGTTGGATGTGTTGAAGGGCAAAGGTTTCAGGAACCATCAAACACCAAGAGTTTTGGAGGCCTCTGCCGCGTCATCGGCCGGATTGCTTCCTTTGGGTGGGTCTTTGTGGGCCTCGTTTCTAAGGGCTCCCAATCTTATTGAGGCTTGGGGTGAGTTTGTTTTTTTGGGGGGTGCCCCTCGGTTGGGTGGGAACTTTAGGGAAAACCGCAACTTTTAGGTCCCCAACCCAGCGATTTGTTGGGAAGCCTAGAGCTCAGTTCAACCTGATGGAAGAAGTGAGGGCTATAGCCCTTTAATTCAGCCTGACCAAACCATATTGAGACTATGTTGGAAAGTTACATAGTGAATCGCCTTGATCAAATGACAGTTACGGGGCTTTTCTGTGAAAAAACAAGACATCGCAAGCTGGGAGGGTCAAATGAATGCACTGATACATTCGTCCTGATGGAACAAAAACAAACGCTGGCCAAAGTTGTGGGAGCCCGTAAAATTGCACCTTTGGCGTCGAGCGTTCAAAGACCTTGGAAAATTGGCCGTGCTCGTTTGATGCAGTGCCCAAAGCCAGTGGTTTTGTTGTCTTTCCATTGTTTCGGGCTTGGCTTGGTACATGACTGCAACAGCAGAAGTTCAACTTTGTCTCACCTCGAGCTTGACATTCCCCAATTGACAGCAGCCGTTTCGCCTCTTTCCTAGACCCCCTGACCACTCTGGCAAGATAACAGGATCCAAGCAGCGCGCTGATCAACAGCTTCGGGGGACATGTCGTTAGGCAGTATCATCTATCAATGCGGCCAACATGACAGCAAGGTACATGGATCAACTGACGTCTGGCCGGACACATGCCCTTGCAAGGCGTTCAGTTGTGGGGGGCGTATCTTGAGGACATTGACCCACTTGCGACATGGAATCCCCCGTGTAGTCCGTAAATCTCGAAGCGCTTGGGATTTTTCCGGCAAAGCAACCTACCCATCTGCCCATCTTCCCAGCCGGTTGGGTAGCCATTTGAGCATGATGGAACAAAAGCCAAGTGGTGTTGAGTGAAGCCCTGCACTGAAGTCGAATATTGAAACTTAAACCATCTGGCCAAACGAATGGGTTGGTCTCAAAATCGAGGGGAACCCCGTGAAACAGATCAAGGAGGGGAACCAGCCAAACACACACACACACACACACACACACATGGGAGGGAAACTCAAGTGAAACCACCGTCTTTGTGTTTGGTTGGCTGTTTGCTCGGTTGGCCTATTTTGACACCAGGTATTGCGGCCCAGGCTCTTGTTGTTGATGTGGCGCCGGCCTGTCAAGTGCTGCCTTCTGCCAGTGAGACCGCTGTGGGTCAGGAACATGTCACAATACTCGCCTCGGTGAGCGAGACCATGCAAATTTCGGACAGACCCCTGAAATCCATCGACATTCACCACCGAGGACATCGAACAAAATAAACAAAAGCACATGGTGTACCTTGGAGATTTCAATGTCAAGGAGTTTGCCTTTTTTGCGGGCGGTTTGGGGTAGCTTGCCGGCCTGTCCTTTTTCAAGGTGTTAGTGGTCATCTGTGGGCGTTCGCCCAAAAGAGTGCAGTTCTCGGCAACTAGGATTTCCATGACGTTGGTATCTCCAGCTTCAGGAAACAAGCGCGATGCAGCTGAGTTGCAGTAGAACTTGGGCATCTTGGCTCGTGACGAGTCTCTTGTGCCACGCTGCCTATTTGGAGGGGTGCTTTCCTGTACCTCTTTGAGCCTGCAAAGCCGCAGTGAGCACAATGCCGTTCCAGCAAGCCAAGCAGGCTCGAATTTGCAGCAAGGGTTCGCGGCCACAGGACATGCAACTGTGAATGCCCACCCTTGTGAGCAAGTTGTTGTTTGTCAGAAAATGTTCATGCTAAAATGATCAACAAGCAACACTGTTCTCTGTGACTGTTTCCAAGCTGCTCTCTCTCCACTCCAGATCTTGATCTTGTCCAAGGGAGGCCATCCATTTCACCCAGCCCCAGTGGAAAAGGGCGGGTTTGTTGAGTATTCTAGCGACCGGAACCAAACGAAACGTGGGATTCTACCATGAGTTGCTTGCCGCCTGGAAAAAAACACATTCCAGTAGTGATAAAACCCCTTCAAAAAAAACAAGGTAACATACAAACATATTCTGAAGCGAACGGAAGGAATTGAAAGAACCGAACGTCCTTTGGGTTTTTCCACGTCCTCGTCTGCCCAAATCGAAGCCGAAGCCGAGGCCCGGGCCACGCCCCCGGGGTTGTTCTTTGCAACGCAGGCGAAGAGCCCTCGGCGCAGCTCCTGGGAAGGCGAAACACGAACGCCGGACAAGTGGGAGGCCGATTCCTGCCATCGCCTGCCATTCCCAGGGCTGGTGATCTGTTGGAGTTGCAGGAAAAAGAAAACAAGAGCAAGTTTTGTTTTCTATGGCCTTTGAGACTTTGAGATATCTGTCAAGACATGAGGAAGTTGCCTGCCGTTTACTCGCGTTTGGCCTCTGGTGTGTTCAGCACATGCACCCCTCAAAGTGATGGGTTGGTCGACGTTTTTAATCGGAACCCTCTCCAAATTGAAAGGGCAACAGGGTGTCTGGGACCTCCAGCCCCGCGGAACGCAGCTCCGGATAGAGAAATGCGGCAACACGTCCGGCTGAAAGCCTTAGGATTTCACAAATCTTTCCCTGGACAAGCTGAGCCGTGTAGTCTCATATCCACCCTTTCAAACATCCAGACAAGTCGAAAATTTAGAAACCCGCCCTGAACCGGGGGTAAGGATATGTTCAAAGCGGACCGGTCCCTGGGGGAGGGACCTCCCCTCGTCCTGAACCTTTGATGGCGGGCCACCGCGCACCCCAGTGTAGCACTGCGCGCGGCAGAATCGAAGATTGGGATGAGACAGGATGGCACGTTGTACCCTCCGCTTCCCTCTAGTTCGTGGCTTGGAGATTGGTGGTTTGGATGTTAGGGGTGGTTTCACATTTACCCTTTACGAGAACCAGGGGTTCCAATCCAAATCCAAGCCACTAGTCCAACCCACCGATGAGGGATTGTCTAGCTTCGTGTGGGTAGCGGGATGCGGCAATAACTCCAAAAAGGGAAGTCCATGCACCATTTTTCGGCCTAGCCTTGGCTTGCATGTTCCCACACTCCATACCCAAATTGCAGGAACTGTGCTATCTGCTCTCACCCAACCTGGCCGGGGTTGCCCCCTCCTAGAAGCTTTCAGCAAATGCTGCTGCCCAAAAAGAACAACTAGCTCGTCTTTCGTTGTTAGGTTCGCTTTAAATCGTAATTGACAAAGATCGACTCATAAAGGACTTCTAATTCAATATTCTCAAAGTGTTGCGATTTAAAGCGTGTGGACAAGTAGAACTGAAATTGCAGTCTCCTTGAGTTTGTATTTGGTTTGGAAAATCCTTTTAAGGGGCAGGCAACGTAGAAGAAACGACCAGCTTGTCTTTCCATAGATTCATGCCATAGATGATTCTAATTGAATTCTAACTCAATTCGAATGCAAAGGAGGTATGAAAAGAAAAAATCAAAGATCATTGCAGCCACTTTGGCTTGAATGAGCAGCAGCAACAGCAGCTTTTACAACAATCCATGCTTGCAGAATCAAACTCTCCTCCGCAAAGCAAGCGTTCAACTTGCTCAAGGTATCAAGCCTCCAACAGTGCAGTACCACAGCCCCCCAGCCTCCAAAACAAACACAGCCACATGGATATGTTGTTTGAGCGGAATGCAACCCGTTAGTGGGCACTACTTACAAATATGGGGTGCCTATTGAAATTCATGGAAGTATACGAGCCCGTGGTATGAGAAACAGTAGTCCATGTCCAGTTAATCATCCTCTTATCAACCAAAGCGTGAGCCATTGAGAACACCAAGCGCGCATAAGACATAGACACAATGGCCCGGTTGGACATAATTAAGAACATGTGAATGACCAATCAGTGTTGTTGAACGAACTGCCAAACAAGGGTGATCGACGGAGTCAATCATGCAGTCATTCTGTCTAGGATTCGGAGTTGTTCCACCAAAACTTGAGGAAATCAAGTAGCGACATGAACAAAACAGCCTGTGCCTCGTTACCTTCACTTAGTGCTCCCAGCTATCGCACCATGCCCTGTAGCACATGGTTCCAAGGACACATCGCCCCCCTCTTCTGAACCCCTTCCAATTACTTCTCAGCAAATCATCAACCCAGGCAGCGAAAAGGCCTAAGATCGCTTCCCTTGGTTCTGGAAGAAAAGACTTGTACCTGGGCACTCCTGCACCAAGGCTTACCCTCTGATCCTTGTCACAAATGAAAGGCAAAGGGTGCCTCGGGCGGCAACGAAGCCCGGAACCACGAAAGCGCAAAAAATCAAACAGCGGAAAGCTTGCTGCGTCAATCTTGGCACAGGAAACTCTCCCAACTGTAGCCCTCACTTACCCACGGTTGCGGAAAACTAGACTTTCTATGATGATGTGGAATTCTTATCCTTGCTACTTTGTCGTTCAACGGAGATCCCTTCATATCCCCGAAAGTGGCAGCCCAACAATCCATGTCCAGCCATGCGCTCGCCCGAGCGAGCCAGCTCATCTCACTGAGCCCAGCACCCAGGACTGGAGGACTACTTCCAGGGCTGCTTCGTGGGCCTCAGGGCGTGCGCTGAAAAAAGCGCTAAGTTGAACCAACCAACATTTGTGGTTTTACTTTTGGCTTCCCCTTGAAAGCAACCTGAACAGGATACCAACCCTGAAGGAAAAAACAACACCTGGAATATACTGATTCAGGGCCAGGGCAAGGGGAGCCATTTACGCGCAGGGAGAGTGATCAGTGGACCTTGAGGGCCGTTCAGTGGTCCCTGGCTCCACCTGTTGAGCGTGTGAGGTCTGAAGTTCCTGAAATCCAACGTTGGGCCATTTGGGGTGCCATAGTAAGCTAGGTCCTCCAGTAGAGAGGTTAGAATAAGGGTATCAACTTTTTTTTGTAGTCTCTTTTAGTATATAGGGGAAGCCTCCCCCAAACTCCCAACCAACAATTCCAAATGAAGGCTATGACTTCTTGGGTGTTCCCCTTTGATCCCCTAAAAGTTCAACCCCACGAAACCCACTAAAAACCAACGAACCTCAGCCCATGGCTGGGCTGGGATCCACCGATTCTGGGCTGCGATGGGGCGCGGGCCATGGGAACCGGACGAGTGCAGCAGTCCAGCAGCGAGGTAAAGGTCTGGCCGCGACCCACCACTGCCCCAACCCCGACCAGCGCCGGGGAAAAGGCGGCTGCTTTTTAGGTCTCCCCATTCTGCTTTGTACGGACGTGCCACAAGCAAGATGCGGCCGGGAACCGCCCACCCTGCCAAAAAAAAAAACCGCCTTCCGTGATCCCAACCAACGCCCACCTGACGCCACTTGCTGTCCGAGAGCTGGAGCTCCTTCCCAACTTCCGGCGCCTCCTGGACCCCGGGCTTGTTGTGAGCGCCAAATACGCGCCCGCAGTCCGTTTTGGGGACACCCCATGTGCATCTAGCTTCTTGGGATCAGAAATCAGCACCCCCGAGGTGAGAATGCGGTGTCGATGACTTCCAACAAACACTCTCCAGTTGGGAATTGGCCAGAAGGCCACCCAAATCACTGCCACCTCTTGACAATTCCTGCTTGGGCCACGGAAACTGCCGGTCGGTGGGGGCAGGCGTGGAATCGAATCTCAGCGTCGGCCTTTCCAGCGGCCAGCAACGGCACCATCACCTCTGGGAGCATGTGTCGCCTCCTTGGCACCTGCCGGATCGCTCCACGTTTTGACTGAAGGTCTAAGTGAGGCTGGGCGGATGGTTCGGCTTGGAATCCCAGGCCCAAGTTTCCATAACCCCGAATAGAACACCACAAAAAGAACCCCTTCAGTAACCCAAAACAACAAACATCTGGATTGCCCGTAAACAGGATTCACCGTTGAAACGTTACCCCACCGCATACTCATGGGACGCAAAACAATGAGGCAAATCAAAAGGCGTCCCTTGGTGTGAGCCCGGCTCTGAAGGCCAAGAAGTAAACCACGCGTCCAATTCGTTTTCGACAAGTCGGGGGAATCAACCACATGTTGTTTTGGGTATGCAAGGATTCTGCAATGAGGGTACCCTCCCGGTTCCTTCTGCAAATGGGAGGAAGACTAACAATCTTAAATGCTATTGGGTTGGATCTTCAACCTTTGCTTTTTCGCCCTGGAAAAATGGTGAACATATATCCAGTAGTCGTAGATTCCAACTTTGAACCCAAACTGGAAAAATAACACAAACACATTCATTTCAGCCAATAGGTACCAGCCCCTTAAACCACCCAACCAAAATGGAAAACCACCCCACCTTTAAACCACCGGGCTCCAAGCCACCGGGTCTTCGCACCTCCAGCGCCTCGTCGAGCGGAGTTCTTTGCTCCGCGTCGCGCATGGCGAGGTCGGCTTTGGACCGCATCTCAGCCGCGTTCGGCGCTTGATGTAAGTGGCATCCTCAAAAACATGTCCCTCGAAGCGATGTGCAGTTGTTTTTTTGGGGGTTCCCTAGTTGGACACACACACACACAAACACACACGCATTTTTGTCACAGGCCGCCTTTGCAGGTCTCTTCATGGGGGCTGCAACAAATGAAACCTGTGACTACTCTGGACGCTTGATGCAAGAAATCATCTCCCAATTAGCGCCTTGACCTTCTCTTCAAAAGGGCTCAAACAGGTTCCAACGGGACTCAGGTGGTCAAAGGGAGAATTGCACTTGCAAGGGATTGCACTTTACAACCCGTGCCAAAAGGACGTTAAGTTTTTTTGCAGCCCCCAAATGAACAGAGCCGAACACCAAAGAAACTTGAACACTTGCTAACAACAGCGAAGCGCAGGGCTTTGTGATATGAGACCGTCCAATGGGAAAGTTGAATCCAGCGATCGATATTTGCGAAAATCCCAGCGCAATATTGTGGCTGGATGGCAGCAGGAGGAAGCCTCATATGGGCACGAAACTCAACTACACACCCTGCGGTGGACGGATTCATGTCTCCCACTTTTCTCTTTTACGCGACATAGAACTAAAAGTAGAGTTCTTCACAATCAGGTCAAACCAGTGTACCCCACATTGCCGATTGCCCTTTGCTGCTCTGTTTCTGCGTGCTCGTTTAGTGGCCGGAGCAGTCGATCCACAAAGCAGCATCCAAACCGAATACCCGATTGGTGCACTCATTCCCGGATGCCCGGCCCAGCCCTCAAATTCAGGGATATACCTTGAGGGATGCAGATGACCGGGCATGCACCGGACTCTGAGGTTCCGTCGCAGCAGTTGAGGATCTCTTGCATCACCTGGGGCGCAAAAGGGCGATTTTCCAAAGATGGTTTAGCCCAAGTCGGGATGCTTTTACCCTAGGGTTTACTCCATGAAAACAAAGGCTCACCCTATTTACATGATGAAATGCTTCAGCTAACTGGTGTTTGTTAGGGTTTTCCAGACCACATATTTCACCCACTGTTTGGCTTGTCTGTTCCTAGATCCGCGGAAACTATCACTCAACAAACTAAAAACCACATTTTGAAACCTAAGGAACCTGATGGCGGGAGGTTTACCAAGCCGGGGCACACCTCAAAATGAACGACAAACTTCCGCTAACATCGCCCGCTCCAATGGCTTTCGCAGCCCATCGGTCCAGCCTCAACATTCCCTGACGCCGCTGCCGCGTGCAAGGCGCCGCGGCCAGTAGGCAGATCCACGGCGGAGCAGTCTGCCTGGCTTGGGCGTCACGGCGTCGCGTTCCCAGGTGTTCAGTGGCCTCAAATGAGGACATCAGCTACTCCCAATTGGAATCTGTAGCACTGACCCCTGGACCTGGATGATACTTTGATGGGTGATGACTACAAAGCCTCTAACAAACTTGCCACTGGAACGACTAATACGGATTTATGCTCAAACAACAATTGTTTGAACCGCCTGCTTCTGTTTTTCCTTTAAAGGGCGACCAAAGGCTCGTCGTTTTAACCAACGTGTGCAACCAACCTTGCGCTCAGGGCCGCAAACAATTTCCGTAGAATCACCTTGGCAAGTTGAAAGCGTTGCCTCTAAATTGTTGCAAAACCAGTTCCTGACCCAGAAGCCGGAAACTGTTCGCGGTGGGGCGCCGCCCGAACCAATGCAAACGAAAATCTCTCCGCACAGGAGTTCGTGTTTCTTGGAGTCGTCCTTTTCTGTTGGAGCACCGTCATTTCTGGGGTCCCCCTTTTGACACAAGGGTGTGGTTCCTTTCCTTTTTCATGCGCCTTCAATTGACTAGCTAACGGAAAACCAACAAGACCACCGAAAACCCACTAGGTCCTCCAGTAGAGTGGTTAGAATAAGGGTACCCTTTTTTCCGTCGTCTATTTTAGTAGGGGAACCGAATCTCCCAACCGAAAAAGGGTTCTCAGGGCTCCAATTGCTGGGGGGACGTCCATGTTGGGTCTTGTTTTAGAAGACGCACTTCCATCCGCTGGCCTCCTGCTGCAAGCAGACCTTCACAATGGCCGTGTTGCCTTCCTCCAAGGCGTTCAACAAGTCGCGGCCCAGCCTTTCGCTTCCGGCCGAAGCCGACCCAAAAGGAAGCTCAAAGATCAGCCAAAAGGTGCAAGAAAACCAGGATCCAAATCGGGCATAAATTCAATTGGACCTGGATGTGGATTCGTAATCGGCCTTTCCAACAGATGTTTACAAGCCCAGACTGAAATGAAGCTGGACTGGTTGAACATGCTGAGCGGAGACAAGCCCATGGCGAAAGTGCGAGCAAGGGCAGTGAAGCCAAATTGAGGACCCTGGAACCTGCAAACTGAGGGAGTTTGTGTCCGCCAGCCATCTTTGAGAGCCTTCCAACCATGAAACTGATGTTCCGCGTGGCTGTTTCTCGAATGCGGGTTTCAAAATAGGGGCCGCACTTTCTTTCCCCGCACAAGCACACATTTTGTGGCTTTCGACTCTGCTTCCCCTTCGGCCCAACCCCCAAAACGGGGACTCTCCAAAGCGCGCAGAGGCAGCTCCAAAGCCGTTCCAAAAGGGGTGCCAAATGGGCTCTCGAGGCGAAGGGTAATCCTTGCTGCTTGGGTTGAAAGGGAATCCAAAAGGGAAATCCTAAAAAAACACACACACACACATACTCAAATGGATCCGGAAAATTATCCGGACTAAAGTCCAGAAACTCCGGAGGTGAGTCGCGGAAACTAATAAAACTACACAGACCGATTGTCAGAGAGTTTTTGCCCAAGTTTGGAGAGCTTGAACAGCGTGTTGGGTTGTATTGCCTGTATAGTTGCGCTTGCCTGTTTCAGGTCTTTGCCATTGTCTTCTCTCAGAGAGGGGGTGTTGTTGTTCCACATGCCCAGCTGTGTTATTGATGGTTCATTCTTGCTTGAGCAAAAACACACAGCCCAGGCACATGCAACCTTGTTGTTCACCGTGTCATGTGTCTAGGGATGTGCCCTACTTGTGCAAGCAGATGTCTTGCAGAAGTTTGGTATGTATTTAGACTGCAAGGGGTTTGTTATGGTTCGCCGGTTTGGCTTCCAGCATGCATCTAGTCATTGTATCGCACAGCTGATGCCCACGACTTACGCCTCTGGTCTTGGCCTGCAGCCAGCTGAATGTGCCAGGCATTACGCATTTCTGCGTGATGTTGTCAAGTCGCACTCCCTGTCTAAGCTTTGTTGCAGCAAGTTCCCAGCATGTGTCAAGCACGTGTCTAGCATTCTGCTTTAGGCAAAGTCAAAAAGATACTTTTAACATGTCTAGCATGCATCTAGCAATGACCTGCTTTGTGCCTGATTGCGCATTCCTAGCACGTGCATCATCGTGCCGCACATGCTCAGTATATCAAAGCAAACATATAGCAAGTTGCTAGCAAACACTTTGCCTGGTTGCTAAACAGCCCATAAGTGAACAGGACCAAACAAAGCTCCCAAACTTGTTCAATACGACAAGGGTAAAAGCAACATCCGAATGCGGCACCTACACTCCTAGGTCCTGGGTACCCTTTTTCCGTCGTCGATTTGAGTAGGGGAACCGAAGCTCCCCACCAAAAAAGACACCAATTGCTGGGGGACCTCAGCTCCCGCAGCTCGCTTTGAGCGTCCCGGCTTTGCCCTCCACTTGGCGTAGCGGTCCAGGAGGTGGCCGTCGTCGCGGAATCCTGCTTCGGATTTCACGACATGTGGGTCGAAATCAAACCACTAGGGGACCGCAGGTTTTGGTCCATGTTTCCATTTACCAGGGGTCGATTTTGGGTACATATTTTTGACCCACAGCCAAATGGCCTCAAGCCCAGCCGCAAAAAAGGTGGATATTGGCCCAAAGGGAAATGCTTGGAGGCTTGCCAGAACCCAAAAGAAAAAGGTACCCGCAAAATAGACACACGCATTGACATGCCTGGACTTCAGAGTGGCTTCGTTGCTTTAATTGGCGAGCTGGGCAAACACTGCGCGAAACAAATGCCGTCCTGTAGGAGGGGCGCGCACGCCGGCATACACCAGATCCGGCATGTTCCCTTGCAGCTCGCCAGCGAAGCTCAAAGCAATGGGTTCTCCACAGTTGTCCGTCAAACCCTGCCAAAGGACGTGTTGTCGCCAGCATTTAAGCCACCCAAACATGGGAAACACACGCAACGAAGACTGCAGCCAAGGCTTCGATCCCAAGCAAGGTCCAGGAAGAAACTTCTCGAAGTGAGTCTGGGAGCCCAGCATCGCCAAACCGAAATCAGCGGCTCTGCGCGCGCGGACGAAGGCTGTCAGCTTGGTAGCCAAGGCAGCTAAGATGTTACCTCTGCAGCCCGCCGATAGCACCAAGCAGCAAACCAAACCCATGAAACAGAACAAGTCTCGACTCGGTGGAGGGGGCCTGGATATGTCTTACAACATCCAGTTGAGGTTTACCATCGTAGGTTAAACATTTGTGGGCCATTCTTGCAGGCAGCCAAAAAGTGAAGTCGGAGAGAAGCTGGTGTCAAATTCCTTGAGAATCACTGAGCCAAGAAGACGCAGCTGGTTTCGCAAGTGGGAAGGAGACTCACTGTTTCATAGACCCGTCCCAACAGGGCCGTCCCTGGGTTTAGTGGGGATTCGGACCACTTTTGGAGGGGGAACACCCCTCGACCTAAATGGACGGGTTTATTCATGCCGGGTGAAGATTGGGTTTGCCAAAGAAGTCCTCAACGAGTTGGACTCGCCTGACTCGGCCGCGCGTCTTTTCTGTGAGGGCGGGTTCTTCATCTGGGCGCTTATTGACATTGGCCACGCTCCGGTGAAACCGCAGGTCTCCGAAGGGGTGCATTTGGAGGGTTTGCCGGGGTTGGGTTTAGAGAGCCGAACAAAGAAAAGGGCTCTATTTCCCAAGAGGAGTTTCCGATTCGAGACATGGGAGTTGTCTGGGGTGCCATAGTTGATGTCCGAACCCCGGTCAAATAGGCCAGCAAAACCCAAGACGGACTTGGCCCTCGTTGAGAGTTACCGGTCGTTTTTGAACCACATCGACCCCGTAGGCGTATCTCTTTGTGGATGGTTCTGGCATGTTTGGCCCATTTCGAGTGTCTTTTCTCCATGCCTCAGAATTTCTCCAAAAGGGTCGGGCGGGATGGTGTGTTATGAGTTCTGAAGGAAGGTCTTGCGGACCCAGTCAAGAAGCAACATCTCCGGCGGGGTTTTCACTCGGACCAAAACCTTTGTTGAAATGGGCGTGTCTTTCTTTAGAACCCCCTCCCCCCAACAAAAAGCTGGCACCGGTTTTCCTTTTGGCTACCCTTCAACACCACAACAAGCAAATAGGTACCAACTCTAACGATGACAGGCCCAACTAAACTAGGACAAACACCCCACATGGCTTGCAAAGAGGTTCCCTTTGGTTTCCCGAAAAATCCGGATCCCCCCCCCCAACAGCCCCAGAAGGAGACCAGCTGGGCCGCTAGTGGCGCCAGATCTTCAGTAGGCGATCCTTGGAGCCGGTGGCCACGCGGGTGCCGTCGAGGCTCCAGTCCACTGCGAAGACCTCAGCTCCACCCGCGCTTGGGGGGGGAGACGGGTGGGTTGGCTGGACCCGGGTGCTGGGTCCATTTTGGTGGGACGTCCTCAAGAAAAACCAGCCAAAAGGTGGTTTGAAGGGAACAAAATCTCAAATGTTCACGAGGGAACCAGAAATAAACTTTTGGGTGGTTAATACGACAACGAACCAGTTGCTTACTGGCCAAAGTTGATGAAAAAAGAACCTGCCACCATTCTGTCCGCATGTGGGTCCCGATGCCAGGCAGCACTAACCCAAACCCCCCTGCAAAGCCAGCTGAAGGTTCCCTCTAAGCCACACTTCCCCATTCTCAAGAGCTAACCCCATCATCCCCCAAAATGGATGCAAAAACAACTGCCCCTCAGATTCCCAGCCATCGATGGTGAAAGAATGGCGAATCAACCCTTAGACTCCCAGCCCTTCTCCCCTTCCCAGCCATCCCAGCCATCATGCCTCGTCCGCGTGGCCGGGCAAGTCTTCCAGAAGCTTCCGCCGCGCGATGTCCCAGCACTTGGCCGTGGAGTCCTTCGACACGCTGACCAGCAGCCGGCTGTCCGCGGACCACGCCAGCTGGTAGACATCACCTTGAAACCAGGGAACCCGAGAAACCACATGGACCCCTTGACCATGTGGAGGTGGGTCCTGAAGCTGAAAAAAAACACGAGGGTGGATCGCACTGAAGCACCGGCTGGGGCTTCAAATCGGCTGTGGGGTGTGTAGTACGCAGGCTCCCCACTCCCGCTTCCCTCATTGACTTGTTAATGGGCATATGTCAATGGGGAACCCCCTAAAAAGGGTGGTTTTCCTAGAGGTTCTTCTTGCATTTGAAGCAAAAAGGGGGTTCCCTCAAACAACCTTCAATGGAATTGTTTGTTATAGTGTATCAGTGGGCCAAGTTACAGGGTCGAGTTCCGCAGTTCTGCAAAAACTCAAAGCCTGCCTGCGCAAGGGGAAATCGCTATGTATCAATGGCGGGCGCTTGGGACCCTCCTGTTTACCCCACTGACGAGTAAGTGAGGACATGGTCCGCCGTCGCGCCTTTGCTCGTCCCGAAGAGCACGGGTGACCCACTGCGACACCCATTTAACCAGGACGCCGTTGACCAATGCCAGACTTCTCCCTACTTGAAACAACTGAAAGCTCGGCAACTAGTCTGGGTATGTGTCCTTCAAGGGTACCCCAAAAGCTGAGTTTCACTTTCCTCTTGGTTTCCCTGGAAACCAAATTACTTGAAAAGGGGCAGCTTCAAAAACTCAGACACCTCTAGGTGAGCGGCCGACATGGCCGCGGAAGGCATGCACATACTTCCCCGTGCGTCCGTCCCACAGTCGCACCGACTTGTCGAAGGAGGCGGAGGCGAACCACCGGCCGTCCGGGGAGAAGGCTACTTGGTTCACAATCCTCAGTGTGGGTCTTAGACTGCCACAAGTACAGTGGCGAAATAGCGGCATTTTCCAGGACATAACTTGGTGCGCGATGTTGCCCCCTGCCCAAACAAGTGAACGGTCAACCAAAAAACATAAAGTGTGCCAACTCAACGGGTCCGAGGATCTTCTGGTGGCCCGTCATGCGGCAGACTGGGTGCTTTGAAGCCTTGGACTTGGAGCGGCCGACTCGCCAAAGGGAGCTTGAGAAATGCCAATCGGGTGTAACCGCAAACCCAGAAAAGGGGAAGCTGGCATCTTGTTATTAGGGATCCTTTTGCTCCGTGACACCAAAGGGGCACTCTGTGGACGCCAGCAGGGGGTTCTGAATCCTATTGTGTCGTTTTTTGAGGGTACCCGATGTGTTTTGTCATTTAAAAGGGAAACCACAAGAAACAAAATACGATTTTGAAGGACGGCCCCCTAGAAAAAACACACACTCATTCTAAGACAGAACATTTCTCCGAAGTTCAAGCGGCTAAGGGCTTCCACAGGAACAGCGTGAAATCGTCAGACCCAGAAAGCAACCGCTCGCCCCCGCACAGCTCCAGAGCTTCCGCGTAGCGCTTCTTCGCGGCCTCCTGGGGACCCGTTTGGTGGCTTGGGTTTTTGCATTTGAACCGTTGTGGAGATGGGGACCTGTTGCGAAACACCACCAAACCACCAATCCACACCACAAGCATTTATCTCTTTCGGTTTTCGTCTTCTTCTTTTTCTTTTTGGGGGGGGGCGCGGCTTCCGTGCTGGCTTCAAGGGGAAGTGAAGCACCGATCTCCACTCGTAGCGGCTCGCCATTTCGAGGAAGCCCTGCAATCCTCAACTGCCAAGGCCACCCGGAAGAAATGCACACATCTCTGGCAGTGATCGAACATTGAAGTCAACTTGCAAATGTTCTCACCTGGTGATGTTGTATTTTTCTGGACCATTTTGGTGGATTCCGAGCGACCCCTGGAACCTCCCCCTTCATTTGCCTAAGTCTTCTGCAAAAAACACATTCCCCTTACAAGCCCAACTGGGGGAAGTAAGACATCTTCATGAAGCGCAAATTCGACTGTGGGCAAAGCTTGCCTTCCTCAAGCCCCAACATTTTGCTCACTGTCAACAGCTCACGTGACACATCACAGGACATTTTTAAATTGAGACAATCCCCTTGGCTTTCTTTCAACTTTTGTAGACAACCCCCTTCCCAACCCCCTTGTCTTAAAATCAGGGGTTGCCTCAATTTTCCTTTTGGCTTCCTTCTCTCAGTTGCCCAGTTTGGCCTCCTTTAGAATGAAGGATCGACGTTGGCCGTAACACAGCACAACGTTAGTGTCCTGAACACCTCCCTGGGGCACATTCATCTGGATCCCTACTAGCCCCCACATGGTCTCTCGCTTTTTGTGCACAGCATGTGGAGTGGCTCCCACCCCTTTTGCGAACAAAGTGCACCACACACCCAAGACAAACACGTCTCCAGGTCGGTCTTTTTCATGAACGATGGCCTGGAAATGCGAAAGGACTCAACACCTATATAGGACCAGATGGCTCCCGTCCCCCTCTCCGGTCCTTCTTTTCGGCGAGGTCTGCGAACCTCACTTTTCCCGTTTGGGGCCACTAAAGGCTAGAACAAGCCTAAACAAATAGGTTCACACCAGATTCCGTGAGATGAAAGAAAAAACAAAAACTGACGCATTCGCGCACGAAGGAGCTTCTGGGGCTCGTGGGAAAAGGGCCCCGAGCGGATGACGTAGTCCAAGTTCAGCGCCAGCGTGTTGATCCAGTGCCCGTGGCCCTTGAGCTCGTTCAGCATGGAGCCGTCCTTTGGGTTCCACACCTCAGGGAAATGGGTTCCACGGAGCCCCAAAATGGTTGGCCTCCTTCTTGGTGTCCTTTTGGTTTCCCGCAAAAAAACAAAAAAAAACAACAACAACCCCTAAAAAAGACATGATCCCCTAGAGCAAGACAGCCAAAACCCCGTGTCAGCTTTCCTCATGGCTGGCTTGGGGCCCATCAACCCTCAAGAAGCATGGGTCTGGGTTGCCTAACTCAGGGCTCCGCGGACCAAATCTGCAGAGCTGCCAGTTTGTGCTGCTGGAAAGGGCAGGAACCCTTTGGGGAACAAGGCGAACAGAAAAAACAGGGCGCTGCTCCGAGCCGAAATCCAAGCAAACAAACAAGCAAGCTGTTGCCGATTGAAGTGGATAATGAGGAGGGCAAAAGGCAGCTTTGGGTAAACAAACTGGTCACAGACTTCGGCGGACTGCAGCCTCGATGTCCTCTCAACATTGGGTGTTGAAGGAACGTCAGGAAAGTAGGTTATGACTTTGGCCAGAACTGGAGTGGTCGCCCCCTTATAACCATGTTTGCAACCTACTTGCTCAATTCAAGACACATTCCCATTTCAGCTTCCCTCAAAAGGGTGGTTTGGAGGCCAGAGAGGGTTCCCCCTTTACCCTCCGCAAGACCCCATGGTTCACCTCCCCAGCGCGAATCCAAGCAAGAAACTAGTCTCCACCCTTTCTTATTTACCACCAAAATGCAAAACTGGGCTTTCCCCAAAAATGACTCAAGTCCATGAACTCAAGGAGTAATGTGGGTTGCCTGATCATGAGTTTTGATCTCCAATCAGGCCTTGATGACGCAGTCCCTGCCGGCAGTGTAGATCACGCCACCCGTGTCCTCCTTCAGGGCCCAACAACCTCCTCTTCTATTTGCTTCTTCATTGGATCACGTATACACTAGTGATTTCCCGTTTAAACCAACAGGGGAAACTCCAAATCATATGCATTTTCAGCAAGTGGACGTCGTGTTTCACGACCCAAGGCCCTTCAACAACTGCACCCTTGAATGTGGAAGCCCTGTAACTTGAAGCCCCCCTCCCCCCCCAAAAAAAAAGAAGAAGAAGGAATATGAATCAGGTCTGACAAATTGGGAATATGAAATTTAGTTGAGGACCCTTCGGCGGACATCATGGAATTACGTCCACCAGCAACTTGTCCAAAGGGCTTCCAACTCTCAAACCAAAGCTGCATCCCAGGCCGTGCCTTCTTCGTGAACCCAAAAAAGCCAAACCGAGGCTTCCCCCAAACAGGTTTGCGTCAAAATAGGGAGGCCCCAGGACCAAATCTTCTGACGGTCATGGCCGCAAAAAAAAACTCAAAAAACCGAACTCCCGCTGGAGCGCCGACTCCCCGCCTCCCCCCCTTTTTTCGCTGGACCTCGCACTCCCCCGACTCCCCCCCCCCCCCATCGATTTTTCCCGGGTCCTTCTCCCCGGACCAGCGCACCTGCATCACGGGCTGCGCGTGGGAGCTGAGAGTCCTGAGGCAGGCCCCAGCGGTGGTGTCCCAGATCCGCACCGTGGTGTCCTGGAAACGCGCAGATCCACGGGGCGCGCGTCGTTTTGTATACCAAAGGCACCGGTCACCCAGAAAGCCTTCCAAAAAGACAACCGTGGAGTGGTAACCATCCACAAAAAGGCACCTTAGGTTTTGACCCACAACCATATCTTCCATTAAGAAGGACACTTCGATCAACAAGGGAATGGAAAAGCATAGAGGCCCACTCGTTTTTCTTTGAGTAGTTGGCTGGTCTTCCTTTTAAACCACCACACAAAGAGGGGCGCCCTCAAACAAAAGGAACCTCGCTTTTGAACCCCCCCCCACTAAAAACCCCAACAACAACCAACAACAACCAAAAACAAGCACCAAAAGCAGCCAAAAACAACAAAAAGAAAGAACAGCGAAGCCACCTCACCCGGCACCCTTTGGAGGACCCATGCGTCCCCTCGCCTTGGAGCTGGTCGCCAGCCAGGGGAAGGCCTCCGCCACGTGCAGCGGCTGCCAGGTGGCGCAGGTCACCGGCTGGGAGTGGCCCTAGTCGACTGACCCGCCGAAGACATTGCTTCGCTTCTTGGTCGTTTTGTTTGCTGGTTTCCAACCCATGCACCGAAAAAAAGGGAGGGGGGGGGAAGTTCCACTGGCCCTAGCCAAACCAGAAAAAAAGGTGGATACTTTTTCGGTCTTTTCAGTATGTTTTCCGAGGTTTCGAGCCAAGGGAAAGGGGGCTGTCGGCAACATTCATAGGCGAAGTGGTGGATATTTGTTTTTGAATGTTCTTCAAAGGGATATAGAACCGTCTGGTTCTCCCCCACCATTTGCGTATGAACGCCCTTTGATGGCCATCATGTGCACGAGGAACTGGGCGGCAGAAATCTCCAAATGAGTTGGCCCACCTCTGCAAGATGGTGGTTTGCTTTGGGGCTCCCTTGAAAACGGGAAAGCACTCTGGCTGGTGTCAAATAAATGGTCTAGGACAACGAGCAAATACCTATCCCTGTTGGCTTCATTTTGGAATTTCACTCTTGGGCCGTTCGTTTAGCACCCAATTGAGTCACAAAGGCGCCCTACCCAAGAGGAGGTAAAGCAGAGAGCCTCCCTACCCAGGCTTTGATTCTGGCTCATTTCATTTCCTCTTGGTCCATTCTCAATTCAGTGACCCACAAGCTAGAAAACGACTTGATGCCATTTTTGGTCCAGCCACAAAGCAAGAAGACCAAAGCAAAACACCATCCTGTTGGAAAACCAGCCTCTCTTTTGGCCGGTGCCAAGGGATGTTCAGCTTCCCTCCAGAAGGGTGGTTTCACATTCAGCCTCAAGCACCAGGGCTTGAAATCCAAATCAAGTTCCCAAAAATCCAAACCGCTAAGGGTTACCTGATCTTGGACTTTGACATCTATCCAGGACGCGTGCCCTTGTTTTGATTGGGGGATGTCCTCCAATGGGAGGGGGAAACGCGACGCCCGTGTGCCATGCTTCTGGCTGCTTGGAACCACTCGGATTGAAGTCCGCGTGAAGTCGCCTTCAGAGCCCCGATGTTCTTCCCTGAAGAAGTGCACCACACCAGCACGATCTTGTCCATACCCGCCTCCGATGCCCCCCGCATCGCAGAAATAGATTCCCGGCCAAAAGGAGACTCCCCTGCGAATGGAGAGATCTCTTGAAGATTCCATATCGATCTGTAGAGTAGTCAGTTCAAAGGTTGTGCCTTGGGCTCGAAAAAAGGCCATGAAACGGGGTTGGCCTCTTCGGAAAACAGCAGGAAGCCCAGCCATTCTCGGGTTTTTGCTTGGACACCCGAATTTTAAGGAAACCAACCCCAGATGTGCACACCTTGGCCTGTACTGATGATGGCAGCCAGGTGGGTTGGGGGGACCTTCCGGCAACCTGCCTGAGTTCAAACCGGGCAGTTCCAAACACGTGAGGGTTGTTCAAAAAGGAAAGGACCCCCCAAACTTTGGAGCTCAATGCCATTTGCTCTTTCTAACTAAGGCTCACAAAAGCGTTCCCAAAAAGAATCAACTTCCCAGTTGAACAACTGAGGCCCCGAAACAATGGAACAATGGACAAATCAAACTTTGGTAGCCAATATGCCGCAATGTGCTTGTGAGCGCTTACCCTGCTCGGGACGAGTGCGGCAAATGCCTCTTAGCGTCTGCCCTAAAAATGTCAACAAAACGCGCGGGACGGTGTCAAGTCAGGTACCACAGGCACGTCTCTGATAGGCTCAGGTTGACGGACGGATTTGCTTGGTTGCGCCATTGATCTTTGGCCAACGCTGACATTTGAAGTGCGCGACGTTTTTTGGCGGACCCTCTCCCAGCATGGTTTTTCCTTTTGGTGTCCCTTTTAGCACAAAAACATGGTACCAACTTCAAAAAAAGGAAGCACACCCAAATGCTCCCCTGCAGTTTTAACATGGGACCTGGTGGCAACTTGGAGAGCGCCCCCTCCCCGACTCAGAGGTTACCTCTTTTTCTTTGGGAACTTGATCCATCTTCAAATCTTTGAAGAAACAGGGATGCTTACATATCACACCTGAACATTGCAACTTGTAAATGTTGGTTTCCCTTTATCTGGGTGTTGAAAAAGCCATCTATGTTTCAAATGGTTGCAAAATGGAGATCTTTTAAGGAGCCCTGTTAAACACCTAGGGGTCCGTTCCCATGGCCCGCTCAACGCGCCAGGAGGCTGAAGCTAACCTGGAGCCATCGGGTGACCAGGCCACCGCCAAGACCCAGTTCAAATGGCCTGGCCCAGTTTGATCGAACGGATGGAATCGGTGGAACGGGAGACCGCCAGGAAAACGGGTACGCCATGCTTGGCTTCTCTTTTTTTTTGCGCCATGTTTGGTTTCGGGGGGGTTCTCAAAATCAGAAAAATACCCAAGGAAAGTCATCTTGAGGGCCCCAAAGCCGATAGGCAGGATCAAGAATCCCCCCCCAGGTACAAACTACTGGACACCCCTTTTGGGGTTGTCTCGCATTCTTAGTGGGGAAGGCACGAAAGGGATTAGGGTGCCACAAAAGTCACTAAGACGTTGCCATTGACCAAGGCATGTTCTCAAAAAACTCTCTGAAGCCCAGCTGACCTGCATTTTTTGTGGCTTTTGCGGCATGATTTGCACCATGCAGCCTCTGAAGCATCGCGCTTGTCATGGGACATGATTCCGACATTTGCCACCTAAAGCGCGTCTCCCATCCATGAAAACAAAGCTTCTCTTGGACTGTCCAAAAAGGTGATGTCCTAAAACCACCAGAACTGGACAAAGGAGACAGCATCTTTAAGCTTTGCGTGTTACCACAATGCCGAACAGCCGGCTAGCGTACAGCGTGCCGCAGTCGTTTCGCACTATTCCCACGCTCTCTTTCATGAAAACAAATAGGATGACTTTGCAGGTGGCTTTGGGATGCTTTGGGCTCATCTGGCCTCAGTTATGCCTTTAAAAATGGCATCCGTGTTCCTCCCTTTTGGTCTTAACCATCACCTGTTGGGAGCTTGTAAGGTGAGTTTGGAAGTGGTGATGATTCAACAAGGCAAGGGCCGTTCCTTTTCTTTGGTTGCCAAGCTTAATGGTGTCTGGTGCAGTTCATTTAGGGAGAGGGGTGTGTGCAAGAAACGACTGAGACTCACTTGGCCAGTGACATGTTGGGCCGTTGCCACCGGAACGAAGTACACGGTCAAGAAGTGTGGCGTGGGGAACTCGAGGTGGATCAAGCCACACGGGCCGCGCGTAAAGCCCATGGGGGCGAAAAACGGCCTGCTGCAGCTCTCTGTTTTGGTTTTGGAGGACACCCCTACAAAGAAAGAAAGGAAGCCACCCGCTGGAGCGTATTTCATGGACATCAGCCACAGGAAATTCTACATGAAACGCTTGTTGTTGGTGACTAGTTTGCCATTTTCTGCAGAAATGGCTGTAGCTGGCTCCTAAGGATAGTTAAAACCGGGGTTTGGCCAATTTCTTCCCCAAATGGCCTACACCCAAATGACGATGAAAAAAAGTTGGAACTACCTAAAAAGTGATCGGCGCACATGAATCCCGGAATCCCACCGAAATTTGATGTCCACCAAATCGTCCCTCCCAATGCCCCAATCCTAATGGGAACCCCTGAATAACAACCCATCCTATCAATAAGGGGGTGTTCGCCTCCAAAAGTGGTCCGAACACACCCTACTAATAAGCCACCGGTTGATTCATCCGGGGTCAGGATGGGAGTGTCTTCGTTTCTGTGGTTTTAAAGGGAAACCAAACGCAACCCCGAATCCATTCTGGATCCATAAAAAAAAAGAGAAACACAAACACAACTAAACTCCCACTGGTGCTTTCCATTGAATCTGTCACTTTTGGAAGTTCCATCAAGGGATGGCTCGGACACTCTAGATGACTCCGGGGTCATGGCCTTGGTACGCCTTTAATGTGCCCGTATTCTCTGCGGTTTCCCTGTAACCCAAACCACGGCTTGAGCACGCAGTCTCTAAAGCAAAAGGACACCCGAACCCATTTCGGGGAGTATTCCTTAACTTGCTTCTCAGGGAATGAGGGGAATGACCCATCTAAACAATCCCCCATGTTTCCTTTGAGTGAGACGCAAAACGATTCATTCCCGACACCGGACACGGGTCATTCCTTACCTATCGCACCAAGCAGTTAAAAAACAGAGAGCCACAGAACCCTCGGTGGTAGTGGTGCTTTGGGAATCGCTCAGGTTGGAGTGCCCGATATTCCAGGGATCCCATGCGTCGGCCTTTGCAGTATTTTTTGCCCACTGATGGTGGTTTGCGTTGAAACCATCGCCACGTTTGGAGGTTCACAAATCGAAAGTGAAATGAGCCCACAGGGCCTTAACAAATAAACATCTCCGTTTCAGCAAATGGAAGTTACCACCCCTTAAACCACCAGCCAACATGGAAAACCGAGCTCCAAACCACCGGGTTTTGAGTTGCCGGGCGTTGAAATCCCATGAGCCATGAGCCCGTGGGGCCTTTGCAGGTGTGCTTCGGCAGCTCCGTGTTGAGATCCCACAAGCGCACCGTGGAGTCCCCGCTGCCGCTCGCCAGCTTCGTGGAGTCCGGGGAGAAGCTCACGCAGAGCACCGCCTGGAGGGGGGGTGGGTCTGTGGCGGGTTGGTCGTGTTTTTTGGTTGGAGGGATGGTGGGGTTCTGCGGGTTGGTTGGCTTTTGAAGACAGGAGAGATATGGTGGGGTGCTGGGGTGGTCGGTTTTTGAGGAAAGAGGATGTGGTCGGATTTTTGAGGGTTTGCCTCTGTTGGGGCTGGGTTTAAGGAGAAAACCACACTTTTTTGTGTTCCTAATCTGAAGAACCCAAATAGAACCTCGAATTTGAAGGCTTTCGCTTTGTTCCCCGTAACATTCCAAAGGCGTCGAAAGAGGTACACCAAGTGGTGCAGAATCCACCCCTTTGCTTTTGCTGCGGGGGATGCTTGCTTTTGGATGACCTGTTTCGGAAAGAAAGATCTGGCTTCAGCCGTCCCTGCATCAGCACCTTCACCAAGCCCGGGTTCCAGACTTAGAGCCAAACAAACAAACCAAATCCGGTTTCTTTTTGCCACCGAGATTTCTCCTTCAGACATCTCCCCAAGAAGAGACCCACCAAAAAGTTCAGACCAAAAGGCCCTTTGCTCCATCCCTTTTGAAGGGAGCCAAGCTTCCTTTTTGGCTCGCGGCCTCTATGTGACCGCTCAGGGAGGATGTGCATCGTGTGACCGGGCGCACCCGAAAAACTGCCAAAGGGTAGTAGGTGATGTTCAGCACGCGCTCCGTAGACTGGCTGCCTTTGGCCAGCTTGCTGAAAGAAGCTGCCAAGTTCCTGGGGACGGATACCAAAAAGGTCATCATGTCAGCTGGGATTTTTTCTCAAAAAATAGGAATCCGCTGAATAAGCGGGGTCCACTATTTTGAGACTCTCCCACTTGCTGGTTACAAGCGGGTTTTGAAGGAACACCAGCATCTGCGAAAAGAACACAAAACAAGAAACAGGTGAGCTTTCGGTCTGGCAAGGGTCGAGGTAATCTCATTGTCCTCGAGGTGGAAACTGTATGGCATCTCCTCCTAGGTTCACAGGGGCAATCGGTTGAAGTCGCTCGCGCATTGCAAGCGGGCAATGTGGAAGCAACAACTCACTTGCCGGCCCAAAGGAGCCGGGAAGAAACGGTGTACCTTTTGGGGTCATGACCCAACATAGGCAATGGGACAAAACCAAAGGGTCAGATCCTGGCAAAACGGGAAAACCAAAAGGTCAGATCCGGTCGACTTGCTTTGGACAAGTGAGACAGTGCCATGCCCAGTTCTGGCCCGGCGGCAGCATTCTCCAGAAGCTGGTTCAGAAGCCTAAGCCGGGCATACTCCGAGGTTTTCCACCAGACCCATGCGAAAAGGGACACTTGTCTTCCCAACACGGTTCTAAACGTGTCTTGGGGGGGATCCCCATGTTGAGCCGTCGGTGTAAACAAAAAGTGGCCATGCATCCAAGCCCTTGGCGCTTGAACATTTCCATTATGCTGCTTTGGTTTCCTCACTTCATGAGTGGATTTGGCCAACACAGCTCCCAAGCTTCTTGTTTACGTCCAGGAACTTGGATGGGCCTCAAACTTTGACTTATTTTGACTTTACCACTAGAATGGTCCAAACCCAAGAAGCGGCTAAAGTCCAAAGCAGAACTCAGGGAGCGAGTTTCTGAGCAACATGATCCACTTCCTGCGTCCATCCGATCCCCGGAAAGCAGCATTTGGGCTGGGAGAGTTTCAGCGGCTACCCTTGGCCCGACTCTGGGGTCCCTACGTTAGGTTTGCAACTGGAAGAAAAGTACCAAAACCCCATTTGGCTTCAAGGGACCGGGTTGAAACCGAAACCCACCAAATTCAGGGGCACCTCAGAAATTCTGCTCCTTTGTGGAGCCTACCCTGAAGTATAAGTCTATCCAGCATTGTTGGAAGTGAACCCAGCTTCATGTTGGGGTTGCCTTTTTTCCCCCACACCGTATGTCGGGGGGAAAAAGGCAAACACCTGGCAGGTTTAACAGGTTTGGGTTGCCGGATTGGTAAATGGAAACAAGGAGGAAGAACAGGGATCCTTACATTATACACCTGAACATTGCAACTGTTTCCCTTTGCTTGGGTGGAAAAAGCAACATGTTTCAAATGGGCAAACCGCTCTTTTTTTTAACGGAGCCCTGAGCCTGCGGGCCATCTGAGCACCCCGCGTGCCCAGCTGCTCTTTGGAGGTGCCCAAAGGTACATCCAGCTGCGGCCCCGCGCTCTTCCTAAGGCGCGAGGGCACGAAGTGGATCTGGGGAGATCTGGGGGCCTGTTCGGTGGACGTTCCCGAATGAACGGAAGGAACCCTGAAAGAAGGCCGCCAAGAGGTGTCTTTTTCTGAACACTGCCGTGCTTTTTGGGTTCTATGTTGAGTTGTAGGGTAGAAGATGGTATAATTTTGATTCAGGCTGGAACATGCCCGGTTTTTGCCAACAAGAAGAGAATGGTGCCATTTTACTACGGCAATGGAACTCGGATTTTCTGCCTGTGCTTGCATCCCAGGCTTTACCCTTGCTCCCAGGTGATCTTCATTTCAGCGCGTGCTATGCGCCTTGCACGCTTTGAAGCACCTCTGGGGCTGGACCCGTGAAAGTCTCAATGAACATGGGGCTCACCGAGGTGAATCCAGATTTGTCGCAAGCGCAGGCATTCTCTCTATGGGGTGCAAACCTTTTGTATCACCAATCCCACAAACATGTGTATGCATGCAATATGGCTGTGAATTCTAAAAGTTGGAGCCACAGGGTCCATGAAAAGACACGCCCAAATTGACCTCCGTTCCAGGACCCCGACCTGGGACGGTGGTCAAAAACGCATGGTGGGCCCTTTGAAGGGTAAAGAAACGGGTCCCTTAAAAGGAGCCGGCCATTTAAGAGAAGAGTTAGGCAAAGGTGCACCCTATGGACTGCCAGAGATGCAGGCAAACCCTCAGGTAGCTTGAGATCGGAAACTCCTCGAAAAAGGGTTTCGTTGAGCGCCGGGCCCCTCTGGGTCCACAAACTGCACCAAAGCTTGGCCTCGAGGCAAGCAAAACCAAGAAGTCCAAGGGTGTCTCAACATACGGACTCCCCCAAAATGGGCTAGACGAGGGCCAGACGACACCAGACGAGGACCAGACGACACCAGACGAGGACCAGACGACACCAGACGAGGACCAGACGAGGACCAGACGACACCAGACGAGGACCAGACGAGGACCAGACGACACCAGACAAGGACCAGACGACGACCAGACGAGGACCAGACGACGACCAGACGAGGACCAGACGAGGACCAGACGACGACCAGACGAGGACCAGACGACACCAGACGAGGACCAGACGAGGACCAGACGACACCAGACGAGGACCAGACGAGGACCAGACGAGGACCAGACGAGGACCAGACGAGGACCAGACGACACCAGACGAGGACCAGACGAGGACCAGACGAGGACCAAACGACACCAGAGAGGACCAGACGACGACCAGACGACACCAGACGAGGACCAGACGACACCAGACGAGGACCAGACGACGACCAGACGATGACCAGACGACACCAGACGAGGACCAGACGACGACCAGACGAGGACCAGACGACACCAGACGAGGACCAGACGAGGACCAGACGAGGACCAGACGACACCAGACGAGGACCAGACGAGGACCAGACGACACCAGACGAGGACCAGACGACACCACACGAGGACCAGACGACGACCAGACGAGGACCAGACGACACCAGACGAGGACCAGACGACACCAGAGGAGGACCAGACGAGGACCAGACGACACCAGAACGAGGACCAGACGAGGACCAGACGAGGACCAGACGACACCAGACGAGGACCAGACGAGGACCAGACGAGGACCAGACGACACCAGACGAGGACCAGAAAACGACCAGACGAGGACCAGACGATGACCAGACGACGACCAGACGACACCAGACGAGGACCATTGCAGACGAGGACCAGACGACACCAGACGAGGACCAGACGACACCACACGAGGACCAGACAACGACCAGAGGACCAGACGACACCAGAGGAGGACCAGACGACGACCAGACGACACCAGACGAGGACCAGACGAGGACCAGACGACACCAGACGAGGACCAGACGAGGACCAGACGAGGACCAGACGACACCAGACGAGGACCAGACGAGGACCAGACGACGACCAGACGAGGACCAGACAACGATCAGACGACACCAGTCGAGGACCAGACGAGGATTAGACGACACCAGACGAGGCCCAGACAAGGACCAGACGAGGACCAGACGAGGACCAGACGACACCAGACGAGGACCAGACAACGACCAGACGAGGACCAGACGACGACCAGACGACGACCAGACGAGGACCAGACGAGGACCAGACGACGACCAGACGACACCAGACGAGGACCAGACGAGGACCAGACGAGGACCAGACGACACCAGACGACACCAGACGAGGACCAGACGACGACCAGACGAGGACCAGACGACACCAGACGACACCAGACGAGGACCAGACAACGACCAGACGAGGACCAGACGAGGACCAGACGAGGACCAGACGACACCAGACGAGGACCAGACGAGGACCAGACGAGGACCAGACGAGGACCAGACGAGGACCAGACGACACCAGACGAGGACCAGACGAGGACCAGATGAGGACCAGACGACACCAGACGAGGACCAGACGAGGACCAGACGACACCAGACGAGGACCAGACGAGGACCAGACGCACGACACGAGGACCAGACGACGACCAGACGAGGACCAGACGAGGACCAGACGAGGACCAGACGACACCAGAGGAGGACCAGACGACGACCAGACGACACCAGACGACGACCAGACGAGGACCAGACGACACCAGACAGACGAGGACCAGACGACGACCAGACGACACCAGACGAGGACCAGACAACGACCTGACGAGGACCAGACGAGGACCAGACGACGACCAGACGAGGACCAGACGACACCAGGGTCCTCGTGTGGTGCGTCTGGTCCTCGTCTGGTCCTCGTCTGGTGCTCGTCTGGTGTCGTTTGGTCCTCGTCTGGTCCTCGCTTGGTGTCGTCTGGTCGTCGTTTGGTTCTCGTCTGGCGTCGTCTGGTGTCGTCTGGTCCTCGTCTGGTCCTCGTCTGGTCCTCGTCTGGTTCTCGTCTGGTGTCGTCTGGTCCTCGTCTGGTGTCGTCTGGTCCTCGTCTGGTCGTCGTCTGGTCCTCGTCTGGTCGTCGTCTGGCATCGACTGGTCGTCGTCTGGTCCTTGTCTGGCGTCGTCTGGTCCTCGTCTGGTCCTCGTCTGGTGTCGTCTGGTCCTCGTCTGGTGTCGTTTGGTCCTCGTCTGGTCCTCGTCTGGTGTCGTCTGGTCGCCGTCTTCGCGTTGTCTGGTCCTCGTCTGGTGTCGTCTGGTGTCGTCTGGTGTCGTCTGGTCATCGTCTGGCGTCGTCTGGTGTCGTCTGGTCCTCGTCGTCTGGTCCTCGTCTGGTCCTCATCTGGTCCTCGTCTGGTCCTCGTCTGGTCGTCGTCTGGTGCTCGTCTGGTCCTCGTCTGGTCGTTGTCTGGTCCTCGTTTGGTGTCGTCTGGTCCTCGTCTGGTCCTCGTCTGGTCCTCGTGTGGTGCGTCTGGTCCTCGTCTGGTCCTCGTCTGGTGTCGTCTGGTCCTCGTCTGGTCCTCGTCTGGTGTCGTCTGGTCCTCATCTGGTCCTCGTCTGGTCCTCGTCTGGTGTCGTCTGGTCCTCGTCTGGTCCTCGTCTGGTCCTCGCTTGGTGTCGTCTGGTCGTCGTTTGGTCCTCGTCTGGTCCTCGTCTGGTCCTCGTCTGGGTGTCGTCTGGTCCTCGTCTGGTCGTCGTCTGGTCCTCGACACCAAACGAGGACCAGACGACACCAGACGAGGACCAGACAACGACCAGACGAGGACCAGACGACACCAGACGAGGACCAGACGAGGACCAGACGACGACCAGACGAGGACCAGACGAGGACCAGACGAGGACCAGACGAGGACCAAACGACGACCAGACGAGGACCAGACGACACCAGACGACACCACACGAGGACCAAACGACACCAGACGACGACCAGACGAGGACCAGACGACACCAGACGAGAACCAGACGAGGACCAGACGACGACCAGACGAGGACCAGACGACACCCAGACGAGGACCAGACGAGCACCAGACGAGGACCAAACGACGACCAGACGACACCAGACGAGGACCAGACAACGACCAGACGACGACCAGACGACACCAGACGAGGACCAGACGACTTCCAGACGAGGACCAGACGAGGACCAGACGACACCAGGCGAGGACCAGACGACGACCAGACGAGGACCAGACGACGACCAGACGACACCAGACAAGGACCAGACGACGACCAGACGAGGACCAGACGAGGACCAAACGACACCAGACGAGGACCAGACGAGGATCAGACGACACCAGACGACATTAGACGAGGACCAGACGAGGACCAGACGAGGACCAGACGAAATCAGACGAGGACCCCCAGCCTCAAAAGGCAGATCCAATGGCTTTCCCTGCCTTCTTCTATGGGTTTCCAGCTACCTAGCATTTCACAGCATGACCGCATGACCCTTTTCAGTGCTACCAAAGCGGTTGCGACTCAGCCAGCCCGTCCTCACAGAAGTCGGCAACCTACCCATCAAGCACGGAGGGTTGAAGATGGAGAAACCGTCCCAAGATGCTCATTCCACCGAACCAGAAGCAACCTTGAGCGGCTCCCAGGCTTTTTTCACTTTTGGGTGGCCAGCCTTTCCTAGGACTCAATCGACTACCCAAACAGGCCTGCCTGATTGGTCAATTTCCTGTCTTTGGACGAGTTTCACTTGGAACTGCGGTTCAACACGGTTACTGAACCACACTTACCACCGTCCGACATCCTCAAAACTACCCAAGATGCAGTTCCGAGGGAAGCCCCCCCCCAAGAAACAAGCAAAGCAAAAACAGAGAGAACCTATCACCACGGCAGCAGGGACCTTTAGGTGTACTCAAGTCTTCCTCAGGATTTAGAAACATCCACCCACTGGTTTCTAGCCTTCTGTCTAAAATCTTTTAGACCTATCGAAACAACACCCCAGGAGGGAAGACGACTTCCAACGCGTCGGCGTTCAGGTTCTATGTGAGAATTTGGGGAGGGTAAGGTGGTATGGACCAAACAAAGCTTCAATCCTGAAACAGAAATCTGCCAGGACACCCTCCCAAGTCAGCAAAGAACTGGCCTCTGCTTTTTTTTTTTTTTTTTTTTTTTTTTTTTTACGAGCATTCCAAAATGGAATAAGAAATCACCACGATGTTTTCGTGATGGCTCTCGTTCTACCCCGAATCGGTGAGCTCGCACTTGGATGCTCAAGCCACTTCGCAAGTAGGCTATAACCTTGGATTTTTCTGCGGAGGCTAGCCCTTCCCCGGTTACAATGGTGTCTTGGACCAGACCCTAGACACAGCCTGCAATTAGTTTTCAGCTACATCGGTGGTTTGGATTGCTGGTGCGGGATTTGATCCGCAGTTCTTTTGAAACCAAGTGGGGAAGGTAGTCCCGAAATGGTCCAAACCACCGGGCCCCAAACCACACTAGGGGGTAGCTGAAGTTTAACTGTTGGCGCAAAAGAGTGAAGCAACCACGCGGCGAAACAAATGTAAAACAATGGCAATGATCTTCATGGTGCTTGTCCCCTGGAAAAGAAATCCGGGAAAAGAAGACCATTGTGCCAGATTCTCTTTATAAAAAAATAAAATAACAATGATAATAGTAATACTACTTTTGATAATACTACTCAGAATGACACTAGTAATAATAAGAATAAGAATACATTTCAGCCAAGGGAGTTGTTCGCGCTCGCCGCAAAGTCATCGCCCAGTGGCCGTCGATGGCCAGCGCCGCCTGTGCGGCGGCCTTCAGCTTGCCGGACACCGCGTCGGCGGTGGCCTTCTTGTCCGCAACCCGCCTGGCCGTTGCGAAAGTGGCCTATGGCCTACTTAAACCAAGAAAAGCGATCCAAGAAAAACCTAAACCGGATGGCTAGTGAAACCCCCAGGCTTTGACACAAAATACCATGTCCACTTGGGTGCTGTAGATCCCCCAGCAACTAGTTTAACTTTTTGATGGTTAAAAGGAAATATGAGGGGATTCCAAAAAGTTACAGTCGAAAGATCCGGCTCAATAGCAGTAGAGAAAAGGCGGCGGGTGCGATTCGTTTGTGGTTCTTCTCCATGTCTCTCCTTTTGGCTTTGGGGGGCTTCTTGCTCTTCTCCATGATTTTCTGTTTGGGGCGGGGGGGGTGGGGCTGAAATACAGTCAGATAGAGACACCTCGCGTTTCTTTGTTCTTTTCTTTCTTTTTTTGAGGGGGGGTGAACAACATCAAGCAATCTTGATACGCTTTTGGCTTCCTTTGGGGAGAACATGCGTCTTTCGCATGCGTGCGTCTTTCACAGGCTAGCTTTCTCCTTCGCTTGTTTTGGTGGCAATTAATGTCCTTGGTGGGCCCCGGGTAACGCAACAAGCAGAACACATTTCTCAAGTTGAACTCATGTCGTGTCATGTTGAAAAAAGCAGTCGCCTGCTGAAAACAAGAACCTCTCTTGCCAGACTAGAGCGATCCAGGTGGCAACAACGCCAAGATGCCGACATCCATAGGGGTCAACAATCCATCCGCAGGTTCAAGTTAGCAAAGGGCTGGCCAACAATTCTATTTTTCCTATCCAACCTGACTGTGGTGCCCCTTCTGACGCCGGGGATGTCCCCGCCGCTTCTTGTTGGGCCGCGCGGACATGGCGAACGCGCGGCTCCGGGAAGTCCCGGGGCTCGGCCCGGCTTGATCTGGGCGCGCGCATTCCACAGCGCCCCGAGCTGGGCAGATCCCTGGCCTTTGGACCTAGACAAAAGGAGATCACCTCTTGGGACTCAAACTGGTTCACCGAAAGGGCAAAAGGCCGATTCGGGCTGGGCAAGTAGGTTTCCCTTGGCTTCGCCGATTCGTGCTTCCAGAAAAAAGGGGGGGAAAGAAGGGGGGGTTCAAAGCCTCTGACATGTTCAAATTCAGACCCTCTGAGATTTTCCCCTGATTAAAAAAGAGTCCCAGCCACACTCGCAGCCTAGTCCCACACCCGCGTCTGCCGTCACACTCGACGAAATCCGCATGTCAACTGGCGGTTTCCTCCCAGTGCTTTTGCGGCGTCCCTCTCTTTGTTGGCCATTGCCCGCAGTGCCAACAGTTTTTCCTCTTTGAATAGTCGGAAACCACACATGCTTCCCAACAAAGAGGTCCAGGCTCCCACCAAATCGCAGGCAATCTCTTTCTTTCGGCAAGCGCTCCTGCGAATCAGTGCTTTTGCCGGTGCGGCTTGCCCCTTAAGCGGCGTTGTGCCAATGTCCGCATGGCTCTCGGCTGTACAAGAGGCCATCTTGACACCGACGAAGACGCAACCATTGGCTAGGGGACGTCTCTGCCGAAGCGACGTTCGGCACACTGAGTCCCCAAAACTGGGAGAAACCGTTGAAGCCCGTCGCAATCCCCAAACTGACGCACCCAAATCTTTGCATCTCTAAACTTGTGATTTGACATATGGGCAAAGCGACCTTGGGCTTTGGTTTCTTGGACACTGACTTGGGGTCGAAACCCGTGGTTTTTCCACTCCCGCAACCTGTTCCTCCGACACCGGCCAAGAGAAACTGACTCAAAGGCTCGGAGTCGAAAAAACCGATGGGTTCCACGAGTAAATCCTTCTATTCTGCCAGCGGCACCCGTGCGCGCAGCTCGTCGAAGAGGTTTCCCGACTGAGGCCGGGAAGTGACCGTGGTCCTCACGCCGGATCGTCAGAAGTAAGGGGGTTTGGAAAAGTATGAAATTGCCTGGGCTCTCTTATTTGGTACCCTTCCTCCAACTAACATGGCACCGGTGGGGAGGTACCTGGAAGATGACTTTCCTTTTGAAGGGAGCCCCTGTCAGTTGCCATGTTGGTGGGAAGGAGGGTATCCTGTACGGGAAATTGGCTCTCAGCTGCGGGACGCCCTTGACTGTTCCAAGGGTCGAGCATCGAGAAATGCATAGATGAGTAAGCTCAATTTGAATGTCCTTTTGATAACCCTTTTCAGGGTAGGGCAAGAAACGGAACAAAAGGAACATCACCCTGTTTTGGGCCCCACTCTTTTGACCTACCCATTTCTCCAGGAAAAAAACCACGGCGCCCGCTTTTTTCCTTCTTCGGCCGGGCGTCACCACCGTGCCCAGGCGGACATCCGCCCTTCGGCGCACCACGGTGCGGGTGGGCCGGAGCTGCTGCCGGGTGATGGTCGGGAACTTGCGGCTCACCGCCTGAGGTCGTCTTTCCGCAAGCGGCTGTGCTACGTGCTGCTTCCATGGGGGAATGGGAAATGGAAGGAGCCCAACGAAAAACCATCCCCTATACCTTCGTTCTTCCTTGGGAGGAATCAATTCCCTTCCGGTTCATTCCCAACACCAAGGTCATTCTCTCTACCCATCGCACCAGCAAGTCTTTCGGCTCTCTCAAACTGGCAGCCTCATGTCGAAACATCGGGCCCAAACGACGGTTGGCTTTCGCGTGGCGCTGAACTTGCCAAAGTGGGCAGGGCTCAGGAGCCCCAAAGGGCGTCCGCGCGAGAGGTGGACATTCCTCTAGACATGGTTCTGGATTTTATGCTAATCTGTGGAGTGAATAAAAGAAGAGGAGAAGGATGCAAAGAGGCGAAGGTCTGTGAGTGTGAGAAGTCCACCTAGAAGACCATCGAGCACCTAGCTTTCGATTGAATTGCTCCTGGCAGGGTGTGTAAAAATATCGGATGGTGGAAATGGGATTGGTTTGTAGTTGAGTTTGTCATTCCACCGCTGAGTCTGAGTTTATCAATTCACGGCGAAGGTGGGTTGACAATAGATAACATATAGTTTTACGATTTCTTTGGGTGGGCTGAGGCTCGGTTTGAGCGGGCCCGACAGATTACCTGTCAAAAGAGCCCTGAATCAACCGCATGCCCATCATAAGCATGCTGTAAGGACCTAAATCGAACACCGCTACTGTCTACCAAACCATATGTGGCAGCCATGGCCTCATTTCCATGTGAGCTTCGCCAAGGGGCATCTGGGTCCGCTTCAGGCCAGCCTTCCGCCGCCAAGGCAAAGGCCAGCTGCACGGAGCTGGGGTCGCTGTGGGAGGTGAAGACCAAGTCCTGGCGGCGCTTCCGAGCAGCGAGCGTCCAAATCGCATTCAGGGATCCGGATGCATTATACACCTGAACCTTGCAACTTGTAAATGGTGGTTTCCCTGTATTTTGGTGTTGAACAAGCTTCAAATGGTTGCAAAATGGGGATCCTTTTTGAGGAGCCCTGCGCATGGAGCACAGCTCAAACCAACTTTCGCAGTTGGTCCCCAGCTTTTGGGACCACAAAATGGTTGCCAACACGCGGAAATGAACAGTTGCTCCTTAGCAATCTGGGAATCAAAGGGTTTTGGGGCCAAAACGCGGAAACCCAAAGAAAGGTCGATTCGCTGGGAGAAGTGAGTTCTACATGTAACAAGGGGCCCATGAATGAGAGTTCGTGAAAACGGCGGCCCACCTTGCAGTTGGCATTTACAGGAGGACAACAACGAAAACATACATCATAGACCCCAATTTTAAGAACCACCCCGGATCACCCCGGGATCTAAAAGGACACGCGCATGGCTCGCTACGGGCAGTGGAGCTCAAAAGTGTGGCTTCCGTATGTCTTGCAAGGGATTTGTGGGAGTATGAAAGTCAATCCCAAGCGGGCACGAGTTTGAACAGCAAAACCCGGCCCCGTCAGCCGGTGATCTCCGTTCAAACCATGCAGACCCAACGGTTTAAACATCAACTTTGTTGTTCGGGATTGCAAGCAGCTCTGCATGTGGCTCGTCGTTCCCCTTCCGATCAATTTTCGCTGGGCTTCTATGCTTGTCAACCCTCTGGTGATTTTTGGGGCAACACTGACTTGGGAATTGGGCCTCACCAAATTCACATTTCCTCCTTGGGAATTCGGCAACAACCCCATCCCCGCCTAATACTAGACAATGAGACAGGGCCCAAGTCCGCGTGGTGAATGGGTTTGAGAGTTGGGCCAAAGCCAGTATGACAACCAGCCATTCTATGTTTAAACATTACCCGACCCTTAATTTTGACATCACCCTAACAACAACGTGCCCAAAGAATAACCCAAGCATAGGCGGTTGAAGGTGGACAGGCTTCCCCCCAACAACAGCTGCCGCCTTCCACCCGTTTTGCTGAACCCCGTCCCCCGTCTGTCCATGTCGAAGTTGGCCAGCAGCCCGCGGCACATGGGCGGCAGGGCCGCCACCCGATCCTGGCCGGATGGATGCTTTTTCGCCGAAAACTATCCATGGGGCTTAGTATCACCAGCGTTTGCCTACGGATTGTCATCTAAAAATGGGGCAATCCTTCTTTTGATGGGGGTCGATATCTAGGGTACTTGGATCAGGTTAGGGCGTCGCCAAGTTAGGAAGGGTTAGCCAATTGAGGTACCCTGCACAATAACAAGGCTAACCCCACTGAAAGGGACTTGTAAGTGGGTTCACAACTTGCTCACTTGGCCGTGCTCAAGCGACATCTTCTTGGCCCCGAGTTGTGGTGGTTGAAACCCATATTGCAACCATTGTTCCAACACACCATTGCTTAAGTAGTTGCGACTAGTGACTAGAGGTCAACATCAAGTAAGAACTGTCTGGTGAGCGCTGCCCTATCAACCCAAGCCCCAAATCAAACAACGTACTGTTCAATCATAAAACGCAACATTCAAATCAACAAACGACAACTATCAAAATCATCAGCAAGTTTTAAATGATTAAAGGCCATGCTGTTCACTGTTCTTGGAAACCACCATTTTGGGGGGGTTCCCCACTTTGACACACACCTACCTGAAGCAAACAACATCCTTTTCTTGGCCCACAAGAAGGGGTACACAGAAAACAATGTGTCCAATTAGGTTTCATATTTATGATGTACCCTAAACGTATCCGGAACCTGAAAGGATTTGAACCGCCCCGACAGTACCACCGCGTTACTTCATAACATCTACTACCTCGCCTACTCTGAACGTATTTCATAACATCGCCTACCTCGCCTACTCTGAACGTATAAAATAACTCTGGAGTCTAAACAGGGGTCCGGTGCAGTTGGTTCAAATCATTGAACCGTCCGCGCTCATAGCACAAAATAGGACGCCATCAAACGTAAACCCTGTTGCCAGATGAGCGGGGCTTGAAAAACCTGAAAAGCCAAGCCAAGGCAATTTCCCCTCTGTATCTTTTCCGGCTTTTCCGGGATCATTCATTTTGGACCGTCGAACGCCGCCTTTTGTTCTGCAAGTGGGACATCCTCTGGTCCACCAACACTTGGCTTTTGAAAGGCAATTGTCTTCCATGCCTCGCGAGGTTCCATACGGATGGGAGGGCAACTGGGGAAGGGAAGCCCAGGATTCCCCGCCTCCAAGAGGGGCGGCAGCAGGTCCGCCTTGTGACCTGTAGCAAATCAAAAGTCACCAGGCCAAAGCCGAGACGTGTCTGACTTCCTATGGGTATCTGAGTGAGGGTGCCCGGGGTTCAAGGGAAACCGACAGGAAACTACATTTGAGGGTTCTGCCTTGCGCAGTTCTTCCCTTTCTGCAAGTTAATGTTGACCACGAGGGGCAGCGGAGCAACAGGGCAACCCCCTACATATTCATCAAACAAAGGTTCATTCATCTGGGGATATCATTCACTTGGATTCCTTTTGGCATCCCATAAGAACCAACCCTCAACGAAGGAGTCGCAATTAACTCAAACACCCCCCCCACACACACACACACACAAAACAACAAGTGGGCAGCCTCAGACCACAAACAAACAAACAAAGCAAGAAAAGAAACAAACAAACGGCAAACTAAACACGCACACACACACACAGCCTCCCCCTCACACACACACACAACAAAACAACAAAACCATAAACAACGCACAGGGAAAGGCGGAAAAAACAAAGACTCAACGACTCAAATCAGTTGGCATGCCAGGCGGCATACCAACAGCTTGGGCATCTGCTGGAACTTCCGTGGCCCCACCGTCTGCTGCAGTTCTTCGATGCACCAGGCCGCTTTGGTCACGGACTCCTCCATGCAACTCGCGTCGAAAACGAACAAGGCCGCAGTGTGCCCGTTGTACCTGCGGCTGAATTAGTTGTTAAATAACCCCATGTACATGGGGTCCTTCCGCGTGTACGGAAAAATGTACACACATGTTCGTATGATGTATATATCTATCATATACATGTGCGTCCTTATACCTTTTTGGCCATGCACATACCTTCGACCATCTATGTACCGTTCCCATCCATCTATGATTCTTATTCATTCTGCAGGCGTACCCTAGCAGTTCAGAGAGGGACGTGATGGGAGGCTGGGTTTTTCCATACCCCAATCTTTTCTTCTTGGTGTACTTATTGAGTCATTGAATCACAGATTGCGCGTGGCTCTTGTAGAGCTTTTTGAGAGTAGAGCTTAGGGGCCTCATCGGATTGACTCTTTTTGAGCCGGTCAGCGTCACAAAACGTGGAGAGGTCCCCAAAGAGCAATCTTGGAAGGCTCTGACCTCAACAAGTCCTGAGGTCAAACGATCAATCAGGACTCTTGGGTTTTGTGGGACCTTCGCAGAGTTTTGAGGCTGCTATTATCAAACGTGACATGATTACTTTTTGCACATAGAATTTTAATAGAATGTCCATCTCGAACATACTAGACCTCAAAACAGAAACTCCTTTCGGATAGAACTTTAATTCAACATTAGTCAGACTTTAAGATGAACATATCATGGGAATCATGCAGCCAAAATTGTCATCTGAAAGAAGTCAAGTGGGATTCCCTTCCCAAATGGGCGCTTAACTAATATCAGTTTTAAGTTGAAAAACCACTTCAATGAGGAAAACACAATAGACTTGGAAAACAGTTCCAACTCTTCTTCGACGTGAGGGTGTACCTGGACTGCACCCAACTGCTGCAGGGTGGGACATGTGAGGTTGTGCTTTTCCTCCAGGTGTTCTCTCGGGTGCTTTGACTTATTTCGGATTTGCAGGTGGTATGTGAATTGGCAACATGCATTTTGCGTTGCACATGTTTGTATGGGCTGTGTTGTTGGCTACTACTTATTTTGCTACTCCATGTGACAATGTGCGAATCAGCTGCTCTGCCGACAGGGTGTCTCAGCTCGCCGCGTGCAATACTTACTCTTGTGAAGCCTTTCCCTCTTAGATGATGCTCGAATTCGAGCTTGAAATTAAGGTCCCATGGGGCAAGGACTCCTGTCTAAATCTTGAGTTAAACAGGCGCAACCGCTTGTTTCAAGTCGACTCACCTCGGCAAGCGAGCAGCCAAAGAGAAATTCAGAAAGGTCGAAGTTCCGACGGGTCATTTCAAGGGAGCTCACAGGCAAAGGTCCAAGAGTTCTTCTTGTCTCCCTAAAATGGCGGTTTCGATTGGTCCGGTGGAACAAGCTCAGGCTTTACCCAAAGTCGTTTTTGCTGAGAAACGGAACTCAGGGAGTGAGTTTACTGGCCTGTCCATGTGAGATCCTGTGCTTAAAATGACAAACATGTGTGGGATAAATGAAAATCTCCCACAAATCCGAAGGCTAAACACCGCAAAGCCGACGGAACCGGAAGGCGAACCGCCCTGGACGGTCCGAGATGGTCCGAGATCCGAGGCGCAGCGCGGCCGAGAGCGGCGTCATGATGGCGGTGGAGCGCTTGTCCACCGCGGAGATCGCCAGCTTCAGGCCGTCCAAGTCCGCGGCGAAGCTCAGCACCGACATGTCCTGCGAAGAAGTTCTCGTCCGCGAGCCAAATCACCAAGCTACAAGAACCAGGGGCACTTGGATAAAGGAAAATATATATGTGTATATAATTTACAGTGTTTTATTGCATACCACATTCTAGGTGTGGATCATGGGCGGGGGGAGGGGGGGGTGACAATATATACATATATGTCAATACAGATACACATGGAAAAAACACATAATGGTTCGTGGTGGTTTCATATTGGAAGTAACGAGAGTTTAGGGGCATCCAGAGTTGATAGGTCTGACTGCTGTCAAGCCCTAGCACCAGAAAGAGGTCCATTGTCGCCTTCGGCACCGCACATTTACTTCCCCCCGATGCCTGATACCTATGGGGCCAAAAAGAGATTTGGGAGCCTCTGGGTTGCCACGGATCAAGTAAAAAGATGTCAAAAGTTTCTCGCCTAATGGTTTCCACTTGTTGCGATCTAAGGTGGGGGACTTGTCTCAGGCTGACAAAGTTTGTCTCAATGGGCAAACCTGAAAACCAACCCAAAGGTTTCGAGTTGCGGTGCTTGGGTTGAGCAAGGGCGAACAAATTTCAAAACCACCACTCCAATCCACCAACAACAAACAACCACTGAGCCTCCAACCAACCCCAGTTTTACAACCACCAACCCAAGGAACCAATTCCAAGCACCCAAGCCTCCAACATCCTCCAACCAACCACCAAACCAATCCAAAGCGGTTCCAACCCATCCCATCCTCAAACCCATCCCTCAACTAGGTCCTCGAGTAGAGAGGACAGAACAAGGGTACCTTTTTTTTCCTTCTTTTTTTCCGTAGTCTATTTTAGTGGGGTAAAAGGGCACTACTAAGAGACCTAGTCAACTACTCCAACCCCTGCAAACCAATATCCCCGCGGCCCGCGGGAGCCACTCCCACCAGTGCCCGCCGCATCGCCTTGGTCTGGGCCTCGATGTCGCGCTGGGCCAAGAGCTGCACGAGGGTGGAGACCCCGCTCCTCTCGACTTGAAGGAATCACCCGAAATCGACAAATCCGTGGGACTCCAAACTAATGTTGGACCCTCTTTAAAGCGACCCCCCCCTCCCTGAACAGAGCTAAGCCCTCTTTAGTGAAAATCCTGGGAGGGTTTCTACAATAGAGGGTACTATTAATAAAAGAGGTCTAACAATCAAGGAACCCTACCCTAAAGGGGAACGCAAACCGCCCTGAATCAAGGCATCTTGCCTGCATCTTCTGGTCAACCGGTCAACCGGTCAACCCATGTCCCCCGAAGATTCAAGCACTGGGACACCCCCGTCAGCCAGGGCTTCGTTAGTCTGAGCCCTCCCAGTTACGCCCACAAACATATTGTGGGGACTCGATGGGTTCAACCACAATGCGAGTGCCCCCCTCAAACAGTGAACCACTTGACTACTTTTGGGCCGGCAAAGCGCAGCTCTTCCCTTAAGCCTTTAGCTAAAGATTGAGGATCCAACGCAAGGTGCACCTCCCGCCAAGTGTCTATGTCCGAAAGTAACCTATTCCCAAGCGCTGCATAAAGAACCAGCAACATTCAAGACACAATAGACGGATGTGTCTCACACTAGGACCCAGATCCTGGTTGCCGCCGGGTTTCCCTTTCAAGCCGTAAACCAACCAGGTGTTCCCCCCCTCCCGCCACCAAGCAAAAAAGACACATCCAAACTCCCCCCCCGCCAAAAAAACAACAAACTCCCCCCGGCCCCCCACCCCCAAACGCACTCCTCCGCGCGCCGGTGACGATGAGGCGATGCCGCAGGGCCTTGTCCGAGGACTCCGCGTGGCGTGCGCTGGAGGTATGGCAGCGCTCAATCGCCCGGCCCAGGCGAATGGCCTGCCACTGGCGGCGTTTGGATTGGAATTTCGTGGGTTTGGTTTGGGATGTGAAGCCCCGGTTTCCTTGTTGGTTTCCTTTTAGACCGGCCGCACGGCTTTCCTTCACAACCAGCCCAGAAAAGAGGCTGTGTTTTGTTTTGGTGTTTCCTTTTTCAGCCCAAGATCAGGTAGCCCAAAGTTGGTGGTTTGGTTTGGTTTGGTTTGGGATGTGAAATCCTGGTTTTAAAGAGTAGATTGGAAACCCCTCCTTAACCACCAAACCACCAAACCACCAAACCACCAAACCACCAATCCAAACCACCAATTTACGGGAAGCTGAGGATGGCGGTTCGAGACCCTCAAGCGCAGACAAATGATCACATCGGCACCTTCAAGCTACGCTAGATGTCCACATCCTCTTCACATGCCCTGTAAATGGTCGAAAGGGGTAGCTCGCCAAAATGTTCAGAACGACGGTGCCACGCGTAAATTGAGCCCAAATGGTGATCTAAACGGGCTTCCCCGCAACCCCCGTAGACGTCCCAAAAGAATTTGGAGAAGCCCTCCAACTGTTCTCAGCCCGTGCCTCCCTAGTGAAGCTTGAAATGCAGACAGGCGTGGCTCTTTGTAGGTCGCCTCCTTGGAGTTGTCCCTAAAGGAGAACTCACCTTTGCCCTCTGAAGGATAACAACGCAACAGCAACTCCGACAAGACGAGTGCAAAACACAGATCCAACTTAAAACAACGGCAGCAACACGGCTTTATCCAGAAATCAAACGCCAACTGCGCAAGCTGAACATTGCAAACACAAGGCAGGGGTCAGTGGGTGTCCCCAAATCAAAGGTTGTAATCGTTTCGTTGTCCACAACTCAGTTGCCCAAAGGACCCAGAAACAAAAAGTTAACCTTCTAGCACCTTCACTAAAGATGGACCAAAAAACCAAAAGGTCAAAAGGTTGGCTTTGGGCAACTGAGCCAGCGCTCCCGCGAAAGCTCTCCGTGGGGCCTGGCGCATGGCATCCGAAGTCCGGAGCTGGGCGGTGGAATGGGCCACCAGGTCCGACCAAAGGCTCGACTCTTTGGGCAGCTCCTGGAGCCGGAGCCCCAAACCCACAGACCCACGCAACCACAGGCCCTCCCACCAGCTAACATGGGCTTGTGCAAAGACCCCTGTAGAAAGACGTCGTGGAAAGGGCTAGTTGGTGGGAGGGTATACGCACAAACACACAAAGAGTCATGGTGCATTGGTCCCTCCACAAAGAAAGGACGTGTTTAGGAAGGTTTTTTTGACCCTGTGAAGGGACATCTGGGAAACTTTGGGAAGGATTCTGGGGTGGGAGGGCGGGGGGCGAAGTCAGCCTTTGGCTTCCAATCTGGATACGTATCTTGTAAGGGCTTAAACGGGGTGAGTACACCGGACCTTCGAAACACGCCTTTATGTTCAACCCTAAACCTAGGATTCAACTCATTGTTTGTTCAGGAGATTGGACCATCACAGCGCTAAATGGTTCTGGCTCAACATAGCGCCCTGTAAAAAACACAAACAAACAAAACAAAAACAAACAAACAAACAAACAAACACACACACACACAGACAAAACAAAACAAAACAAACAACATGGTGGCTTGCCTTTTGGCTTCCCGTTAAACCACCCTCAAAACGGCTTCCTGTCAAAAAACAAACACGCCCAAAGAGGAATGCGTAACAAGATGTGGTAGGCCTCGTTTAAATCGTCCCCTGCCCAAACAAAAGACCAGCGTCGACCCCAACCAGCATGAGTAGAACTCACCCAAGACCTGATTTGTTGGCTACGCGCACTGCTCTCCATGTTCGATTTTGAATGGACCCATTTCGCCAACCGGGACACATCCCATTTCGGCCTGTCACACCGCATGCTCCTCCGCCAGCCGGCGGCTGCAGGCGCGCAGGGCGGAGAGCGTGGGCCCGCTGCAGAACCTCGGCGACGGGCGGCACGGATTGCGCCAGGCGCCTGGACTAGGTGCCCCTGATATAAATAAGTACAGTAAGAAAATACACAAAGAAGGAAAGTACAAAATGAAGAAGAAACTAACGATATAACATACAAACATATTTTATTGAATAAATGAATGAATAAACATGAGGAAGGAAGGAAGGAAGGAAGGAAGGAAGGAAGGAAGGAAGGAAGGAAGGAAGGAAGGAAGGAAGGAAGGAAGGAAGGAAGGAAGGAAGGAAGGGAGGAAGGGAGGGAGGGAGGGAGGGAGGGAGGGAGGGAGGGAAGGAAGGAAGGAAGGAAGGAAGGAAGGAGGAAGAAAGGAAGGAAGGAAGGAAGGAAGGAAGGAAGGAAGGAAGGACGGAAGGAAGGAAGGAAGGACGGAGGGAGGGAGGGAGGGAAGGAAGGAAGGAAGGACATGTTATATTTATATGGATATGTGTAAATGTGGGAACACAAATGCAGAAACGTATATGCACGTACCTGATATACCCTCTAAACACTCATTATTCCTTGCTTCCTCAAATTCCGCCCAAGCCTATGCGCATTGGTTAGTGCCCGAGGAAGTCAAGCACAATGAGCCTTTTCGGTGGGTTGGAGGGTGTTTGGAACTTATCGACAAGGAGCTGGAAGGCGGTGGAGAGGAATTGCGTGTCGGCCAAGATGGTCAAGCCAGAGTTCATTTCCATTGCTCTCAGTTTTCCGACGCCAACCCCCTCTCGAGCCGCTGGCAAACGAGCCTCGTTCTTTTTCCCTTGCCAGAGAGTGGCACAGGCGCTCGCTTCGGCACTTGGCCGATGTTTTACCACTTGGAGATGTGTGATGGTCCAATTTCCTGAACCTTGTCTGAATCACATCACTAAAAATGGCCTTGGGGATGTAAACCGCGATATGTCGAGTGTGGATGTGCATGAACCTTTTGCATAATCTTACGACACACATGATGAATCTTACATGGTTTGGGGCGCCTTCTATTGGGGCGCGGGTTGCCCTTCTGGGCCTCCAGCCAGGTCCCTGCACTCGGCGCTTTCTTGAGGTTGCATGCCGCCCTTTCGCAGCGGTGGACCGAATTTTTGCAGCTGTCTTGGACAAACAGGGGGTCACATTCCCCAAAGCGTAGAAGAGTTCCTCTGACCATGAAACTGCAATGTTTGTTCCGTCCGAAATTGGAAATATGAGGACCCCTGCCAAACTGCAAGTCTCTCTGCTACTTGTCGATGCCCGGCCAACCAAAAGGACACATGGCTTGCTGATTTTCAGGTTGGGATTCCCAAAAAACTGAGCTGGCCCCGGCTTCGGCCGCAGCCTTCTTCACTTTCCTTTCACCGACTTGGACGATCGGCTGCCTCAGCGACAGAAAGAAACATGTGCCCACTACCGTGGATGGACGAAATCCTGCACCACCTGAGAAACCCTGGAATGATGATTCGCAGTATGCTTACTTCCGCTACTAGCATCGCGTTGTCATCCGCAAGTGGCCGCATAAGTGCATCTCATACAGCATGGCGGTCATTCGTTTTTTTCTTAGAATACGAGATGATTCCTGCCAACTGGCGGCAAAAGTCCCGGGTCCAGGAGTCAAGCATTACTCTCAAGGGCCAGCGGTTGAACTCCAATCCAATTCAGAGTTACCTAATTAGAGGAAATTTCAACTGAAACAGGAGCAGCAAAAGCCTCAGAGAACCACTGAGCAAAGTGACATGCCCCCTTTCGCTTGGAGCCTTTGGGGCAAACACCCCGCTTGATGCCTTGCCCCAACCGGGGGCCGCGCTTGTTGGGCGCTTTGAGGACCTGGCAAGCAAGCCGCGGCATCGCCCAGCCTAACTTCGCCACTGCCTTCACCTTTTCCGGCTGCGCGCCCAGCTTGAGTCCAAGTTTGGACCATCGCCGATTTCGGCGATCGAACCCGGGAACGCGAAACCGCGCGCTCAGCGCGCGATGCGCGCAGGCGCCAGCACTTCGTAGCTGGAAGCGGCGCGGTGAGATCGTCCGATTCACTCGCTCCGGCCCGAAAAAAGGGTCGAAGCGCGTGAAGGGCGACAGTCAAATTGCTGCTTGTGCAGCATAGAAATGTGGCAACCATTTGTTGCTGCCAGTTTCATGCGGATGCCTTAACAAATTTGGGAGATGGCATCATCCCACCAAAGTAATTTGTCCTTAGCGCAGGCAAGCAAACTGCTTATAGCTCCCTTAGAGTTCGAGGGATGATCTATGCAATGGTCATATGGAGCGTGGCGTCCCACCCCAGATTGATCAACCAGTTCTATTCCTTGTGTGCTGACCTTCAGCTCCACTTCTCTCGGCACAAAAAACAAATTCCAAGGGGCATGGAGCATGCCGAGCATGTTGGGACTTGCTTGAAGCGCACGGGCTGAGACTAAAAAAAGTTATGACTTGTCAAACGACTGACAAAAAAAGGGAGGCACTGGCTGGAGACGTTTTAAGACCTGTCTCAACCGGTGAGACTGTCATTCCCGGCGCGTAAGGCAATATCGAGAGAAACCCCCTGGGAAACTTGGGCCATGGAACTGAAAGAAAGACAAATCCCGAAACAGTTCCCTTCAACGCAAGATGCTTCGAAGAAAGCAAACGAAAAGGACACCATCCATCTCCGGGGCTGATTCTTGTCTTGAGAAGCCATCATCGGACGTCCAAACCAATAAACAAGCACCCAGGGTTGCCTGAAACAGGCTGGGGCCTGGCAAAAATGCGAAAAGAGAAGGTTGAGCCACCAAGCGCTCCAAACCCAACCAAAAGACAAGCAAGTCAACTTCAATTCAAGGTGCCAACCCAAAACAAAACCCACAGAAAACCAACCGTAGGGCACCGATTCCGACTTTGAGATGTCATCATGGGTCCCGGGGCTTCAAATCCAAACCAGCAAGGGTTACCTGAAACAGACTTCGCCCTGAAGAAACCAGAAATAAAGGAGGAAAGCTCGGGCCACCACATGTCCGAAAGCATCCAAACTACACCAATCCAAACCAACTACAAGGGTTTACACCCGAGTCAAAATAAACTAGGGGGTTGTTCCTTCCTTTTGGCTTCAAGAAAAAGGAGAAGCAGCAAGGCCCCGGTGAACTCGAGGTGCTGTTGCAGAGCCTGGACCTCCCTGGCTTCCCAAACTTTGGCGGCACCGGGCACGGCCTCAGCCGGCCTGGCTCGGACTCCGATCCGATTGGGTGATCTCAGACTGTTTATAGGGGATTTCCCATGGCATCTTTCGCCCTGAAGCTGGGCCGAATGAGCTCTGGAGCGGGTCAGGAACCGTTCCTGAAGGGGATAAGGTAACCCGACTTGATGTCCGCCAGTGGACAGTGAAGGGGAGGAAGCCTCCAAAACGGTGGGAATTGTGGCATCGGGTGATTGGCAATAACTGGCCAGGCCGTGCATTCCTCACAGTCATCACCTGGGATCGATGAAACTTAAGCCATGCAAGTAGGTTAAGATCATACAGCGAGAGCTTGAAGGCTTGGGCGGGGCAAAGATGGATCACAAACGAGAAGCCAAACACTTTTAAGGTGATCCACATGGGTATAGTCCTAGGGTCCTAAACGGTAAACCGGGCAGAATAGTGGGCCATATGCAAGGCATACTGCATAATCAAAGAAGGAACACCTTATTCTGATAGCACATACGCCATAGGCAAGTTGTCGGGTATGATAAATAGACCTGAGTTGGCGTTGTACATGACGTCACCTGACTTTGATTTCGTGCAACAAATGAGCAATTACTTGATTTCCCACTCGGAAAAGCCGATTCATATTGAGAAAAAACTAGTCACAAGTCGATTTGGACTCCATTGAGGACCCACTAATCCGATACCACCACTTAGGAAATTTCTTGGCAAACGAGGCCGTTGACAGAGCTGCATACCTAGATAGATTGAAAAACTGGAGCATCCAAGAAGCAAAGGAAGTGCCGCCGTGGGAAAAATAAGCATAACGCCCAGGGCATGCTTTATGGTCCCACGTGGTTCCATAGAGTAGCCCTTTACGCTGACCAAATCCAGTGGCCAAACACATGCCATGAGCACGATCCAGGTATCACATGGATTGAACATTGGCTCTCCTTTCCTTTTTCTGTGGGTGAAAAACGCCGGTCTTGACACACACACACACACACGCAAAGCTGGTAAAACTGAGTGTTGGCAACTCCCAGATTTGTGGATTACAGCCAAGGCCATAACCCAGACTCGGATGCAACAAAGAAGAGTTTTTCATAAAGCTGCACTTGAACCTTCCAACATATTCCCGCCAGGATTGCTTCCCACAGAACTCCTGGGCAAGCCGCAGTCAGCTCCGTCACTTATCCCACTCGGGTACCACAAAAGATTGGCAGGCTTCCTAGCAAGACCGAGAATTCAGCAGGAGGTCATCCAGGCCATCGCTAGAATCTTGCCAGGCGACACTAACAAGCTTGACGCAATATGTCAACCGAAATGCAAGACATAATTTCAGCTTGAGAAGCACGCGCTGGACTGAAGACACTACATCCTTCGAAGAAAGATTTGTCTTCTGGCGCAGAAAGTGAAAAAATGCCCACAAAAAGAAACACGACCAGTGAAGGCACTCACTTGCGGCCAAGAAAAGGTTGGCGGAGGAAGCATTTGTCAGAGGCTTGCCGGTTTCATATCTTCTTTCTTTTGTAGTGATAGTGTTCACCTGCTACACTCACGCATAAGCTGGGGTGTAGTAGTACAAACAAGTGGCGCTGGGGGCTAACCCCAGTGTTCCCAGTGACCATGGTGAAGTAAACAGCCGAGTAGTTAAGTGGATGGTGATTGGCTGCGAAAAAGCTGTCCAAGCTTTTCCAGCCCTGGCTCAAAACATGAATTCACCCCCGCCCCTTTTTCCACCAGTGCTGGGTTTGGACCTGGTTGGACCGTGGATCTCCGCTCGCTTCGACTCGCTTCGACTCGCTTCGACTCGCTTCCCCTTCCCGTCCCCAAACGCCCAAACGCAGCCCGGCCTTGGCGGTCGTAGTAGGGACTCTTGCACTGCTTGAAGTCGAAGAGCCGCTGCTTGAGGAATTGTTGATGGCCTGGGCCCAAGCTTGGCTGCAGGCAATGCCCAAACACCCAGCAACTTCTGCAAAGGGCTGGAGAGAGACAAATGCCGTCATAACCATTCAACAGGTGAAAGTGCCAGGTGCAAAACAGGGACATGTGTAGGGGCTGATTCCCCTTTCTGTTCAACCATCCTTCTTGAAAACCAGCGGTTTTCCCCCAAGTCTGGGCTGGCTTTCCTGAAAGAAGTATCCCTGGAAGCTTTTTTGCATGGGTGTGTCCTGTTTTAGGGGAGCCCCTTTTAACCCAACACCACAAAAAGCGGGACCGTCCAGTCCAGTGACTCAGTGGCTCAAAATCTAAAACCGCGGGGGTTGTGCAGGTTTTGAGTTTGGCTTCCGTATACCAAGGAGCAATTGGAGATTCCAACTTTTCAGCAGCCAAATTTGAGGACATTGGCTCAAGCCACTGGAAGCACAGAATGATCCATCGGGTTTCCCCGCCCCACTTCGGCTCCCTGTCAGTTTTCCGAGTGCGCTGAGGCGGCGGCGCTTGTGCGAGGCGACGGGCAAATGAGAGTGCAAGGGGTCGACCATTGCACAAAAAGTCAGGTAGTTGAACCTCACAGGCGCGAGAAAAGCAAGCTATGGAGCGAAGCGATTGGCTGGTTGGCAACACTTTTCTGGCAGAACGCCCCGAACTTTATTCAGCCCGTTCCAAAAGGTGGTCGACATGAATCTCTACATATTCACCAGAGAGTTCCCAATTGCAATTACTGCCCAAACAGGGGTCTGGATACAGAAAACAAGTCACCATTCCGATCCTTCCATTTTGGCTTCCTCAAGTACCGGGCACATTTAATCACATGGGCTACTTAGCACCCGGCGACGTAGCCAACGCAAGCCGAGGCGCTCATTTCCCTTCTCCTGGCAGAGCGTCAGAAGGGGAATCCACATCGGTTGCCCTCTCCCTTGTACCCTCAAAAACCGACGCCGACCCGCGCCCACTTGCTTTTCTTCCATGTCGTCAAGGCCCCAGGGAGCAAATAAACAGATTTCCAGTAGTGATGAATTCCTTTTAAAACCAACAAGGGAAAGTCAACAACATATTCCTTTCAGCAAATGGAGGTTTTGCGCCCAACCCAGCCCTTATCCGCTGCCCGCACGGGGCTTCGGCTTGCGTCCAAGGCTCTGTGTCACAGTAAGCCTTGCAGAGCACTGCTAGGTCTGCGCGGCTCAGGGACTTCACGTCCACGTCATCCATGGCCCGCCAGAAGTTTCTCACCAGCACGTGGCCATAGCCTCGCCAGGCTTTTTTTTTTTGGACCCGGCTCGAGCTTGTTTCCTCCTTCTTCTTTTTGGGGGGCGGGGGAGAGGGGAGGGGCTTTAGAATTCTAACGGAACACCGTCTCCCACCCTCAAGGTGATCGCACAAAGGTGAGCAAGGGGGAAACTAAGGGCAAGTAGCTCGCTTGCCCAGGCTTGGTGTAATTCTCGAACATCGAGGTAATGTCGAAGCCTCGAGCTTTCACATACTGCGCCACAGCTGCGTGCACCTGCAAAACACAAAATCCGGCTTCAGCTCCTGATGAACTTACCCCTCAAATACCCAGTGGCCATGGGAAAAAAGGGCACCTTTTTTGTTGGGTGAGATTGAAGGGAGACCCTGACACAAGAAAGGAAAAGAAGGCACCACCAGGCAACAGAGATCCTGAAAATGGGGCGACAGCGAAGAACCTCCCTCCTCAAGGCAACCAGGCGTTGAGAACCCGTGAGGGTTTTTTTTGAGGCTATTCGGGAACCTTTTTTGCGTTGGTTGAACATGCAGCCAAAAGGAACACCAACCTTGCCTTTCCTTTTGTTTAGGGGGGCCCATGAGTGGTCCCCAACAGGAAGCTGAATGTCCACCAGGCGGCCATCCAACTCGACACATCTAAACAACCACATGCCCAGTAGTGATAGAACCCCTTTAAAATCAACAAGGGAACATAAGCAAATATTAATCACCCCTTTGGTTGGCTTTCAAGGGAAACCAAAAGGCAGACCGCTATATTTTTTTTTTCTCTCTCTCTCTCTCTACCGTTAAAATCGGTTGTTACTTTTCTTACAAGTGCAAGTGCTGTAGTGTTCAAACAAACAGTCAACCGATGTCGTCTGCAGCTGCCAACCTTTTGACTCATGCGGAGTAGTAAGCTCAAGGCCTGCGGTAGTGAACATACATGCAACAAGGGTGCAAAGTGAAGCATGTAGTTTGACACGGCCCCTCAGTTAAAAGGTCTTTGTAGTACCTTTTCAACTGAAGTGCAAAACATGGATTGACAGTAGTGATGAAAACCATTGTTGTTCATCAATTCTACTGTATTGGCAAAAGTAGTGACCTGCGCTCAGTAGTTCACGCTGTTCAGGTTCCAGCTCGATGTAGGGCGCTGGACGGAAGTAGTGAAGGCAGGCACTCGTTGTAGTAGAGCAGGAGCTCAAAAATGTAGTCCCCATTTCTGGGTGCGGTAGGCTTGGACCATCTGTAGTCGACTGTCCAAGGTCGCGTAGTAGTTGGTGGTGAAAAAGGTTGTCATGTAGTTTGGAGCTCCCCGTAGTCGCTCATCATCAATCTCGGGACACGACATGTGTTGGTCGTAGTCCCGTAGAAAGCGGTGTAGTAGTGCTTTGTGGTGTTGTGTGAGGTTGGTCATTGTGAGTAGTGTGAATCCGTAGTATTGGATGCTTTTGCAGAGGATTGTAGTGATTGCTTTGTGCTGGAAGTCGTGTAGTTGGTCTCGGTTGTAAAGGTAATGGAGTAGTTCAGGTAGAAGTAGTGGCATGTGGTAATTCCAAACGTAGTTGTTCCTGAGGCTGTAGTTGTCAGTGAAGGTGGTCATGTTGTAGTTCACCTTGAAGATGGTCTGTGGCAGTGTTGTAGTCGGGAGGTAGTAGTTGTGTTGTACCGACATCATGTAGGAGATGTAGTCCCTTGTGAAGTGTAGAAATTGTCCTGAAGTGAGGTACCTCAGGAATAGTGGTTGTTCAATCTGGAGTTGGATGATGACGTAGTTGGTGTTGTCGCCAGTTGTAGTGTGGAGTGAAGTTGTGTGGTAGTAGTGGACGTTGGCTGCTTCAGGTAGTGAAATGCTGAGCAGTGTGGAATTGTAGTGTGGCATCCGAAGATCTCCAGGGATGCAGTGAATGGGTCGTGTGTAGTCCAGTTGTGCCAGTGGAGTAGCTTGTTGTTGTGAGAGTAGTTGATACTCTTCAAGTGTAAATGCAGTGAAAAATTGCGTGTAGGGAATGTTGTTGGGCAGTGGTGGTGCAGTGGTTGTCTGGTGCTCAGTGATGTGTAGTTGGTCCATCACTGTGGTCGGGTTGTAGTAGACGGTGTTGCCGGGTGTAGAATGGTTGAAGTGGTAGTTGGAGTCGTTGTAGGTTTGAGGTGGTGGAGTTCCATGGTCACTGGAGTCCGTAGTGACCGCCACCTCAGGTGTAGTCGCCCTGTCGGGCGTAGTGGCGTCTCCCATCGTAGCATCTGCAGTAGATGGAGCGGCCATGGCTGCAGTGGAATGCAAAATGTAGTGAAACGGGGCAAAACAAATGAGCCTAAGTAGTTGCTACCAGGCAGTCGGCGAATGCAGACATGTAAAACAAACAACTGTAGTGTTGACTCAAGCCGCCAAAAGTGCAAGTGAAAGTACATGTAGTTACTGTTACTTACATACCAAAAGTGTCGTGTTACATGTAGCTACTTACATACATGAAATGTCCAAAGTCGTTGTTGTTGTTGTGAAACTGCTGTGCTGGTCGTTCGTAGTGCTAGATGCGTATTCCAATGCTCTGGATGAGCCTGTGTAGTGTTTCTTTGCTGATGTATTTGGTAAACAAATCTGCGCTGTTGTGGAGTGTGTTGATCTTAAGGATTCTGATGATGTCGTGCTTGATGAGGTCTGGTGTGTAGAGGAATTTGAGGTCGATGTGTTTTGCTCGTTTGCTTGTGCCTTGTCGTGTAGCAATGCTCTTGCCTGCTGTGGAGTCTGTGTGGATGCGTAGGTTTAGCTTGCTGCAAATGTTGGTTTCAAGTAGGAAGTTTCTGAGGTGTAGTCCCTCATTAACTCCTGTGCAAATGGCGTAGAGTTCAGACTCTGCTGAGCTAAGTGCTATTGTAGCTTGTGTTCTGCTGCCAAATGCAACTGTTGTTCCTAGAAAGATGATGTTGAAACCTGAAGTTGATTTCCTGGTAGTAGGGCATCCTGCCCAGTCGGCATCGACATGAACGTCGAGATCCAGGATGTTGTTGGTGTTTGCTCTGAGTGTTGTTGTTGGTTCTATGGTGAATTTGTAGTGCTTGGTGCCGTGCAAGTAGCGTAGTAGATGTTTGACTCTCTTTTGTGAAAGTTCTGTAGGTGCTGTGAGGTCTCGTGCTAGTTCTTTTGTGGAGTATGCAATGTCTGGTCGTGTGTATGCTAACCATTGAAGTTTGCCAACAATTCTTCTGTACCTTTTGTGTTGTTCGTGGTCAAGTAGTGCTTCATCTTCTATTGTTGGTTTGTAGTGTGCAATTCCTGGAGTGTTTACTGAGTTGCAGTTGTTCATTCCAGACTCCTCGATCATGTTGTCGATGTAGGAGTCCTTTAGTCCAAGATTGCAGTAGTTGCCGAAGTGGTCGATGTTTCTTCCAAGAAATTGTTGTGGTTTGCCAGGTTCGAGGTAGCCGATGTGCTTGAGTAGTACCTGCTTCTGGACGGCCTCGAAAGTGGAGTCGACTGCGGTCTTGTCTCCAAGTACTAGTAGATCGTCCACGTAGACCATGATGTAGCAGTCGCGAGTCGCATTGGTGTAGACGTTGGGTTCTGACTTTAGTCTTACAAAGCTGAGCTTTTGTAGAACTTCAGCCAGGTAGTCCTGCCATGCTTTCGGTGAACTGCGTAGTCCATACATGGCTTTCTTTAGTCGCCAGATTTTGTCCTGTTGTGGACAAAGTTCTTTAGGTGGCCAAAGGTAGACGTCACGTTGTTTACCGTCGTGGTCTTTTGCGATGGGTGCGTGTAGAAATGCTGTAGAGACGTCACCTAGTCGCGCGATCCAGTTTGGTCGTGACATTTGTAGTGCGAGAAGTGTCCGGAGTGTCGTGAACATTGGTGTAGAGGCGTAGACGGAGTCTTCGTCCTCGATCTTCTCGGTGTAGCCTTTTGCGACGATTCGGCTTCGTACTCCTGGTCCTTTCTTTCTGTGTACCCATCTTGTAGGTATCGCTTCTCTGATGACGTTGTCGTTGACGGTAGACGCATCTACTTCGTCGTAGACGTCGTGTAGTTTCATTTGGTTTGACTCGTGTTTCATTCCTTCCAGTAGTTGTGTTTCGTCGTAACCTTCGTTGTCGAAGATTATGGGTTGGTCTTCTGAGGTGTCGTCGTTTGTGTAGGGAGTGATGGATTTTCCGTTGGGAAGTGTCACTGCGTTGATTTTCTGTCGTAGTGGTGGTGGTTCTTTGGTTGCTTGTTCCGTTGATCTGATTGTAGTGTCCTTTGAGGTCTTCTGTGCTTTAGTTGGTTGCATTACTTCTTCCGGAGTTAAACGTCGTAGTGTTTGTCGAGGTGGTGCTGGTAGTGGTGGATGTTGTCGTCCAGTTGGTGAAGTAGCCATAGGACTATCCGGTAGTGGTCGTGAACTTGACGTCGATGTGGGCGGAAGTCGTGGAGGTGGTGTAGTGCGTTGTTGTTTTGTTGCGGGTTCTGCAACGATGTCGTCCGTCGCATGCGTTTGTTGTCCGAAGTCTTGCGTGGACCTTCTTTTCTCTGACGGTGGTAGTTGCGCATCCAACAGTGTTGCGAACGATGGGTTGTAGGTGTTCCGTCGTGGTGCCCATGGTGTGCCGGAGACTTTGTTCAACAGTGCGAGGTCGTATTTGAAGTCCGGTTGTAGTCTCCGTACTGTTCGTACCTTTTGTACGCCTGATTCCGTTGCGACGTAGTTTTCTCCGGTTTCGGAAACTTTTCCGAGCCAGATGCATTTCTGCATCCGTAGGTCTGCTTTCGGAAGTTTCTTGTGTTGTGGTGGAAGGTAGAGTAGTGTCTCGCCAAATTCGCAGATTGCTCGCTCGTAGTTTCTTCCCCAGCGGCGTTCAAAGCTTGTGTAGCCGTCTGAGTGGATGACGTAGCGATTTACCGTCCATGCTGCATGTCGTACTATCCAAGGTAGTAGACAGTGCTTTGTGGACATCGTCATGCTGTAGTTGCTTTCAACTTGAGCTTTGACGACGCGGATTTGTCCGAGAAGTGTTCTATGTAGTCGCTCAACGCTTCCTTGACTGTTGCTGCTGTAGGAAGGTGAATGTCGTACACTCATTGTGCCGACTTTTGCTGCTGTAGCTTTTAGAAGTGCGTTGAGTGTGTCTTCGTTGTCGCTTTGTAGTATGCCTTGTGTTCTTCCGCACTCAAAGATGAATGCTTGTAGGTTGTTGACCATGTAGTCCATCATTGATGCTTTGTCTGGAACCAATACTGCCATACACAGTTGTGTAGTAACATCAACTGCTGTCAGTACCGGTGTGGTCTTTGGGTCTTGTTGTGACTTGATGTAGGCAAAGTCTACTTGAATGACAGGTTGTCGTGATTGTTGTTTCTTGTAGTTGTCTTGGCGTCCTTTGCCTTGAACGCAAATTGGACACCAGTTTCTGTATGGTAGATGTGTAAGGTTGTGTTCTGCTATTTGTTGTGGAGTGGGCTGCTGTGGTTGTCGTAGTCCTCTTGCTCTTTGTGCTTCATGATGCTCGTGTTGCTGTTCTTCATCGTGGTTCTCCTGGATGTACTCGTAGTCTTTCTTCACGGTAAACCTTGTTGTTCCTTTCCATTGAAATGGTAGTGCTGCGTTGCCCATGACTGTCCAGTCATCTTTGCGTTGTGAAACTTCTCCAAAGTTGTTGTGAGTGATTGTAGTTCTGTGAGGTTCAAGTGTGTTGATTGGTGGATGTCCTGGTCCATCTGTTGGAGTGAAGAGAGTTGTTCTAAGCGTTGTGTGGTGTCGTATCCAATGTTCACCTTGTCTTTCCCAGTAGTCTTGGTTGTCCTCCTGTGCTGTGAGTGGTCTGTGTATTGTCTCCTTTGGTTGTGTGGTGTCAAGATTTGTAGAAGGTGCTGCTTTAGGTCTCCATATCTTTTGTGGTGCTCGTAATTGGATCTTTGATCTGGTTGGTGGTGTGTCCATTAGCCGTTGTGGTTGTGAGCTCTGCCTTGTTGGTGTGGTCTTTGATGTTGCTCTGCGTGTAGGTGTTATCTTTCTTCTGAATCTGGTTTCTCCAGTCCAGTTGTCACCTTCTAGTCTTCGTTGTAGTTCTTGCTTGGAAAGTTGTGTTGGGTTCTCTTGTAGTTGTTCTTGCTCTTGCCCTTGTCTGTTGATGATGGTTAGTCTCCAATCATCTAGTTCTCCTTCTGGTATTGGGCAGCCACTGTTGTGTGGTGTGAACAGTGCTTTGCGTGGTCGTTTGTGTACTCTGATGGCGTAGTCACCATCAAGTTTCCAGTAGTCAGTGTTTCCACCAAGGATCTGTCGTAGTCCTTGGTCTGTGTGTGTGAGTGGTGCGATTTGTTCTTGTTGTTGTGCTGCTCTCTCTGTAGGTTGAATCACAGCAATGGATTTTCCATTGTCTGTAGTCATTGGGTAGATGTCGAATCCTGTAGGAATGTCGATCTTCTCTGCTCGTAGGTAGAAAAGTCCTGAGTGTCTTATGAGGTGTGCTTGTTGTTGTCCATGTGTGATGGTGCAGTGTCGTGGAGTGAAGTCAAGTCCATATCCTCTATCAAGTAGTCTTGATGCGCTGAGGATTGGATACTTCACATCACAAACGTAGTAGGGTATCATGATCCTGAAGTTGTCCTGCTTGTAGGGAACGTACTTGATGCCGTAGACTGGAATCTTCTTGTTGGTCACCGTGTAGAGTTGTGGAACTGATTCTCCACAGGGTCGTAGTGGAAGATCCGGTGCGTAGTCCTTTGGGCAAACATGTGTAGATGCTCCTGAGTCGATCAACAGGTGGTGGTATGACTTGAAGTTGGAGTACATGATGTAGTGGGTGATAGTGTCCTCAATCTTCTTGTTCCTTTGTTGTTGTCTTGCTGCTGCTATGTCGAAGTGTAGCTTTGTGGTGTCTTCTTGTAGGAATTGTTGAAAGCTCTTGCTGTGGTCGTTCCATGATGTTGTGTGTGTTGTTCTCTTGCCAAGTAGTGATTTGGATTTGTGCTTGTGTAGTCGTGATTTTGCTTGTCTGATGTATCCAATGGTGAGGTGTGACTCGTTGATGCCTCCAATGTAGTTCGCTGTGTCCTCATAGCTGTTGTCATTCCAATCCCAGCTGTTGTCATAGTCGTAGTCGTTCCAGTTCTCCTCCATGTAGTTCACCTCATGTTGTCCTTCTTCTCCTTCGTAGTACCAGTCCCAAGTGTCGTTCACATCCTGAGGTAGTTCATCATTGTTGTCGTGATCTGCTTGTTCTTGTTCTAGTGGATGTAGTTCTTCTCCTTCTCCTATGTGCCATACCGGCACTCTGCAGTCTTGTGCCCAGTGGCCGGGCTTGCCACATCGATGGCATGTTGTGTAGTTGTTGCTTCCTTTTCCTTTTGATTTGCTGTAGTTTCCTTGGCCTTTGTAGCCTTTGCTTGATCCATATCCTTTGGATCCTGAGTAGCCTTTTCCTTTGCTCTTGTTGTATCCTCCTTTGTTGTAGTTTCCTTTGCTGCCTTTGTCGAATCCTTTGTAGTGTCCTTTACTCCTGTACTTGCCTTTGCTCTTGCTTCCTTTGTAGCCGCCTTTTCCTTTTCCTTTGCCTTTGTAGCTTCTTCCTTTCCTCCATATGTTGTCAACATCCATTGGTGCAGTTCCTCCATTGTAGTTTGTTCCTACTGCTGAAGTAGATCTAGTGAAGGCTGAAATCGTTTTGTAGTAGTCCAGGATGAGTGCTCTGATCTCGATGTAGTTCGTGATCTGTCCAGCTCGCAGTTGGAGGTGTTGCTGCAGTGCTCCTTTGGTTTTGTTGAGTAGTATTGCTATTTTGATTCCATCTGGTAGTGCTGTTCCATTGTCTTTCTCGTAGCGGTTGATGTCGTATTCCCATTGTAGAAATTGTTCTTCAAACTGCGCTTCGTTGAATGTGGGTTCCAGTAGTTTGGTAAGGTAACCAACGCTCCTTGTTCCTACTGGTAGGCTGAACCTGTTGTGCAGTAGTCGTAGTGTTTCACATCCGTTTGCGTTGTAGCGGTTTTGCCTTACTACTGTAGCTGCTGCTCCCTGACAGATGTTGATGAGGATGTAGTGTAGATCTCTGGAGAGGTCTACTGCTTTGCTTGCTTGTGTAGGGTCGAGTATGTGTGTTCTGATGTCTGTGTCCTCAATCTGTCGTGTAGCCACTTGTGCTAGTTGTAGCACCAGGTCGAAGTCTCGGTCTATGAGGCCGAGGTATGCTTGTAGCCTACTGTGTCTGCTGTTGGCCCGTTCTCTGCTCCTGTAGTTTGTTGTGCTGAGGCTGATGCTGCTTCTCCTGACATGTCGTAGTAGTTTGGCATGTAGCTGCTGTTGCTCTGTTGTTGTAGTACTTACTGCTTACTGGAGCTCCCCTATGTTTAGGATCTCAGCTCCGCTACCACGTTAAAATCGGTTGTTACTTTTCTTACAAGTGCAAGTGCTGTAGTGTTCAAACAAACAGTCAACCGATGTAGTCTGCAGCTGCCAACCTTTTGACTCATGCGGAGTAGTAAGCTCAAGGCCTGCGGTAGTGAACATACATGCAACAAGGGTGCAAAGTGAAGCATGTAGTTTGACATCTACCGTTGCGACCACTATTTTTGGGGCACCGATTTTTCAATACCGGACACGCCCACTTGGCCTTTCTTGTTCCTAATTTCTCCCAAAGTTGCGTATCTTACCTTTCACTTCGGGTCTTGAGGCGCTGTTCCTGAGCCAAACACACCCGACCCCGCAGCGCCCAGGCGGTCTGGCGAGTCAAAACGGGTCCTGAGTGGACTGGCCATGAAAAAGGACACCAAACTGGCCGCTTTTTCCACTAAATGGCAACCCCCCCCCCCCTTTGTTTTTCTCAAAAAAGCGACCCAAGTCCACAAACTCAGGGAGTGAGTGGCTCGTTCTTTCTTGCCGCCCCCCGCTTTTACGGCGAACAAAGGGCTCAAAGCTCCGGTTCCTGGCCTTGGCTTCTCGGGGGCTAGCGAACGACTTCGAATGGGATGACTCACTGGAGGACAAGTCCGTCCTGGTGGATTGATCTGAGGGCACTACTGAACTACTGAACTATATTTGTTGCTGTATCTAACCTGACCTCACCTAATCTAATCTCTTTTTCCTTTGTGTATGGATTGATCTACCTATGACTCCATCCATCCATCCATCCATCCATCCATCCATCCATCCATCCATCCATCCATCCATCCATCCATCCATCCATCTGCCGATCTATCTGGACTTCTACCGGCCCAGGTGATTGGCTCACCTGGGGAAAAACCAAAAAGCAATTCCTTCCCTTGGTTGCTGCAACGCCCCCCCTGCAAAAACTTTTTCACTTTTTTGGGGCTTAGTGGAAAGATTTCAACCAGAAAGTTAAAGTCTAAAGCTCCAACCCAATAGCAACTTCCTTGGTTCGGCGGGCCTTTTGGAGGATGGCCTCCTCCTGGGCAGGTAACTGGAGATGCAGCTTCTCCTCCTTCGCGCTGGACCCGCTCCGCTGCTCCTCCCAAGCTTTTCCCGAGGCGTTTCAGGCGCAGTCTGGCCTGTCCGTTTTCTGATCCCCTGATAAAAAACAAATGCCTGTTTCGGTGGGTTAAATGGTACCTCTAGCGAAAAGTGACGAACTTTTAGTGGGTTAAATGGAAATTGCCACTCAACTAGCTGGAAAGCTAAAAGCTACGGGGATGGCTAGTGATCCAGTTTTGATTCAGCCACAACGCCATGAACCAATCAAGTAGGCCTCATTTTTTCCATCGAGCGCACAGGGCTTCCAGCAAAGCAAGCGGTGGAATGAGAGGCCAAACCATCCCGAACTCATCTTGAAACTACCACGAGAGGCGGACGCCCTTGGTGATCAAATGCACCAGGTGTTCGAGGAGCTCCAAACATTGACCAAAATTGGACAACTGACCGGTCATTTCAGGTCGATTCGCCTTGGGCAAGTGGGCTGTCGGACAGTTTGGGTTTCCCCTCCAAAAGTTTTGCTCAATTACTGGTGGGTTCCATTGAAATCGCCACATTTTAAGGTTCAAGCAAGGGACATGGAGCAGACCCTGTTCGAGAACCATCGAAATTCCTCCATCTCCACCCGGAGCTTCGCATCGATGTCGGCGCAGAAGTCCTTGTAGCAGAACCTGCCGTCGCCAGTTTGGTACCTTGGCGCGCCAAGCCATGAGCAAAAGGTCAAGCCAGATCACCTTGAAGGGGTACAAATTGACATGGAACCCAAACACTTGTAAGACAAACTCCTTTTGGAGGCTTTTTCTTTCGGGTCCTTCCGGAAATTGAATGGAAACAGCATCTGTTTCCAAAAGGTCGCCTTTGGGCCTTCGGGGTCGCTTCCCCGCACTCCCCCACAAAATCAAGGCGTCACTTTGTCCAACAGTGACGCAAATCAAAGGACTTCTGCGTCAGTATGACCCTCTCAACAAAATGGAGGGAGAAACTGTGATAAGATCAGCGAAGCTGAGATGGACACCGTAACCACAATAGGCCATTTCAACGAGGAGCGCAGTATCTGATCAATCAGTGCGCACAATTTCGCATACAACTCCCACCACACGTAGGGTCGAATCGTGTCCCTCCCAAAAGACTTGGGTCAACCCCGCCCCCTGGCCGGGATGTGATGGCGCACTGTGCTGACCCCGCCTTTCAAAAAGCTGCCTCATCTCTTCTGAGGATAGGCGTAGCCCCATGAGGGTCAAGCCGTTCGTAAAGCCAATGTCTGACACCGCGCCTCACGGGCATAGCCGCTCCCCCCAGCCAGACCTTTCGAACCTCGACGTCGAGATGTGACAGCTATGCCTGCTTTAAGGTGCGGATACAACAACTTCTACCCTCCCACCAATTAACATGGAACCTAACCAGGTTAGTTCAAAAGGAAAATGGTCTTCCAGGACCCTTCTGTCAGGTTCCATGCTAATTGGTGGGAGGGTAGTTGGCCTGGTTGCGGCCCCCGTCCTTGGCGCAAGCGGTCGAAATCCTGAAAGCTTGCCCACAATGGCACGCGGTTGACGGCGACGTGGGATTTCACAATTGACCTCAGGCAATCCATTTGTCTTGTTTTGAAGGCATCCCACTTGTGTCATTCTTTTTGAGGGTACCATAGGGTACCATTTTTGGGCGGGTTTGAAACATTTTGGGGGTGCCCCAACACACACACACACACACCCTTGGTTTGCGTTCTGAGGCGACACGAGCACTCTCACGAACCACCCGGCCGCTCGAACTTTATACGGCAAAGAGCGGAACAACGGTAACCAAAGAACTGATGCGTTGAAAACCGCAGGTTGCTATTGCTCCACTCTCCAGCCTTTCAATGCATGAAAGGGGTCGTGGTCTTTGTTGAGGCGATCAGCACCCCCTCGAGTTTGTAAGGAAAACGGAAATGCCAAAAGGCAGCCGCACCATTTTTGCCCTCAAAAAGAAGCTTTTGGCTTTTAGCCTTGGGTAACAAAGACGACAAGCCGCCGCCCTCGCCTGTCGCCTGCGGTCGCCTGTGACAGTGGGCATCGGCCGAGTGGCATGACGTCCGGGCGCGGCTGCGCGGTTTGCGGCCGCGCAGCAGCTTTTGGGCGCTCAGGCGGCCTGGAGCGAGTCAACGACCACTTTCTGGCGATTTTAGGGTTTAGGGTTTTGAGGCATCTCAGAGGTGTCCAGGTGTCAAGGCTGACCTGTGTGGTTCTTGCCCTTCGAGAGCAACCGACAGTTCAGAGTGTCCAGGCTTCAGTTGGGCTATGGGAAGCCAACGCTTGGGTGCCTCGTGATCCTGTGGGTGGGAGGTAGGGAGGTTGAAGATGTGCGGGTTGGGGATTTTCTTTGGAGGGAATGAGCGACTCGGGTTGAATGGAGGGCCCCGATCCATGTTGGAGCTTTGCCCTTTGCGGAAGCTTACCCAAAACCAACTCAGCTGATAGAAGGGGCAGGTGCTTGCCTTTCCTTTTGTTTCTCTGCGGGGGGAAGGGGGGGCGGAGGGGGGTTTAAGAGGAAACAGCTGGTAAGCCAATGTGTGCATGTGCTGAAACAAATCTTGGAAGGAGCCTTGATGTTCACTTGAGGGCTTAAAACAAATGAAACACAGCCTCAGAACTCGAAAGCAAGCTTTCGGCGAGTTCCAATCAGGCCTGGTAGCACGTCTGCGGCAATTGGCAGATGCCGTCGGGGCTATCGACATACAGCTTGCAATAAACAAAGCTAAAGGTTCCTTATGATTTCAAAAGCTCACTTCCTGAGTGGATGGGCCCAAAAAAGCTCCCAAACTTTGTATTTGCCACTAAAATGGTCCAAACCCAAAAAGTGACTCAAAAGTCCAGAAACTGCGGATCTGAGAAGGGGAATGACCCAAGGTTTTGAACCAGCTTTGGGCTGCCTTCATAGGAGATGGTTTTTCTTGGAGAAACCACCTGCTGTTTTCTCAAATGTCGGATCCCCTTTGCTGATTTGGCTTCGAATTGTCCACCACCTGGTGACCCTGGGCAGTGAAACTCCAAGGGTTGCTTCCTTGGGCCTCACTACGCGCCTTCTTTTCGGGAGAGAATTGGAGGCTATTCTGCCCAAAGGACCTGGAAATAGGTCAACCCTTTTGGAACCTTGACTAACAATGGACCAAACCAGGGAAACCAAAAGGTTAAACGGTTGGCCTTGGCCTTGAACCAGTGAGTATTTGGCACCAATCAGACCCATCCCCTCCTGGCCTGGATTCTCGGGCTGTCTGTGGCCGTTGCCGCGGCTCACTCGCGCTGAGTTCCTGAAGGCCAAGACTCTTCATTCGGGTTCTTCTTTTGGTTCCTGAGCTCTCCATGTTCCAATTTGCTGGTAGTGCTTGTTCGGGATACCTGTGACCTTCTAGTGTGGCAAGTGAAGAACTGGGCCAAAACCATGGTATTCTATCCGCCTATTTCTGGGCTGGGAAAATGGTCGAAAGAAAACATGTGGACACAGAGTTGGCGGCTTTAAGCTGCTTGTTCCGCAAGTTGGGCGCAAACACAGGGCTCCCTATAGTTCCAACCGAAAACATTTCCCCACCAAAATGAAGCTCATGTTGATTTGGTCCACAGGTGATGCTTAAAACCATCCCTTAAGGGGAACAATAAGGAAACCTGTGAAGCTGGGGGATTGTTGACCTGCGTTTGGGCTTAGCCCAAGCTGGGCCAACTTCCATCTGCTGAGTTCCATGTTGGTGGACAGGGGCGTAAGGACCCTCACTACGTGGACATAGGAAACTTTATCAGCCGCGCGCGCCCGAGAAGGCCGCGGCCAACGTGGCCCAGTCACACTCTTTCCCAATGACCCAACATGCCAAGCAGCTGGGGGCGCAGTGGTGTTTGGATCCCTCCAGAGTTTCAAGTGGTTTGCCCAGCGTTCCCGGGCAGAAACAGTTGGACGCGGCGCACCTGGGTAAGTTTCTTGCAAGGTTTGCAGAATGGGGAAGACACATTGAGGGTACAAGGTAAATCGGTACTGTCTCTCAAGGTGCTTGGACAATTTTGCAAAAATCTGTGCGCGTCTAAATAATGGAATTCCGCGTACCCTTTTGGCAAGTGTTAATTTAAGCACTTGGGGTGCGGGAGGCAGCGCCCCCCGCTAACAGTAGAGTCTAGGAGCGTTTTGTTGGCATGAAAAACCTCAAATCTGGCCATTTTTCTGGAAATTTTGGCGTGTTTCAAATTTCTAGGCCCCCGCACCCCCCGTACTTAAATTAACCCTTGCCAAAAGGGTACGCGGAATTCCATTATTTAGACGCGCACGGATTTTTCAAAATATGCAGCAGCTCCTTGGAATCGCGTGTGTTCCGGACTGCGTAACTTAAAAACAGATGTAACACAGCACGTACACAGCAGCCGACACCATCCCCTGATTTCCATGGTAAAAATCCCAGAATGCGTAGAAATTCCAGCATTTGTTGAGGGAATGCGTACAGAATGTCCGGTCCCATCGCTGCTTCTGGTCAAGCCATTTCCCCAGGTGTGGAGGGCAACCGAGGCATCCGTTGGCAAGTTAGCAGGTTGGCCTAGGTTACGCTCAGTCCCCCGTTCGGGGTCAACGTTCTTGAAAAGAAACCCAGTGTGGCTAACCATTCACTAATTTGGCAACGACCGTCCAAGTACCCTAGGGTCCACCCCCCAAAAGAATGATTCACCCAATTTAGATGAGAATCCTCAGGTGGTTGTTTTAAGGGCGATGGCCCCAGGTCATGCCTCTGATCAATTTGGCACAACTCCCGGCCTCCGTCCGCGCCTCCGTCCGGGCGCGGGCGGTTTGCGGCCGGCCTGCGATGGCGGAGTTTGCTTCAACAAGCCGAACCAAGCCACCGGCCGGCCAACCAAAATGCGGAAAAAAAAGGGCCAAGAGCCAACTGGGCGCTTTTTTTTTTTTTTTTTTTTTTAACAAAGCTCTTGCAAATTGCAACTGTCTCCTTTTTGGTTTTCTCTTCATACCGAAGTCTTGGCTTGGGGTCACCCGCTTCCAATCGTCTAGGCGTCATTCAGCGTGCGCATGGGACCTAAAAAGCACGGACAGACTGCGTCACTCACCCCCGTTTCACACAGAATGGGACACCCGTGAAACTTAGATGTCAACCTGCCTAAGTAGGTTGTGACTCGGTGGCTATCACTGGGACAACTGGGGCTAGCCGCCTTGGATCCGTACTAGTGGGTCGAACACCCAAGAATGTGATTTTCCCTCTCTTGGCCTCCCTTTCAAGTGATCCAAGGAGATGTCCCCATGTTTAGACATGGCATGGGCTCATCGTTTGCCAGACAAAGGCTTCATTGCACCAACCACCATCCTGAGTAACCCGCACATCCAACACTGGGTGGTGTTCGCCGGGCGGTCCAAGCTAATCCCCTGCAAAAACAAATCGCTTTTAGTGGGTCAAGTTCACACACCCAACTACAAGACCCTGAAGAAACTCAAAAGCTAAGGGACGGCTGGGAACCGCCAAGTCAAACATCACCTTTGGGTTGATGAGTTTCCTCTCGGAGTGATGATAGCCCAACCCAGAAGTGAAGAGAGCGTCTTAAGTACCCTAAGAGTGCCAATCGCCCAGCCGGCGTCTTTCTTCTTGTGGTATATGCTCTTTGGTTTCCTACATGCATTCTGAATGATTTGTAAGGCAACCCATACGGAAGACTTGCAATCAAAGTTTTGGGGTTCCTTTTGAAGGCCTACGTGTGTCGCACTTGAATGTCACGTCAGAAGCATTAGAACACACCTCACCACGCAGCTCAAAACGTCTAGGGTCCTGAAACCCTTTCGAGTTGAACATGCTTGCCAGCCGAAGCATGGTGGCCCCTGCTTCAAATAGGCATCAGGCAGGCTTCCTCTCGTATGAACATAACCCAGAAGGTTCCCGCGGCTCTTCAGCGCGCTGACCCATTTTCTGCTTCCCCCGGCTCTTTTCAGCGTGCTTCCGACATGGGCCCGAATTTTTGCAGCCTTTTGGGCATGCAAAAATCAGCAACCACCTCAAAGGGGGCAGGTGTTATACTTCTAAGAGTTCCACTACCAAGTCCGTACACAACTGGTAGCTCCCTCCAGGCTCCCTCTTGACAAAACTTGAATACCCCGGTTCCCCCTAACAACCAAGTCCACAAAGGGTTCCCTCAAAAAAATACACCAGCATAGACCCCAAATAGCGCAACATGTGCCAACGACAGTACGCCAGCACCTCTAACAGCACTGCCCGAAGAGCACCTGAACCAACACCAAACAGCATCCCAAAAATATTGTAGCACCTGCACAAGAATCCCCAAATTGCATGCCCCCTAGCACCCTGCCGTCAATCTCGCAAAAACACCCCTGGCCGTCAACAGCCCCCAAAAAACAGCACCTGCACCAGCCGTCAATCTCGGAAAACGCCACGCTCGTCACCAGCCCCTCAACACCATCCGCACCATCACCCCGAACAGCACCCCCAAACGGCACTCCCAAACCACCCGGCCGTCAATCTCGCAAATATGTACTTGCACCATCACCAGAACTTCATCTCAAAACACCACCTGCGCCAGCACCCCAGACTGCATGCTCCCTAGCACCCTGCTGTCGATCTTGCAAAAGTGTGCCCGCACTGTGACCTGCACACCCCAAAACAGCACCTGCATCAGCACCCAAACTGCATGCCTTAGCACCCTGCCGTCAATCCAAATAGACTGCATTCGCACCATCACCAACAGCTCAAACAGCACCCTAAACAGCACCTACAGCAAAACCCCAAACTGCATGCCCTCTAGCACCCAGCCGTCAATCTCGCAAATCACTTTCCCTTCTTTATTAGAAGTTAGAACCCCTGAAGCTTTCAGCTATCTGGGGAAAAAGCGCGGTGCACCCATCTGCAAGTTTTACTATTCCAACAGCTGAATTAAGAATTGGATCCAAGTCAAGGCGAGTCAAGGACTCATTGCATTTGCTCGCACCCCCGAATCGGTGAGCTCGGTATCAAATACAAAATCGGCAGCTCTTTGGCCCCTCTTTAAAAGCAAATTGGGATCCCCCCCCAACAAACATATTTCGCCACCTAATTTGTTTTTTTGTCAGACTGAGAGTGTCTTGGCGGGTTCCCTTTTGACTTCCCTTTGAAGCCCCACCATTTTGTCTCCAACTTACAACATCTGATGAAAAGATTCTGGTTCCCCCAACATGGTGTTGTCCCTTTCCAAGCCCGAAAAGGGTTTCCCCCCCCAAAAAAAAAACCACGAAGACACCCCATCTCCCCGCCTGGCTGCAACGGGAAGCCTGCGGAGTAGTTGGTCGCCGCCTTGCGGGGCTCGTAGGCCACTGGCGCGGGGAACTCCTCCACCTGGCAGCGTAGCCGTAGCCCGTGGAGCCCAAAGCGTAAGACGAGGATGAGAAGAATCAAAATGGGTTCCGGATATCATAAGAATCCCATAACAATCATAACCATCCATCCCATAACAATCCATCCATATCATAAGAATCAAACTGAGAAGCGTTGGTGGGTATATCCCACAATCCAATGGGTATTCATTTTTGTGGCTTTCGCACCGTAAGCCAAGAGCCTTGTTGGTCTGTGCCCCTTAGGCACCCAAACGGTCACCCAAACTGGGACTCATTTAGACCGACATGGCAAACCAGAAGGCTAAAGCGGCTAAAGGTCGATTTGGGCAAGTGAGTGGCATGAATACGTGAAAGGAGCAGAATCAAATGGGTTCCATGGGTTTGTGGGTCTAACCCAAAAGGATCACATAACCATCAAATGGAAGCTTATGTTTGATCCGGGGTTTTGTCAAAATGGGTGTTTCCTGGCAAACGGAAAAGACAAGATTTTTGTTGCTGGCGGGAACGCCCCGCCTGCAAAAAGGGTGAACCACTTCTTGAGGCTAAGGACAATCAGTCTCAAAAAGTTAGAGTCCCAAGATCCACCCAGGAAAATGGTCCAAGCTGGTGGTTGGAAGGAGCCGTTGAGTTGGAGGGAGCTAGCGACTGGAGTTGTGCAAGGATATGGCAAGGGATGGATGTGAGGTATCTTGGGAGGGCACCTGAAAACTGGCAGAGTTTCTTTTCCAGCGCAAGACCGTGGCTTCCCGGTTTTCTGGTGAAAGTTGTGCCCTTCAACCAAAAGCCCCGGGCCTTCGGGTGAGTTCACTCCCGAAATTTGGAAGGTGCACGTGACTCCTGGAGTCAGGATCCACCTTGCAGACATGGAGTTGAACACGTGACGTTGGTTAATCTGCGGAAACGTGGTTCGCCTTTTGGTTTTTTGTCCAAACCAGAAAGGTACACATCCCCAACTCCCAGAAAAAAAAGAGCCATCCACACCCACTTGGCTGGTGTCTGACTGGCCCGCCAGAAACCGACAAAAGGCTTCCAGGCTTCGCGCCTCCTGCTGGAAGAGGAAGATCCGAAAGAGGCCATCCACGTCTGTGAACCGCTCCATGACCGGCTGCATCTGAGCCGGGAGCCGGAGCCACAGCCACCAATCCTGAAGAAAAAACCCTTTTTTCTTCGTAGACCACTTCTCTTCCTTGAAGCCACCCTCCCACCAGCTAACATGGAAAGTAGTCTTTCTACAGTATTGGTCCACACCCTATGGCATGGTTTGCGGGTCTGGATGGTTCGGGCGCAAGGGCAGAAGGGCACGTCGATCAAGAAAAATCAGCGCGATCGCCCGGAAGGCGCCTGAAAGCTGCCCAAATTGGTCCAACCAAATATCACCCCGCATGGAACTTACTCAAAATCTGCCTTTCCAAAAGGGGAGGTTTCAAACCACACAACATTTGGGTCTCCTTTTTTGGGCCCCCCCAAAGAAGATGTGGTTTTCCTGTTGGTTTCTGTATAACACCACAACACAGGCGTACCCTGCAAAAACGACGAGAACAGAACGACTAGAATGGAATCGGGACCCGGCCTCCTCCTCTGAAAGTGCCGGAGATACCGTGGGAGTGCTGCGTGTCAAGGGGAAGGTGCTCAAGAAATGCTCCGGCCGCAGCCGGCCAGCTCTGGCGTCGATGGTGGACCAGTAGGTGTCGTCCAAGCAGGTTCCCAAATCGATGCCTGTGGGGCCGCGTCGCAGCCCGAGAGCCAGGAATTGTCTGCGCCAGCCCAGTCTTCACCAAGGTCGGATGGCAGAAACTCGGGCGTTCAAGCAAGCTACTTGGTAAGTAGCTTGCAACCATTCTTTTTTGAGGGGACTAACCCCTAATTCCCCCCACACACCACGACCTAGTTATCTGACGTTGGTCGAACATCCTAATCTCTCTCTCTCTCTCTCTCTGCCGAACATCCTAATCGTGGCAACCATTTTCGGTCCCAAGTCGCGCTCGCAACGCTTCCGGCCCCCCCATTGAACTCTTTTGCAGGTGCGGGGGAAACACCTCCAGCTGCCGCCCAAAAAGCTAAGGGTTAAAGATGCTGGGCGCAGTCAACCCTAAACCAACCCCCACAACAATCCAAATACAAAACCAACCCCAAATACAACACCAACACCAAACCTAAACCGTCTGAACTGCTACGCCCGCCGAAAAAGGATACCATAGAAATCGAAGAAATCCGAGGGCCAGCGGGCCCAAACCCCCCCCCAAAGCGCACCCGGGCTGACCCGGTCCTCTGGATTCGCAGAGCACGCGGATCCGATTCATCAGCCATCCATATGCTTCCTCACGGGAAACATCCGCCGACGCGGGACGCGGAAAGGACGCGGAAGGGACGCGGGACGGGGGAAATCGACCTGGCAATAGAGATGAGTTCACTCCAAGTGGGCATAGATAAGAACAGGGGACATGACCCAATGACCCTTGCTTATGACCAAACATCTCGGCAAAGCGATCGATCCCGTCAGATGGATTGTCCGATCGGATCTATTCGCAAGCTGAGCTGCAGGATCCGCCGGAGGCTTTGGCTTGAAGCCCGTCCACGTCATCACTTCTGAGTCGAGCGTAGCGGTGCACTACGCGCCGATTGGAAGGGCTTCAGCTTCCAACTCAAAAAGAAGAGGTGGTTGGGAGCCCGGTTTGGAAGTTAGGGGGTAGCTTCCTATTTGTCCTCTGCAAGATGCCGGAATGTCGGTGTCATGTAAGGGGGAGGGGGTCTCAATATGAGACAAGCCCAAGCCAATGTTCAAACTGAAGTTGAGTTGGGGACCATTTGGTGGGCATGAGCAAATACATGAATCTGTTTTACGAGAGGTGCCTCGATACAAATCATGTTGCTGAGTGTCAAGGTGTGTTTCCATCCCTGAGTCCAAGTTAGTGTTGATTGCATGTCCTGTCCAAAGCATGGAACAGCATACATTGGGAAGCACGTAGAGCATTTGGATGGTCTACACCCCCATCAACACCTCTATGTATATGTTGCATGTGTGTAAAACATATTATAAGACAACAAGCTATAAAGATCGATACTCAAATCATCCCGCAACCAACAGACAGAATCGGGGGACGATATTGCCCGTCCAGAGTCCAGTGCCACCTTGAACGCAGAAATTCAATCCTCCTGTTCCAGAACGACTATTACAGGCAATAAACATCCCGATCCGATACCAAGCACCAAATGGAAACATGACCCATAACACATGTCTCCAAACAACTTCAACAGTCTTGTCGCTCTATGCGTCATACAATGAGACAACTCGTCGCGTCTCACAAGACAATGGGCCACCATGCCTCCGGGTGTGTCATTTTAACGGGCACCCTTTTTGGGGGGTTGTGTTGCAAGGGAACGCCGCAGAAAACAAGGCTCTTTTTTTTTTGGGGGGGGGGCACAACAAGTGAGTTTGTGCAAGTAGAGGGCAAGTGCTAGAAGCGATCACGACTCCCCAGGAGCGGACAAACTTGTTAAGCTCGCCAAAAAAGCGCTGGGCTCGGGAGATTGGTCTCTGCAACGCGGTTTCCATGGTGAGGCCTTGGAATTGGCGGGTTTCCTTCTGGTTGCCCTTTAAAGGAACCTCAAATGAGACACGGCAGCCTCTGGTTTGGGCAGCCAAAGCTGATCTCCGAGGGGCGGTGGCCAGGTCGCGGCACCCAGCGCAAAGGCGTCTTCTCCAAGAAGTGCTCAGTGAACACCGTCTCCACCTGCCGTGGTTTCGTGCTGATCCGCTAAAAGTGACGAACTGCGAATGGGTTATATGGAAATCCAAGTAGAAACCTAAAACCTAACGGGTGGTTGAGAACCACCAAGTTTTCTCAGCTGACCCCGGAAATACAAGGTGATTGGATTGGGGCCATGCAAAGAAAGGAAAATAAAAGGTCAAAAGGTTGCTTCGCGTTGGGCAAGTAAAGTTTGTTTTGGGCGAAGCGGTTGGGGTGATTGGGTGAAGCGGGGTGAAGTGAAGGAGACCCCTTGTCACTTCAAAGGCAAAGGAAACCAAAGGCGACCTTGCCCCAAATTGGAGGACCCCCTTTTCGGATGCTGCGGGGGAACCACAGGGAGACCAGGCTGAAAAGGAGGCCCCGTAATCTTCAGACCTACTGATGGACGAAATCCGCGCTGATTGCTTCGCGCCAGTTGGGATTGATCGCTCCATCCGTATGGGGGTTGAGGATTGGCGGATTTTCCGTTAAGAACCCCTGGATCTAAGCAGAACCCCTGGTTGAAATACTGACCGGCAGCTGTAGGGGGACCAAGGCTAAGCTTATTTGTTACCCTGGGGAATATCGCGGAATTGGTGTCATCCAAAGAATAGGTACCCCCTTCAAAGAAGGAAGTCCTTCTTCCCCTTTTGCTTTCCTTCCAGGTTGGTTTCAATTTGGGGAGGGGAGAGTGCTGTTATGGCCTCGGAGGACGGGCTCTTTGGGTGTGTCAATTGGAGGCGAACCCCTTTTTGAGATGGATTGAAAGTGAGACCAATGATTTGGTTGCTTTCTGCTCCCCTGCCAAAAGTTTAGCTTTTAGTGGCTTAATACGGAAAGCCCATTCGTTGGCAGAAGGTTAAAGTCCTAACATCCAAGCAGAATGCACCAAAGAATAGGACGCCCGCCATTTTTCCGGCGCCCGAGCGCCCATTCTTTTTTGTTTTTTCTCCTCTGCTTTGCTGCCGAATCGAAGGCCTCCTCGCAGAAGCGAACAAAGTCCACCAGGTGCGGTTGGCCCTGCAGACGCCCCGTGAACCGAAAGAAGTCCACAATGGCCTCGTGTCACCCTCAGCCACTGGGTGTCCCTTTAGGGTAAATAGATGGCCCTGCTAGATATTTTTCGACCAAGACAACCAAACAGGACACCTATGCTCTCAGGCTTTTGAGCCAACCTGACCGGGTCGCAAGTTGGTCACTGGTATTGGGGGGGGAACAAATGAGGGAGCGATCTTTAGACGACCTGGGTGTTGCTTCCATAAATAACGTCCCAAAATGGATCCCCTAAATGCTTGGTTTCCGCTTTGTTGCTATTGACCCCTCTGCAAAAAGTTGAACACTCTATGTGGGTTCAATGGGAAACGCTTGATTTCAACTAAACAGTTAAAGTCTAAAGTTCCAGCCGAATAGCCATCAAGCTTACCTGATGGACGAATTCCGGGGGCACCAGTCGAAAGGTATTTCCCATTCATGGGGCCCGAGGCTTTTATCAAATTGGTAAGCGGGCTGCGTTAATAGTTGTCAGCCCTTTCCTGGGTCTGAACATTGCAAAGCCCCACCAAAAAACGACCCGGAAGGGCGCATCTAAATCAGTTGCTTCCTGGCGGTTTCCCTTTGCAATCCCAAAAAAGGCGGCAACTCAAGAACAGCCGGTTCGTTTGCTACCCCATATATACGTACAAACACGCGCGCGCGCACACACGCATGAGCACCCCGCCGCAGCCACGGCCACGCCCCCGTTTGCCCGCACTCACTCAACCGGCCGATTGCCTGTCAAACAGGTCCTCGTGTCTCAAACCAGTAACTATATTTGTCAGGAGATCGGTGCACTCATGTTCGGGCTGCAAAACGTCAGCAAGCATGGGCAACCGGTGCATGACACCCGTGGCTTTGCCAGGATTGCACCTTTCCTCCCTCGCGCAAATTTGCAATGCTGACAGGAGTCCTAAGGTGAGAGGCTGTGGCTTATTCAAGTCTTCGCGCCTTTCGGTTCGATCACGCAGGCATGCGGGTGCGTACGTGCAGATGTGTGAAATGCCAAGAAATGCAACCGCATTCACCTAGCCCCACCAAGTGTCCCATGCTTCCTTGAGGACCATCCCCGACAATGGTTGTTGTCCAAGCTCCCTGAAAAGCTGACCACCCCTGCAAGTGAGGGGTTCCTCTTCAATGACCCTGGTAGAAAAAGAACAGGGCCTAGGGGTTGACTCCTCTTTTCTGGGGGAGAGCCACCAAACGAAAGGGGATTGGAAGGGTAGCACTGAGAAACTATGATTGCTTCGCTCTCCAGCCTCAGCGTCGACGGGATTCGTGGGATCCGCCAGCGTCCGCGGTGCCATAAGGTTCGTGAGGCCCCGAATGAACTGCTCTCCTGGGCTCAGACGGTCAAACAGTCGACAGTCGCAAGGCAGTCATATGCAACAATCCCCGCACCCTGCTGCGAAGCATCGGTTGCCTTGCACCTGAGAAAAAGCCGTAGGGGCGACTGCCATGCAATATTTCCATACATCACTTCCCGGCCCCTTGTTGCGGGTTCATCACTTTTCGAGAAACACACACCTCTATCTATAGGATCTAGGCCCTCCAGTAGAGAGGTTCGAATAAGGGTACCTTTTTTTTTCTTTTCTTTCTGTAGTCTATTTTAGTAGGGGAACCCTCCCCCCAAAAAAGCGTAAAAGGGCACCACTGGGGGGACCTGGGGATGGTGTTTAGAAAACTCGGGCCGCACTGCACCTGCCCTCCACTTCCTCGCATGCAGCCCAGGGGCGAGTGCACCTGGCGGAATCTGAGAGCTTAGAAAGGGAAGCCCATGGTGGGCAGGGCTCCGTTTTGACCTCCTTCACTTAGACTTAAGCCCAGAACCTTCCCTTTTGGGGGAATCAACCACCCCTGGGTTTAAGTCCAATTTAAAGAGGCCAAAAAACGGAACCCTGTTTGTGGGTATTTAGTATTTAAGAAATTCCTAGTTATAAGTCTGACTCAGTGACTTGTGGCCTAGTGGAATTGTAGCATAAATTCCACCATATTTATATGACCTCCGCTTCCCTTGTCTCGTCTTGTGGCTTACCTGCTCGCGCGCAATTTCCATTGCTACTCATGGTAGTTGAATAATTCCTCATTTAGGCTTCTTGCTACATTCCATTCCGCCCCATCCATGGTCTAGATTCCGCACCTTGCTTGAGCTTGAACACTCATTTTGATCTCCATTAACGATGCGACGTACATGGTCTTGCTATTTTCGCGCATTTACTCTGCATTAAACATTCCTATGCTTGTGCCGTGTGCACTCATCTGCTAGAAGACCTAAATTCCGACGGAATGAGAGCCCTGCGGGGTTTGCCACGAAAAACACGTTCCTTTTTGTCAACATCAGCGGCAACAACTTGGAAGACTACTGCGCACCCGGGGACATTAACCAAGCTTTGGGACAAATCGGACACGCGACCGCGACAACTATTCAGCACCCCAACCCCCATAGTCTATAGGACCCGAAACTCTGTATACCGTAGAATTCCTCAGCTGGCCTCTATGACTGGGAGATCGACATGAACCCAAACTATGGAATCTTGACAACCGACCTTCTTGGACGACCTCGTTCTGCCAAGGCAAGCTAGCTGTCGCGGTTATCCTTTGGCAAGACTTTTTTGAAACAATGTGAAAAGGGTCAAAAAACGTGAAGAAAAGGCCCCTAATTGATTCCTCGTAAACTACCGTGGTTCTTGCAATATGGCAAGGGTGTCTTTTTTTGAAGGTATCCACTTTTGATCACCTTTGGACGGTTTGAAAAGGTTTACAACCATTCTTGGGAGTTTCATATCCCAATTTGAGACGACCCACGGTTTGGCTTTTGTGTCAATGCTTGGCTTACCGCTCTAATTTGATACAGCTTTCCATGGACCTGTGCTTCTGGTTGGTTTACTTGTGCTCACTGGTTTAAAGGACCTAGAAACAAAAGGGTCAACATTTTGGGATCGACGAAAAATGATTGCCATGGGAACCCCCGGTCATTTTCCAGATCCATTCGCTTTCCACCGGAGATGCGCCGTCCATTCCGATTCGCCGCGCTCCGCGCTTCGCATTCCGCCTGCCGGAGTTCAGGAGATCGAAGTCCTTGAAGAACTCCCCGGCCCGGCGCTTCCATTGGAAGGCGTGCAGCTTCACCCGGCGCATGGCCAAGCCAACCTGCCGAGCTGGAGATGTTCAGCTGCCCAGCGGGTCGAAAACATCAAGCTCAGGGAAAATGTTAGCTCCTTTATGGAAGAGATTTCCATGATGGGGATTTTACCTGGGCTTCTTTACAGAATATATTTCCATGATGGGGATTTTGCCTGGGCTTCTTTATAGAAGAGATTTCCATGATCGGGATTTTGCCTGGGCTTCTTTATAGAAGAGATTTCCATGATGGGGTTGAATGCTGAAAAAAATGGCGACTCTTTTTGCACAAGTGTTGGATGGTTTGTTTTTGTACCCTTTTCCAACCAACATGGAGAGGAGCGGGTTTGCAACGCACGCTTGAATTGGGCCCTTGCCAACTTGTAAGATTCTTGCTGGTGCTCAGTCGGGAATGACCTTCCGGGAATGAACGCCGTTTTGGGGATGGACGGTTCTAGGGCTCATTGCAACTCATTGTCCTGAGAACCTGAAAGACTTCACTAGACGAGCTATGGCAGTTGTCGTTCTCCAACTTTGCAGCTGCTATATACATACACATGCGTACATATGAACAAACCGTGATGCGTGTGTGTGTGCACATATACACGTACATCAAGCAGCAAGCCGCCGATTAGAAAGCTTCGCGAAACGAGCATGTCTTTCGCGACATTTCGCACGGCCAGAATTGGCCTCTTGATATAATTAGCAGGTAGAATCAGGGGCTTTGCTGAGTCCGAAATCTTGGGCATCCAGCAACAGGTCCCTGCTACGCTTGAGACTACCCGTTGGAAGCTTCCACAGTTTGCCCAAGAGTCATGACCACATCTAGGTGGTATCATTTTTTGGCCCTACTCTTGGGGCTCTCCTGCTAAAGGAAAAAAGCGTATATCAAGCTCCCTGCTTTGCTAAAAATGCTTGGGCAAGTTGTCTTGGACCATTCGCCCGCCCAAACATTATGATCCAGGTAAACGCCCGGGGCATCTCAAACTCTGACTTCTGCCCCAACCCATGTGTTCAAACACCGGTTCCTTGCGGCAAACAAGGAAGAGACAGAACCAACAAAGAACAAGACAACAACTGAACAGCATGACAATTCTGGCGGTTTTCAAGTGAAACCTGAACCCCCGTCGTCCGGTCCAAACCCGCCCACCCCCAGCCCCCCCGGCGGCACCTCGTGTGCTGTGGGCAGGCGCCGGCATGGTGCTGAGAAGGGCCTCATCCCAATGTTCATGCGGCCTCGGCGAGCGAGGCCACGCCAAACCCAGTTGAAGGTGACATGCACATATGCACATACATATTTATATACATATTATAAAACAATTTGTTGTATATATGTATACACTACAAGTAATACACATACATATATTTGTATATGTATATATACATATATATATATATATATATATACATATTACTGTATGCATATGCACATATATATATATATATGCACATACTTATAATCATCTGGGGGTCGTCTTTTCCTGTGATTGATGGTTTGGCTTGGTGGTTCGGGGACTTGGGGGGCGGGGGGGGGGGGCGGAGGTTCCCATTTGCGCTCTAGAGGAACCAGAGGTTCAAATCCCCAACCAATCCAAACCATTGGCAGCGCCGTTGGCAAAAAGAGGCATCCCTCCAAAGTGGGGACGAGTTTGCTTTCGGAGAGGCCTTTGTCCACTACCATGGTTGTTAGAGAAAGGGTGGGTGGGGGAAACACAAACTGCCCCATCGACGATGCAAGCTAACAGCAGCCAGGCTTGAACAATCCTGACCCGACAACCTCTTTCCGACAATCATGGAAGTAACAACAGGGGCTGCCCCGCAAAGCCAACAGGTATTTCAAACGATCTTCAGCTTCCCTGAATATTGGATGCAGGGTATCTAACAGGCATCTTCATTTGTTAAACGGTTGTATACATTGTACACCTCTTCGCCCTTGGGTGGGGGCTTTGGCCCAACAGCGCGCACACTTTTTTACACAAGCGAGCAAGCAAGCAAGGCCAAGGCCGCAAGGAGGCAAGCAAGCAACGAAACAATAAACTCAATCCGCCAACCAATGAATCAAGCAAGAAATCAACAGATTCATTTCAAGCAATCATCATGTCAATTTAAAGAAATCAATTAATTTGTTCTGTAATTCATTTAACCAAATCAAGTCAAAGTAAATCACATCAATCAAGCGAGCAACCAGCCAGCCAACTCAACCCAGCAGGTAAGACCATAGCCACCTGCCCAGCATCGCCCGAACCGAGGAAAGCCACACTCTCTACATCCCGACGGCACTGGTAGTTCCTTAGCTCCCTCTTGATTTAAAAAACAAAAAACAAAAAACACCACACTTTGGCACCCCCCCCCCCTCCGCTGTCCGAGTTGGCTCCCCTCCACCCACCCTAAGCTGGCTGCTCAAAAAACCGTAAAATTCCAAAATGGCTTGCCCTGGTAAGTGGTTTCCATGGGTACCAAGATTCCTGCGGTTTGGTAACCCCTCTTGTGCGATTTTTTTTGCGCCACGCGAACAGCTCTCAGCCGGAGGCACGGGCGCGGCACGCCGGCATCCCCGCGGGGACGGTTGGGGGCCGGCCAACCTCAGTCGCCCTTGGGCGCTCCTCGTGAGGCCCCGGGTCTTCAGTGACCCCGCAACAAAGAAGAAGAAGAAGCTGGGAGCTCGAGCCGTTTGGATCTTTGACATGCCTACGGAGAAAAATGAGGGAACTCTATTTGGGCTTCACTGGTTTTTGGTGGGGAACCCGCCAAGCAATCAAGGAATAAGGGTGCTGAAGACAAAAAGGGGTCAATCAAGCAAGAGGATTGCAGGGAGCGCTTCCCCCCAAAGTGAAGGATTCTTGTGAAATGGGCCACCCCTCATTGATGAATCAATCAGGGCCAGGGCTGTATGTGGGTTCCTCACGCAAGCGTCCAATACTTTTTAGCGATTGGATTCCGGTTCTCCACAGGTCTGGAAGGGAAACCTAGCCTCGGCTCACATGAGAGCTTGGCCGTGGAACACATATACATTTTCCTCCTGGAAGTAACTTCCATTTGAGGCGGGGGGGCCGTGGTTGAAGAAAGGGCTACAGGAAGTTCTACCGGGAAATCCGCATTCTTGGTGTTTGGCCAATGTCCTGCAGACATTCTCTGTGCTATATGTTGGTAGCACAGGTAGATGGGTTGCCTGGCCACTAGCATGGGATCCAACAGTTTTTAAGTTTCAGTGGGTTAAATTCGGAAATTCCCAAACCGACGAACAGGCTAAAAAAGCTAAGGGGGCGGATGGCTGGGCAAGATATGGGAACCCTCGAGCCCCTCCTCTGGTGTGGGCGGTCGCGTATTCGCCTCCTCCCGCTTCGGCTCGAGCTTCGCCTCCGTCGCCTCCGTCGCCTCCGTCGCCTCCGTCGCCGCCGCGTCGGAGGGGCGGAGGCCGCGATCCACGTCTTGTGGCTCGCCAAAGCCCAGGACTCCTCGGAAAACACGGGCCGAGCGATTTTTCTTTGGTCGCCCCTTCGTTTTGTTTCTTTCGTTTGGCTCATGGTCTGTATATGTGGATTTGTGCGCATGTGTGGGTGGAGGGTGCCTCACCAAGTATGGCTGATAATTATGTTCCTTCTTGGCATCCGATTGAACTCCCGCAAACAACAGCCAGCAACTTCGGAGAGCGTATCACTGTATCATGTCTGAAGTGGCGAGTGAAACTGCAGGAAAGAAACAACCGCTGTATCACTGTAACTGGGAAGCCAAACAACACTCGAAAAAAATCACTTGGTCGGCGGATCGAGATTCTGCTCACCGGTACGCTGGCAATCTCTGCCACGACTTCCGGCTGCACGCCTCGCTCGAGCATGCCTCAGAATGCAGGACACCGTTGAAACCGTTTCGCGTGTGGTGCCTCTCTGAGTCGCAGCACTTGGCAACATCCTGCACCATTTGGCATAGATGAACACCTCTGAAAACTGGTTGATAAACCACCTACCAACAGGTGCAGGAATTTGTCCATTCACAGTGTGAACAACAAACATAACTGTTTGTTCCTCAATCGTACATGGGAAGATTGGGCCCCTGAGGAGATAGTTGTTGCCCTACGTCCTCCCCAAACCAACAGCATGATCAACACAATCTTGCCCCTGGTGCGTGGTGAAAACCCAACCGGTTTTCATCGGGCTTCATCTATCCCAACTGGCAGGTTTCTCTCCAAGGTAATGAATCCAGGTTCCCCGTGTTTCCCCTCATGATTGTTCAAGGTGACTTTCCTGGTGCAGGGTTGTTGAAAGAAATGCAGGGAGCCCTGGCATTGTTGGTTGCCATCCAAGTGGCGACGAATGAGGCCGGCCTTATCATTTGCGGCACCCTGGTCTTGCCAGGCGCTTTCATCCTGGATGTCCTGCCCGACTCGTACTGGCCATGCTTGCCGTATGAACAATATTGTTAGTAAAATACAGCTTTATGGTTTAAAACAGTAATTAACGTCCAAAGAAGCTCAAACTATCTCAACGTGGTGATGGGATGTTCTGGGTCCTCACACACACATATATAAACATCTACACGTATATCTTTCTATACATATATGCATTGTATGTGTGGCTCCATCCAACCAGCCAGTAGATGTCGCTCCTTCAAGTCGCCGGTAGAAGCGAGGCTGTTCGTCCGTAGGGGCTGCAAGATATCACGTTTTGCGAGCCAGGGTCAGGCAATGTCAGGCACCGGCTGCAAGGGAATGCTTGATTGCCGTCCATTTGCCAAAGTTCAGATTCGCAGAGTTGACTGGTCAGAAAAAACAAATCAAACTTAACTCTGAAAGTGTGGCTTAAAAAACCACAGAACTTGGACAAAGGCCGATTCGCCTAAGTTCAGATTCTGGGGCTTGAGAGTTGCTCAAAGCGCAGATGGTGACCAGAGATCATCTGCGGGAATCCCCCAAAGTGCCTCGATCCCCAAACGGTGACCACTCGGGTGACTTGTGTGCTATCAGCACCCTTTCTGGTTTCAAACCAAACATGCCCCGGCACCAGGATCCCCAAAGACAGGGAACCCCAGATCCAAGAGCGAAGGCTTGTTGGCAGAAACCAGTGGTAGCTTCTTGATTAAACTCGGAACCCCCCCCCCAAAACATCTTGAAGGATTTTGCAACGTGAGCGAAGAAAAATTGGACCAAACCTTTGAGTCACTGAATCCTAGGCCGCGAAGGCCTGCCCAAGCTTTGCCAGTCGCGCAGTTCGATGTGCGATTTCGAAGCCGGATCCCAGCAAACTCTCCATGTTGCGGGAAATAGCATGGTAATCGTTTGCAAAAGGGACCTAACACCGAGTATCCCACACCCAAAGTCCTCCAGGCTCTGTTCCATGGCAGAGTGCGCGAAGGCGCGCGCGCTGGCAAGCCTAGGGCCTGGGGCCTAAGGCCTTTGAGCCAAGAGCCAAACGCCTTGAAGATCCCTGCTTGGAGTTCCCCTAAAAACCTGGGCTGCCAGGCCCCCCTGCTAAAAGTGATGAACTTTTAGTGGGTTAAATATGGAAATCCAACCACTAAACACTAAAAGGCTAAAAAGGCTAAGGGGATGGCTGGGAGCCACCAATAAACATGAAACGAGCCATTGAACAAGAGCTGAACATGAGGTGAAACAGGCTAACAAATTGATGTGGGATAGACCAAATCCGCTTCGCACCGGTCGGTAGGTGGTTTACCCAGCTTTAACAGAGCCCGTGCGAAGTGGTTTGCCCATCAGTCAGTACATCTGTCAAGGCCCAAACGGGCTGAAGACCCCCCAATCCCCATAGGACATCGCGCCATGGCCTCAACGACGTGTTGCGAGCCTTCCCAGCTGAAACTTTGGGGGGACCCCTAGAGAGGCCCCCCAATGGCTCCACATTGGGGTGCTTTGGGGGGTGGCGTGGTTGTCGCACCAAGTTTCCAGAACCTGAGCAACCTCAGACCATCCGCAAATTTTACCATAAGGTCGGAGACTGCTCCAAGCACCTGCATCCTGGGTTTTGCTGGTGTTCCCTAGGAAAACCCCTTGCCATTGGCTCGTCTCCGAGCCTTCCGCCGGCATCCTCGCGCGCCGCGGCGAGCAATCAACTATCTTACATCCCTTCTACGTCCTCCAGATTTGAGAGGTTAGAATACGGGTACCAACTTCTTTTCTGTCACTGTAGTCTAATTTAGAAGGGGAAAGGGCCCTACTGGGGACCTAGTGTCGCACATCCCTTACATCCTCAGCCGAGGATGTGATTCTCCCATGATGTCCTTAACCTTCTCAGAATGAAAGTAAACAAAATCGACCCCATGTGAAAAGGGGTGTGAATCAGGTCTTTGAGGCGAACATTTTTTAAAAGCCCGTGAAAGGATACCAGCCGCCAGGTCAAAACCACACAAAATACCAGCCGCACACCAGACCAAAGTGATTCTTAGGGCATGTTTTGTTTCCTTCGGGCGTGGAAGCCGTACCTCTCCGGTTATCAACTCAAAAGATCTGGACGTTCACTCAAGCGCTGTCAGCTTACCCCGACTTGCCACAAATGGGCAACCACATACTCCAGGCATGCCCGAAATGGGGCGAGGAGCCCTTCCTCAGACATCCTTTGAACCACTCAGACCGGGTCCTCCTCTCAAAACTATCCCATAGGGTGGCTTCAAGGGGAATATCGCTGGGACCCAGAAGTAATGAAGTGAGAACCCTCAGCATGTTACCCGAAAATTACCTTCACATTTTTTCAGAACCCCTCGTGGCCATTGGCCCAGGCACCAAGACGACTTTAAAGCTATGGCAAATAGAGATGCCGTTGCGTACCTACACCTGAACAAGCTCTTGAAGGAACCAGGATGGCACACTGAACCAAGCCAATTCAGTTTCTCTCTCTCTCTCTCTGCCATTGCCATTTCGGTTTCTCCTCTCTACACATTTTCATCCGAACTCCGGCTTTGGAATGGAGCCATGAACCGAGGGGTTGATTCCCCATTCTTTTCAACCATCGTTCTTTTCAACAATTATGTTCCCTGGGTTTCCGGAGGTTTTCTAGAAAGAAGGATCCCTGGCAAGAATGGCCAAGGTACCCCTAGAATGAACATTGGTGGCACAGGCCGCTTGGACCACACCTTGGACCCAAGTTGCTTGGACCCCGCTTCGTTTCCGAGGCCATGGCTCCGAAGCCGGGCAAGGCCTGCGGTTTTGTGCATGAAGTCGATTCAGGGAAAAATGGGAAGAGACCCATGGGGTGCCTTGTTGGTTTCCCTTTCCATCCCTTTCCATCCCTTTCCATCCCTTTCCATCCCTTTCCATCCCTTTCCATCCCTTTCCATCCCTTTCCATCCCTTTCCATCCCTTTCCATCCCTTTCCATCCCTTTTTGGGCCTTTTTGGCCTTTTTTGCCATTCGCCGCATGGCGCCCTTTTTGGTGTTGCTTTAACCTCCGTCAAGCCCACAAAGGAGATTCCTCTTTGTGAATGAACTCGTTTTGTGAATGAACTCCTTTTTGGTTTCCCTTTAACCTCCGTCAAAGGCAAATGGAGCCCCTCTTTCCAATGGAAGTGGACATGAGGACGAAAGACTGCTCTTGAAAGGCCCCCCAATGTCTATTGCCAGGATTCTTGAAAAGAAAAACATGACTCTTGGGGCAAGGATTTTTCAAGGGTTCATGACACACTATGCGCGCTTCGGGCATCACCTGGCCAATGACAACAAAACCTCACAAGGGTACAGTGCCTATGGGAGAGGGGAACTTCCCAAAACTTTTCCTCGGCAGGTTCCTTAGAGCCTTTCGCATCGATGCACGTGACATGTCGCAACTGCATGACCAAGGCACATGACCCGCGCACGACACATACCCAGGACCAGAACATGCGCCTCTGCAGGCTGCACAGAGTGGGTGCTGCGCCCTCAAGTCGCGGAACGCGCAGAATGCAGACCCCAATGAGAAACTCAAATTTGGGCCCCAAAAGGTGTGTTGTCTGTTGTCTGTGTGTGGTGTTTTTGTGTGTCGTGCTGTGCTGTGTTGTGTATCTGTGCGTGTTCAAGGGTAAACCATTTTCAGGTTGGCTTCAAGGGGAAACTGGAAGGGAAAAAGCCGCACATTTTGGGTGCTGATGTTTTCAACCACCCGAAAACGAAGATACAAGGACCACTGTAGGGACAAATCCCTCGAACAGCAAAAGGCAAATTATTAAAATTGGAGTAGTTTGGTTCCAAAACAAATTGAAGACTAACTGAATTTTAATATTCATATATATATATATTTGTTAGAAGAATCGAGCGGTCCGGTTACCTGTCGACACCTGGCTGAGATGCCCGGCTGCTGCGACCAGTGTTGGGAGTGCTTCCATCGCGGCTGGCTTCCTCAGCTAAACGGGTTGAACAACTCAGAGATCCTTTCTAGAAAGCCACCGAAAACCCTGGGTCTCAAGTCAAGGGCCCCCACTTGTGGGGCATAGCAAAGCGGCATGTGGCAGTTCTTCGGCCACCATGGGCCAATACTGTGGATGGACGACATCCATTTCGCACCACTTTGCATTGAAACCATGGTTGAAACCATCGTTTGCTGGTATTTACGTTGGGGAATCACCAGAAACCCGGCTTTCTTAGGTGGTGCGAAATGGATTTCATCCATCCACAATACCATAGCTAGCCCTTACTGCGTCAACTCTATCTTTCTCAATCAGAAAGCGGTCCAGGAGTCCAATAGTTAGATCTATCCTGAAAAAATGGGCACATCAAAAGCGAGTTCCAGTCTGTTGGGTCGAGGTCCGAGATGAAATCTTACCAATCACGTCAAATTGCACCATTCCGCATCAAATTGTATGTACCCCTTTCGAGCGAGCTTCCTTTTGGTTGCCTGACTTCTGGGCTCTTCAAGCTGGGGGGAGTTTGAGGAGAACCCGGCAACCATCTGCGACCATCTGGCATAAGGATCAAGGACTGATTTTGAGCAAACGCGCTTTTAAACATTCTAAGGCGAAACATGGCGAAACTAAGGTACACCCGCCTCCTATTTGAGGAAACTCCCACAAAACAGCTATCCAGGAACTTTTCCACATCCATCTTCACATCGTCAGGGGCAATCGTAGTGAGGATATAAATTGGATAAGGTTCAGGGAGTGATGGCACAAATCGCATCTCCAATCGGGGATGCAGAAAGAGACTCTGTGACTTAGCGCGGCGTGTCAATAGAGGGGGTCTCAAGTCAAGGACCCCCACTTGTGGGGCGTAGCAAAGCGGCATGTGGCAGTTCTTCGGCCATGGGCCGCTATGATCGGGTAACGCCTAATTGGTGGAACTGGGGATTCTGAACCGGTGCTTGCTTTTAGCTGCCCACGAACTTCCAGCCGCACCACACCAACTGGAGGGAGGCTGATATGATATGTCTCCTCACAAGAAAAAACCGGCAACTCAGCCGAAAGCATTGTTGAAAGCTTTGGCGAACCCCTGGATTTGCGGGTTGGATCATATCAAGTGATGTGAAGATCTAGCCCTCAAAATGTGTGTGTGTGTGTTGGAATTTCGGGGTCCTCCAATCTCCGGGTTTTTGGCCAACCAAACTTAAAAAGGGCCCCTTCAAAGTGGATACGTGGGCTCCTTGGACCCTCACGCCCGAGGGCCCGAAAACCCCGGGGCCCGGGCCCCAGCGCTGACGGGCATTCCGAAGACTGGGAGAACGGCCTCAGCGTCCAGGAATCACTTCACTGTTGGCATTCCCTTTGGGTGTCTTTGGTATTCCCTTTTGGTCTTTTGTTCTCTTTTTGGTTTTGCTGTTCCTTTTTGTGGGCGGCTGCAAAAAGGGTTGCTCACATGCCAAGGAATACAAAGATCAGGCAAAGCTGTCCCGCCCAAAAGCTCACCTTCCTTCTTTTTTCCAAGGCGAGAACCCCAAGCAGAAGCGCAGAAAAACAACGGAGCCACGCCAAGCTGATCGTCGTTTGGCTCAGTTCTCACGCAAGACCGGCATGCCGGACGGCTCTCATTGTCAGCCGGAACGAAGCCAAAGGGTCGCAAGCGCATTTCGTGTCTTCAGCGAAACCAGGATGGATGGGATGGAAGGCCCAATTTTGGTTTGAGCTTCCAGGGTGAAACTAGATAGAACAACTCGATCCCTCTACTATTGGGGGTTCAAAGAACAACTTTTCGTGGAATCTGTGATGTTCTAAGGGTATGGCTAGAAATTGTCAAGGAGAGGTAGGAGTGGATGACTTAAACCCAAATCGGTTGGACTTGATCTCGCTTGGCGAAGCATGTCGACGCGCGGAATCCCTACTCTCCAGCCCTGCATGTGCCAGGACGCACTGAGGGGGTGGCAGTTGTGACCAACCCAGGTATGTGTCAAAGGCGACCGTGTTTCAAGCTTCCCTCTGGGTGTTTTGGTTTTGGTGGTACCTTTCCCATTTTGGCGTCAAAAGGAGGGGTTCAAGTCCA